GAAATACCTAAATATGTCATAAAATTTAATAAGAATCACACTACAATTTTTATCAGAATTACTGAAACGTTTCTATTTTGACTCATTTTGATGGTGTATAACGAGAAAATTGGGCAATGCTCTTGAAAACAACCCAACCTAGAAAGAGAGAAGGATGATACAACAAGAAAATTGTAGGGGGTTTTATCCAATTGGTTGATTTTCAGAGATCAGTTAATTAGTTCCTCAGTTCATTTATGACTTTTATGCAAGTATCTTTTCAAATACTTAATTTTTATAGATAAATCAAATTCCAAACAAAGGACTCGCCTTCACATCTTTTTTCTCTCTACATGTCAACCAATCTGTCTCTCCGCTGGCACGTGATGAAAGCGTGTAAGTCTTTACCTAGTAATGCCTATCGCATCTCCCTTGGGTAGCGATTTTTCTTGATCACTGCGTCTTTTCCGAGGTCAAACTGAACCCAGGGTTTAGTATCATTGTATTCTACAATCCACCCAGAAGTTGAGTTGAGACGAACCAGACGGGGATGTGTAACCCATCTCACAAACGATGAAGCATTTATAGCTGAATCTGGAATTCTTCCATCCTTCATACCAAGGGCCTCCATACACGCTTTCAAAAGAAGAGCAAGTAACAATTCTGTGATAAAAGATGCTACTATTACTGACATTGTTTAATTAATAGGAGTATATCCATGTATTATTTACATCTGTAGAAGCAGATACCTCATCCTTCCCTCCTTCCCTGCCACTCTACCCACCAGAAAGAAAAAAAGAGACATGCTGGTAAAGCTACATCCTGACGCATAAAAATGGCCCAAGAAAACTGTTTGGTCGCTCGTACCATCCACCATGCAATACATTTTTCAAATACTGGTTGTGCTGAGAATAAATATGAAAGGGATCTTAAACTAAGAATGAGGAAACAATGGAAGAATGTAGGTGTCATTTCTTTCTAAAGGACAATTGTTTCCAATTTCCTGTCAATTAAGCAGTTTTACAATTTCAGAGCATGCAGAAATTTGTATTTCTTGCCATACTTACTTCATAATTTGCGTTAAAGCTTGCAGTGGAACTGTCAGAAATTTGCTCATATTTCGAATTCCTCTTTTAATAAACTTTTTTGTATTGTATTAAGCCTCAGATGAAAATTTGAAAATCTTTGTTGAAAACTTCGCCTACTGAATGTGTTATTCCTCCAAGTTTGTTGAGAGTTGCGCAAGTTTAATGCTTCTGAAGAAGTTCTTCTAAGACCTATTTGCTAAACGTGGATGATTTTTTTGATGATTTTTTTTTTTGCTGTTTTCACTATTCTTTCTTTGATAGAATTTTATTATCGAACGCTAATACTCAAGAGGTACTTCGGGAAGGCTTGGCCCATTACATAACTGGTCAAACATATTTTTGTTCATTGGATTCATATTTACAGTGAACTACGCTAAGGTTTAAACAATCCTCGTCAATCTTTCCATCCTTTACCAAAGAAGTTCTTTTTCTTCTTACTTAAAAAAAATGAAATAAAGAAAAAAGAATTTGTATGCAGTCCCTCAATCAGTCATACGATTACATGGAATTTCAGATTCCGAAGTCAAGACTCACAGTTACTTGTAATTTTCAGTTTTGCATGAAAAAAGGCATGGTATTGTCAAGAGAGGATCTCCTCTTCGGTCTTGTTAATCTTTATCTTATGGCATCAAATCTTCCATTAACTGAGAGCTTGAAAAATGCAAGGGAAAGATGTGAATAATTCATGTTACACAAACGACGAAACTTTACCCAAAGTTACGAGTTTTAAGAGGGAATGCAGGTGTTTTTCGCCCTGCAACTCGAGCATGCATGCCTTAAACTTCAAGACCTTTTGTGGATGTGAGCCGTTTTGTTTCTTTCCTCCGAACAGTCTTTTTCTCTCTGCTACTTAATCGTTATAGTAAATTTATGTGTGCATTCTGTTTCAGTAGAGACTAGGAAATGGCTGTATAAAAGAGATTCTTATCTTAACTTAAATTACATTCCATAAAGTTACTGATAGGAAAATACTCCAACTTAACTCCAGCCCTGAATACCATCCGAGATAGGCATTATGGTACAATTGGAGGGTTTGATGAAGGAGACAGGTTTAACTGATTTTGTAAGGAAATTTGTGTTTGCGGAACAGATACATTATATAGGTGCATTTCCCCTATACGGACCAAATGGAATTTGTTCCCAATCCCCCCCCCAATCCCAACACACACCCACAAGAATAAAAAATAAAGAAAGGGTGTGTATTGATGGGGGCCTGAACAAGTTGTCTTTGCTTGAACGTCATAACTTTGTGTACTTCAATGATGTCACAATTAACACCTCATGTCCTTATCATAACTTCGGTGAAAATGACTAACAACTATCAGCGTTTTTACACAAAGATGAACTTTAGGCTATCTCCATACATTTTCTCGGGGAGACAGTTACAGCAATATTGGACTTTTTCAAGACCATTGTAGTTATGCCCTTGTTCCACACTCGTGACAAAACAACAAACAGTTTGGGAATAGTTTTGAAAGATATCATCGTAACGTTTACAGTTGTCCCCGCTCTCCAACAACAACAACAACAACATCTTTTATTCAAACACGGTGGGTTTTAAAGCTAATATAGACGATGGGGACGTGTAAAAACTGTTAATCAAATAATAAAAATAAAAATAAATAAAATTATTAAAACTGGATGTAGTCAATAAAAGTGGAATATATACAATGAAAGATATGAATATGGTCAATAAAAGGCGAAATCCCTGTCAATTTGGGGACGGCCCATTTGCGGTGACTCTGCATTGAAGTTCAAGTTTCTGAGGGCGTGAGACTTTTTTGCCCTTTTAGTGTAGTCCCTGGCGCTGACAGCGGATGATTCTCAAATATTCCAAACAATGGGTCCTCTGCCAGAAATAGAGTTTTTCAAATAGTAAGTTTCAAAACGTTGTGCGCTAACACGATGTTGATGACGGAGGTCATACTTATTCTCTTTCCTTGGGATTATATGTTCCAAGCATGATGGAGTTATGCGGTTGTGGATATTACGAATTAAGGTGGCTATTTTGACCTTATAAGTGTCGAATAAAGAGTCCCAGTTAGCTGTTTTTCTTACATCCTCAGAGGGCATGTCGTGTGGGAGGTTATATATAACTCTGGCGGCCATACAATGCATTGACTCCAGAGAATTAAATTCGTTTTTGTTTGTACCACACCACCAAATTGGTAACGCATATGTAAACGAGGGTAAAATGACTTTAAATAGGGTAGTATATCTCCTCTGGCCGTCCACATTCAAAGGCAACGTAACAAGGGACTCGAAGAACGTCTGTCACGGCATGTTTATGGTGAATTCAAAGTCTATCATACTCTCTACTTGTTATTCAACTCACAATTTTTCGTCTTTCGATAATAGTTTACGCTTTTACAATGGAGGCTGGCCGCAGAATATCATACAAGATTCGATGGTTGCAGATGGTTGGTGCTTGAAACGCTATAACTTTGTGCGCTTTAATAATAGTATCGACATCTGACCATAAGTCAGTTGGAACAGGCAGGCTAAAAGGATGATTCAGATATCAAGGATTCATAAGAATCCATCCTGGGCTTTCTTCAATTGAATTTCGTATAAAATTCGCTCAGACAGTCGGTCAGTTGGTGAGTTAGCGTTAGCCGTAAGGTTGTCAGTCAGTCAGTCAGTCAGTTAGACAGTCAAACAATCGGTCAGTCAGACAGTCAAAAAGTCGTAAAGTCTGACAGTCAGACAGTCAGACGGTCAGAGAGTCAGTCGGTTAGTTAGTTTGTTACTTTACCGGTAATTCATCATTTAGTTAGTCATTTGATTAGTTAGCGAGTCAGTAGTATGATTAGTCAATCAACCACATAGCAAGTCGGTAAGCCAGTCAAACAGTCAGTCAGGCAGTAAGTCAGTCAACTATTCTGTCAGTAAGTCAGTAAGTAAGTAAGACAGCTAGTTGGTCAGTTAGTCAGTCAGTTAGTCGTTAAGTCAGTAATTCAGTCAGTCAGTAGGCCAGTCAGTCAGTCATTCAGTAGGTTAGTCAGTAAGTAAGGAAACAAATAATTCAGTCATTCAGACATTTATTCAGATAGTCAGTTAAGCAGTTTGTTACTTTACCAGTCAATTCATTACTCAATAAGTCAGTCAATTGGCGAGCTTGTCAGTAATTGTATAAGTTAGTCAATCAGCCACGTTGTCATTTAGCCACTTAGTCCTTTATTTAGTCGGCCAGTCAGCCATTCATAATCAATTAGTCGCAAACCCCTTCATTTAGTTAGATAGTCTCACAATCACTATTGTTTTTGATTGAGGCAAATCTTTGAAAAAATATTAGTTACGAAGTATGGAATAAAATATATTTGAAGGCGACTTGACAAACACAAGCGAAATAACTAGCAAACCGGATTTTCCACATTTTTTACGTCAAAAAATGAAGCAGAGCGAAATGAAGCGACGAAGAGAGGAGAGAGACCTAGGAAGAGCGAAACTCTTCTTCTACTCTCTTTTTTCGTTTTTCTTTTCATTTCTCCTCATTGGTGGTGCTATTGTTCCACTGTTTCCCAGATGGAGCGGGCGGGCTAAAAGGATGATTCAGACACCAAAATAGTCGCGGGTTGTAATTTGTCATTTGAATGATAAGAAAACATTTGGAAACTACCAAGACATGTTTCATGCTCTTGAAAAAAAAACCAACCTTGAAAAAGGAGCGGGATGTTACAACAAAATAATTGAAGAGAATTGTAGCTAGTTTATTGATTTTCAGAGATCAATCGAGTAATTCCTCAATTCATTCATCCATTTTTTTATACTTAGGGATAGCGCGAATATGAGAATTCAAGCTCCTTCACACAAATGTTGATAATTAAACAAAAACTGCAGGAAACTTTCCATGAGCTCTCTCCGGGTCCAGAACAGAGAGAAATGTGACATTCAGGGAAGTATCTTTTCAAATAATAGATTTTAATAGACAAGTCAAATTCCAAACAGAGGACTCGCCTTCACATCTTCGTTCTCTTTATACGTCGACCAATCAGTCTCTTCGTTGGCACGTGATGAAAGCGTGTAAGTCTTTACCCAGTGATAGAAACCGCGCTTCCCCTGGGTAGCGATTTTCTTGATCACTGCGTCCTTTCCGAGGTCAACTTGAAGCCAGGACTTAGGGTCATTGTGGGCTGCAACCCATGCAGAAGGCGAGTTTAGACGAACCAGTCTGGGATGTGCACCCTTGCCCACAAACGATGAAGCACTTATAGCTGAATCTGGAATTCTTTCGTCTTCCATACCAAGGGCCTCCATACATGCTTTTAAAAGAAGAGCAAGTAACAATTCTTTTATAAAAGTTGCTATCCTTACTGACATGTTTAATTAATAGGAGTATGTCCCTCATTTGTATCTGTAGAAGCAAACACCTCATTCTTCCCTCCTTCCCTGCCACTCTCCCCACAATGCAGAAAAAAAAAGAGACATGCAATTAAAGCTACATCCTGACGCATACAAATGGCCTAAGAAAAGTGAAAGGTCACCCGTACCATTCCACCATGCATGCAATACTTTTTTCAGATAAATGTACCGGTCGTACTGAGAATAGTAATTAAAAGGAAATTTGGACTAAGAAGGAGGTAACAATTGAAGAATCAAGATGGTATTCCCTTTAAAAAGACAATTGTTCTTAGTTTCCTGTCGATTCAACAGTTTTATGATTTCAGAGCATGCAGAAATTTGTATCTAGCCATTTTCGCTTCATAATTTGCGTTAAAGCTTGCAGTGGAACTGTCAGCAATTTGCTGATATTAATATTCGAATTTTTTTTTTGCGGAATAATTCAACTTCAAAAAATAGCACCAAAAATAACAATAATGATAATGACAAAAACGATAGCAGCAACATTACCCTCTAGATTACCTTAACATTTGCTTAACACCGGTATCAGCGATTCATGGACCGGCTTTCTATCAGTTCCCTGAATGTTGGTGCATATTCCTTTGAGGTAAACAGTTTAGGCCATATTGCACTTTTTCAAAATCATTTTAATAATGTATTTGTGCCACGCCCATGACCAGACAAAAGCCATCCTTCTTCTGGTCCGAAACTGTATTTTTAAAAAAGGTTACCAACATTACCTGTACATTTTCTGCCGCCCTCCACAAGCTCACATATCTCCTCTGGCAGTTTGCATTCAGCGTCAAAGAAGCAAGGCATTAAAAAGGCGTTGGTCATGTATAGTGCCAATTCAAAATCCACCATGCTCTCTGGGGACGTCACCGCACTCATGTTATTCAACTCACAAGTCTTTGCCTTTCGGTAAAAGTTTATGCTTTTACAATTGAGACCCTCGCCGCAGAATATCACGCAAGATTCCATAGTTGCAGATGGCTTGGTGGTGAATGTGTGACCCTTTAAAATGCGATTTGGAATGGAGTAGGTTGCGTCTTGGCATTGCGTGACTGAAGATAACGTATCACGTAATTGCCAATAGATCATCACAAAGAAAGTTGCAATGACGCCTTTTGGAAGAATAGTCATTGTCCTAAAGTCAAAATATACGAATGAAACGATTTAAAAGAAGTTAATCTGACAATCAATTAATATTTTTGTCCTGAAAAACTGTTGTGAATCTTCATTGAACTCCTTTGTAATGCTAAAGAAACAAAGTTGTCCTGAGAGTCAAAATCAATTAAGTTTGTGGAAAGATGTTTTTATGGTGATAATTTACGTCTTCGCGGCCGGAGCTTTTAGTGTTGCACTTAGCAGGGGGAGTATAGCATGGAAAATTCAAGACACTTCCCTGCGAACAAATTCTGTACTTTTACGTGTGAAAGTTGATAAAAGCAAAAAGAAAAAAAAAATTGAAGTTTTAAGAAGTAACTAGTTAGAACAATACTAAAGAAAAGCATCACTTGTGGGAATGAATACCGAGCAATGATATTAAAAGATTCTTTGAGCATTTCAAAGTCAATTCTAGATATAAATGTGAAGCGACTAAAGAAAGATCGGTCAAAATTCCGAAATAAACTCTCTTTTGTTGTATTTAAGCCTCCGATGAAAATTTCAAAATCTTCGTGGAAAACATCGCCTATTGAATGTATTGTTCCCTCAAGTTTGTTAAGAATTGCCCAAGTTTAAATCTTCTGCAGAAGTTCTTCCAAGACCCATTTGCTAAACGTGGATGGTTTATGATTTTGTTTTTCGTTTTCTTGTTGTTTTCACTATTCTTTCTTTGATAAAATTTTATTTTCGCACGCTAATACTCAAGAGGTACTTCGAGAAGGCTTGGTCCATTACATAACTGGTCAAACATATTTTTGTTCATAGGATTCATAATTACAGTGAACTACGCTAAGGTTTAAACAATCCTCGTCAATCTTTTCATCCTTTACCAAAAGAAAAAAAGAATTTGTATGCAACCCCTTAATCAGATATACGATTACATGGAATTTCAGATTCTGAAGTCAAGACTCACAATTACTTGCAATTGTAAATTAGGTCTAATAAAGGGAAACCTTGCTTTACCTCAACTCTATCTTTTCCTTTCCAATGTTATTTGCAAGTGATCATCGTTCAAAGGATCTCCTGGTCAGATGAAGAAGTCAAGAAGTTATTCGGGACAGTTATTAAACTAAATTTAGCTAGAGCGCTTTAGGGTGTCTTTCATTAAAGAATACAAACAAAGCATCATTTGGTGTTGAATCCTACTGAGGACCAGTCGATAATTATTCATAAAATAACACAGCTGACAAAGCAGGAGAATGAATACCGCTTATTACACTTTGTTTTTTACATCAAAGGGGATGATAGTTTGAGCCTTCTTCCACTCAAAATTAAGAGAAGAGAAATAAAACTTCAGTAAAAAACATCCTAAACTTAAAGATAACTTTGAACCTATTTTGATCATGGAACTTTCCTGTATTTGTGCAAGATTTTCTGTGCGATCCAACCTCGCTTGTTGATCTGACTTTATTCAGTCACGCTGTTATTATTTCGTCGCTCTCAGTCTGTATTGTATATCTCAGAATATGCAATAGTTTGAAAGGATAGAATGATTATCCTGGCTTGTCCTGGCTCAGCAGGCTGTGAGGCAAGAAAATAAGGTCCCACTGAGCGAAGTGTAATCATGAAATTGTCGGAAACTTTAATAATTTTAACGGCCATAGGGGTTGAGTTACTAGACGAACTAAATTGCAGCATAAGAGGAAGACCGAGATTCGTTCAGAGCCAGATATACATGGATTTATTTTACCCAATAACAAGCTGTGTAAGAGGAGAAGCTCCGTTAATCGACCTACCCTTTGTTATGATCATTTTTCGTAATTTCCACATTGCAGGCCCCTAACCCCATTTTCCCACCAGGGGAAAGCGTTCCCCGGACACTTTTACGAAAACATTTGGTATCGTCATTAGTCTCTCATTCTCTCTTAGTGAAACAAAGAAGAAAGTGTGTTTTAAAGTAGATTTCTTTAAAAGCTTTTCATTTTTGCGTGAAAAAGGTATAGTATTGTCAAGGGAGAATCCTTTTTTGGTCATGTAAATCTTTACCTCATGGCATAAAATCTTCCATGAACTGAAATCCTGAAAAATATGAAAGATAGAAAGATGTGAATAATTTATGTTAAACAAACGATTAAACTTTACCGAAAGTTATGAGTTTTAAGAGGAAATGCAGGCGTTTTTCGCCTTTCAACTCAAGCATGCATGCCTTAAACTTGAAGACCTGTTTTGAATGTGAGCCGTTTTGTTCCTCCCTCCAGACACTCTTTTTCTTTCTGCTACTTAATCGTTGAAGTAAAGTTTTGTGTGCATTCTGTTCAAATAGAGAGTAGGAAATGGCTGTATAAAAGAGATTTTTAGGTTAATTTTTATTTCACATTCCGTAAAGTTGCTGGTAGGAAATTGCTTTAACTTAACTCCAACCCTGACTGATACCATCCGAGATAGACATTATGGCACAACGGAGAGTTTGATGAAGGAGACAGGTTTAACTGGTCATTAGTTAACTAGTTCTACACACAAACACACACATACGAAAAAAAAAAAAGAAAGAGAGAAAGAAAGAAAGAAAGGGTATCGATGGGGGCCTAAACACGTTGTCTTGCATGCTTGGACGTCAGAACTTTGTGTACTTCAATTATATCCGAATTAACACCTGGCATCCTTGTCCTACCCTTTGTGAAAAATGACTAACAACTATCAGAGTCTGTGCAGAAAGATTGACTTTAGGTTATCTCCATAAATTTTCATGGGAGGACAGTTACAGCGATATTGGACTTTTTAAGACCATTGAAATTATGCCCTTGTTCCGCACTCATGACAAAAGAGGAAACAGTTCTGAAATAGTTTTGAAAAATATCATCGTTACCTTAACAGTTGTCCCAGCTCTCCACAAGGTGGTATATCTTCTCTGGCTGTCCACATTTAAAGTCAAGGTAACAAGGGACTCGAAGAACGTTTGCCACGGCATATATATGGGGAATTCAAAGTCTATCACCGCGCACCTTTTATTCAACTCACAAGTTTTCGCGTCTTTCGACGATATTTTATGCTTTTACAATGGGACGCTGGCCGCTGGATATCACAGGATTCGATGGTTGCAGACGGTTGGTGCCGTTGTCTTTGCATGCTTAACGCTACAACTTTGTGTTTATTAATAGTATCGACATCTGACCATAAGAATTCGTTTTGGGCTTTCTAGACAGTCTAGTTAGACAGTCTGACCGTCAGTCAGTGAGACAGTCAAACAATCAGTCAGTCAGACGGTCAAAGAGCTAGTCAGTCAGTTAGTCAGTTACTTTACGGTAATTCATTAGTCAGTCAGTTATTTGATTAGCCAGCCAGTCAGTAGATTAGTCAATCAGCCACGTATTCAGTCGATCAGCCAGTCAGACAATCAGTCAGTCAGTAAATCAGTCAACCATTCAATCAGCAAGTAAGTAAGTGAGTAGGTTAGTAGGTAAATCAGTGAGTCAGTAAGACAGTAAGTTACTCAGTCAGTTGGTCAGTTAGTCAGTCATTTAGTAGGTTAGTCAGTAAGGAGGTAAATAAGTATGTCATTCAGACAATCAGTCAGATATTCAGTGAAGCAGTTTGTCACCTTACCAGTCAATTCATTATTCAGTAGGTCAGTCAATTAGCAAGCTAGTCAGTAGTTATATAAGTTAGTCAATCAGCCCGGGGTCAGTCAGTCGCTTAGTCTATTAGTTAGTCGGCCAGTCGGTCACTCATAATCAATCAGCCACAAACACCTTCATTTAGTTAGATAGTCTAACAGTCACTATTGTTTTTGATTGAGTCACTGTGTACAATCATTCGTCATGAAGTACGGAATAAAATATATCTGAAAATGACTTGGTAAAAAAACGAAATAACTAGCACACCGCATTTTCCACATTTTTACGTTACAAAATGAAGCGAAGCGAAATGAAGCAACGAGGAAAGGAGAGAGACCTAGGAAGAGCGAAACTCTTCTTTCACACTCTTTTTTTTTATTTTTCTTTTGATTTGTCCTCTTTGGTGGTGCTATTGTGCCACTGTTTCCCAGTTGGAGCAGGCGGGCTAAAAAGATGATTCAGATAACAAAATAGTCGCGGGTTGTAACTTGCCATTTGAATGATAAGAAAACATTTGGAAACTACTGAGACACGTTTCTAAAAAATAGCACGATGGTCTGTATACGTTTTCTTCTCGATATTATATTTAAGATATAGTGAAACATGCACTTGCATATACAGAGTTTTACCCATGTGCAGCCATTATAGATAAATATGCTGTTCTTGATTACATATGTCACTCGTCATAATAGTATAAGGCGACAAATAAAATCACCAATCCATGTGTCGTGATGATAGCTTATCATGCACATGTACTCACACAAGAAGTTGCGGTCTCGGCTTGAATGCTTATTCTTGCCTCAAACATGGGTACATTGCATTACTACTGCTGATTATTTTAAAACATGTTAATCCCTATATGCATAATTCCACCAATAAAGTATGAATACTTTTTCTATAAAAGATTACTGAACTCTAATTTTTTCCATAAACTATAGGTGTGCAGATTTTAAAATATTTTAATAGCAGTGGTATTCATTATTGTGTAAATATTGTCTTTTGACACAGCTTTCACTACTCAGATTCATCGCGTACTACTGATTTAACTACTTCTTGCTTGAATTCATTTCCTGATCTATTGAAAGTTACGAATTTGCCTTTCTAACCGTATTAGGGCCGAAGCAGTTACTGAAGGAAACAGCCGTAGAGCTCTACCCTCATGGCCCTGTAGTTATTGACCCAAGTCTTGGGCCAGAACCTGACGAAACGAGCCCTGATGTGCTGTGGCAACACATGGGATACCACCGTTTCCTGATCATTGTTACCTTGAAATACCTGAAAATGGCATAAAATTTGATAAGAATCATAGTACAGTTTTAAATCCATTTTGACTGTGTATAACGAGGAAATTGGACCATGCTCTTCAAAAAAAAAAACCCAACCTTGAAAGAGGAGCAGGATGTTGAAGGGATTTGTATCTAATTGATTGATTTTCAGAGATCAATCGATTAATTCCTCAATTCATTCACCTTTTTTTATACTAAGGGATAACGCGAAAATGAGAATTCAAGCTCCTTCACACAAGTGTTGATAACTAAACAAAAACTGCAGGAAACTTTTCATGAGTTCTCTCCGGGTTCGGAAAAGGGAGAAATGTGACTTTTAGGCAGCAAGTATCTTTTCAAATACTTAATTTTTAAAGATAAATCAAATTCCAAGCAAGGGACTCGCCTTCACGTCTTCGTTTTCTTTATACATCAGCCAGTCAGTCTCTCCATTGGCACGTGATGAAAGCGTGTAAGTCTTTACCCAGTGATAGGCAACGCGTTTCCCTTGGGTAGCGATTTTCTTGATCATTGCGTCCTTTCCGAGGTCAACTTGAAGCCAGGGCTTAGGGTCATTGTGGGTTGCAACCCATGCAGAAGGCGAGTTTAGACGAACCAGTCTGGGATGTGCACCCTCGCCCACAAACGATGAAGCACTTATAGCTGAATCTGGAATTCTTTCGTCTTCCATACCAAGGGCCTCCATACATTCTTTTAAAAGAAGAGCAAGTAACAATTCTTTTATGAAAGATGCTATCGTTATTGACATTGTTTAATTAATAGGAATACGTCCCTGTTTGATTTACATCTGCAGAAGCAAACACCTCATTCTTCCCTCCTTCCCTGCCACTTTACCCACCAGAAAGAAAAAAAGAGACATGCAATTAAAGCTACATCCTGACGCATACAAATGGAAAGTGTATGATCGCTCGTACCATTCCACCATGCATGCAATACTTTTTTCAAATAAATGTACCGGTCGGACTGAGAATAGTACTAAAAGGGAAATTTGAATTAAGAAGGATGCAACAATTTTAGAATTAAAATGGCATTTCTTAAAAAAATACAATTGTTTTTGGTTTCCTGTCAATTCAGCAGTTTTATAATTTCAGAGCATGCAGAAATTTGTATCTAGCCTTATTTGCTTCATAATTTGCGTAAAAGCTTGCAGTGGAACTGTCAGCAATTTGCTAGTATTTTGAGTTCCTCTTTGCAGAATGATTCAACTACAAAAAATAGCACCAAAAACTATGACAATAACAAAAACAACAGCATCAACGTTGCTCTCAAAATATATAGAAATTATCTTCCAAATAAGATACCTGTTTTCCCTACCTATATCATATGTATGCGATGTTCCTAAATGAAAAGGAATTGTTTTAAAAAATATATTGACATTACCTTCACATTTGCTCCCGCCCACCACAAGCTGGCAGACCTCTTCTTGCCGTTCACATTCATTGTCGTAGTAACACGGGACTCGAAAAGCGTTGGTCATGTACATAGCTGATTCAAAAGCTACCATGTGCTCTGGGGATGACATCAGGCTCATGTTATTCAACTCACAAGTCTTTGTCTTTCGAAAGTAGTTTATACTTTCACAGTCAGGATGCTCCCCACATAAAATCACGCAAACCTCGATGGTTGCAGATGGCTTGGTGGTGAATGCGTGACCTGCCAAGACGCGATTTTGAATGGAGTAGGTTGCCCCTTGGCATTCCGTGACTGAAGATAACGTGTCACGTACTTGCCAGTAGATAATCACAAAGGAAGTTGTTATGACGCTTGTGAGAAGTGTCATCATTGTCCTAGAAACAACTTGAATAAACGAACAAGAAGAACAGAAACTACTGGAGTTAATAAAAAATGAACTCCTCTGAAAATCTTCAAGAGATGACGATGTTTTTAAAGTCTCAGCAAAATAGAGCACACTATTGTTTCGTCTAGGCAGGTTTGGTTTAGTGATCTTCATTATGTTGCTGATGAAGCTCTGAGCGCTTCGCGTTGTTAAAGAAGTTTTAAATGGCAAGAAATAGACAATCCAAGTATAGTATAAAGGGGAAATTCAATTAACAAAAAAAAGAAAAAAAACCGAGAAATTTCAGTACGAGCGCATGTTATGTTTTGTTCTTCGTAAGAAATAAGATCAAACAAAATCTATTCGAGCCGAGGATCGTGACTTGTTTTACATTTCCACTTTTCGTCTTTTCCTTTACGTGAATGATTGGAACCTCGTGGGTTTTTGTACTTAATTATGACATAGTTTTGTCGCAGGATTAGCTTTCTCGAACTGGATTAAAGTATTTGTGAAGTTTCAATGCCTAATATGAATTTTTTTTGGGTCTTCGCTCGAGACCTTTTTTTAAAATTAAAATTAGTTCCTCCCCGCTGACTTTTCTGGAACGTGAAAATTTAATACTTCATTGAAACTGAATCAAAAAGGTTACAGGAAAATTGAGATTGTTTGCAAGATTCTTAAATATTTTAACTGTTCTTCAAATGCTACTAAAAAAGGCTTTTCTTGCGCGCTGATAGCTTAAACTCCAGAAGGTAATGGACATTTACAGATGGAGAAAGCTTGATCTCTTACGTAACAGATCATAGTGTTTGAATTCGTCCACTTCGCCTTTTTGTTCGTTTTAAAAAGGAACTTCGTTAAGCTTAGTGCCTTTTGAGTTTCTCTTCTTCATCCTTAACCATTCTAGTTGCTTTTCTGACCCTTTTTTTTTTCAAATTAAACAATTTTAGTGTTTATCTATTTTACCACACTTATGTCTCGCGTTCTCCTTCAAGAGGAAGTTAATTTTGAATTTGCCATAGACAACGCCAAATATCGTTACATAGCGCCTCTATTATTTTTCTCCATCATGCAATAAATGCATTTTTCGCTTTAAAAGTTAAGCATGAAAGTCAGATTAGATCTTAAATATATAACGAAGATAACCTCATTACCTCGGTTACCTTAGCGGAGTCATTACATAGCGCCTCTATTATTTTTCTCAATCATGCAATAAATGCATTTTTCGCTTGAAAAGTTAAGCATTAAAGTCAGATTACATCTTATATATGTTTAACGAATATAACCTCATTACGCAACCTCGGTTACCTTAGCAGAGTCTTTTCCTCTGCTTCTTCACTTCACTTCAAGTAATTCTCACGTACGGTTAATAAAGAAAGACAGCGATTCCTTAACAGATGAATAAAATAAAATAAAAGTAAGCCCACTGGCGCTTTTCTGTGAAGAATACGTGGTATTGTTATGTGTGAGAGTGCACTTATGGTAAAACTGTCATATAATCATCTATTATTCAACACAGAGACTAACTTATATGCGCCCGATATGGATCTCAGGCTTTCTCCATCGGAGAGCTACCGAGCTATAGTCTTAGTCATCATGGTATTTTCATCTTTTTCTGTTCTTTGACAGTTTTGGTTTAACACCTGATTTTGGTACACAAACATAAAAATTCAACCGCAATGAGTCAAATCTAAACTTTACATAAAATAACTATTTACCCAGAGTTTATTTTCAATTTGAAATCGCAAGGAACCTTGCAATATGGCAGGTCTGCAATATCCTGTTTTAATTAATATTTTGAGCTGTGCTCGCCTCCCACATTTTGAAATTACATTTGATAAGTTAATTTATCAAAAGGATTATACAAAGAATGATAATAAAGTTGAGAAGGTATATAAGTACATTGGCTTCTTCACTCAGTTATGCACGCACTATCACTACAACGTGTGTTCCTCAACAAAGTGCAGTTAAATAATTAAGGGAGCCTTTCTTAACTATGCCAAGGACATAAAAAACTATGTACAATTAGATTTGAAAAGAATTATTAAACAAACATGTTGGTTACCTTTACCACCGATTGGGAAGCATGAAATATTAAAAGTATTCGTTGGTTGTAATGTCTGCCACGAAACCTTAGCTGGCTAACAGAGCGAGGTTGAACAAGAAAAGGGGTGGGATTTCTTTTAGAGCTAAAATAAGTGAATAGGTTCTAATTGTAGAGAATCTGAGCTGAGAATCAGTTGTTCGTTCTCATTTTTAACTTTCGTCATCTTCCAGTAACAGAAGCACCATTCAAACGGTAACCAAGCGAGTGAGCTCTTTGAATCTCAGAATGAGCAAACAATAATATCCAACGTACTCTCAATTTCCCGTGAGGGAATAAAGTTCTTTGAGAAATTATGAATAAATCCTTTTGGTTTTCATGTTCTTCCTTTAAAAAAATTACCATGTTTCATCAATATTTATATCATTGTATAATTGCTCGACTTCTTGAATGGTTGAAAATATACCCCCAATGGACGAGCTCTCTGAAAAGATGCAAATACACTTGTTTTATGATTCTAAATACTCGACTAGTTAGTCATACGAACACGTGATACGCTGGTCATCTTAAATAATGAAAAAACACAAAGTCCCCGTTAATTTTCTATGGAGTAATTCTGTGGTGACGTAACTAGTCACCAATCTTCAAGTACGTAGTGGATAGAGGTGCTGAAGCTACAGACTCAGCTTATATGCATTCATGCCATGTATGTGCTCTGTGTTCACCAAATCATATTACAATTTTTTCATGATGCAAAAAGGACCTATGCTCTCTCAAAAAAGTCACTTTCCAGAAATTAGAGAAAGGGAAGGGAATTAGACTAGCTCTGGCCCTGAATCTTCATTTAAAATAACTCGACAGGTGGAATAGACCTTTTTCACCAACGAGAATGTGTTTATACAAAGTTAATATGGAAAATAAATAGGCTTTTGTGCCTGCGTAGAGCTGCGCGCTTATGAGTGTCTTTTGGCCTGCATTGCAAACACCTTCAGCTGTAAATATTTCGCTCTCGTAACCGCCATCTTGAGATCTAAAAAGACGAGTAGAAAAAATAATTTGGCAGGCACGTTATTACGAACATAAACAAGCAGCTTTCACTTGCCCAAAAATAACTCTGCAATACGGGCCGGCCAAGTATCTATTGAAAGGGCTTCCATTGCGAAGTTCTCTTAAATGAACCCATGATTCTTGCGAAACGAACCTGTTTTCTTTCAGCTTCGATGCAGTAATTAATCCAAAAGAATAGGCAGCAGGGTGTATCCCTCATATGTACCCTCTGGGTACCTATTTTTGGCGGAGATGACGCAGGTGCATGTGGCAGCAAAGATCGCTGATCTTATAGTAGTTGGCTTGGAGCTTTTTAAGGTTGTATTGACTAGGTTTAATTCGCTACCGGCAGCGGTAACGAAGGGAGTTGGTGTTGTTGAGCTTATGGTATGGAGTTGGTTGGTAATGACAGTGTTATGGCATTTAACTGTGACGGTATAAATCCAAGCCTACCGTAGGCTATAGCGGAGTCCAAAACAAACCGGTTAAAGGACATTTCAGATGAAGAAAACCTCACCGATGCAAAAAGGAAATTTCGTCACTAACGTGCTAGAAATCTTAGATTTTGAACCATATTACGATTTTACACCCAAATTTAAAATATCTTGGAATTTTTGCTGCAAATGTATTACCATAGAAATTTGAATTAAGGGTTACGAACTTAAATTTCGAAAAAAAAAAGAAAAAAAAAAGCAAGGAACAAAACAAAACAAAAGAAGAAAATCACCGTGATAAGAAATCATTCCTTTGGAACGAAAGGTTCAACAGAAAGTAACATTGTCAGGTTATATAGCAGTTTATGGAAGAAGAAAATCACCGTGATTAGAAATCATTCCTTTGCAAGGAAAGGTTTAGCGGAGAGTAACATTATCAGGTTATATAGCAGTTTATGGAAGCATATCAGTAGTACAATCCTTGCAATTAATTTAGATCTAGATCTCTAACCCGTACAAAAGGTGTCTGGCTTGCGTACCATTACTATAAATTGTCATTTGTACACTTCCCAATGGCTGAAAGTGATAATAAGAATAAGCAACTGAGTGGCTCTTTGGTGTTAATGTAATTCCAACGTTGCTATGAACAATTATGTGCACAGTAGACCTTTAGATATCGTTATCACTAGGTAAGTTTTCGGGATAGAGAACCTTGATCCTGCATGTCTAGCTTCCCAACAAAAACAAATTACCTTTGGTAAAAACCAAAGCTTTTCACCTCCAAGGACTGAGGTCGAAGTACTCGACAATGCCATATAGAGGTCACACAAGTGAGATAAATTGGGAAATAAATATTCTTTTATTACTTAAAATAATTGCAAGAAGCCCTATTGAGGCTAAGTGTACATAAGACTCTAGACTTGCAATTTGTTCCTTAATCCGTGAAAGAAGGCGAACTTAGCTGCTTCCTTCACAGAGTTCTGTTTTAAAAATTATGCTAAACTTGCTTGGCCCAAGCCGGGCAATATGGAAGGGAACTGTTGACCAATTGATGCATATTTCATTTAAGTTAAAAATTATGTATTTTGTTAGTGTTAAGATACCATCTTAATGGCAATGGCCACTATATTCATTGATTTACCATCTTAATGGCAATGGTTCCTGTTAGCTAGCCACTGGCGGTTTCATTGACTTTACAAAAACCTTATGTTGCCCGAAATTTTTAGTTATGTCGCCCCCTAAAAAAGCAAGTCGCCCGAAAAACAAATACTAAAAAGATCTGAATTTTAGACTGTTAATAGTTGGTTTTTTTCACTAAAGTTAGCAACACCATGAAGATTCTTAAAGTGTTGTTCGTTTCCAACAACAAAAAAGGCAGCGTTGTTTGTTTGATTCTTTCTTGCTCACGTGGTTTCGGTTTAACAATACCATGTTTTGACTACAGAAATCGATCGTATCCTCGGAATTGAAATATGTTTGAGTAACGATTCTAAAAGCGTTGTTCGTTTCTAACAACAAAGGGAGTTCTCCGTTTCTAACAAAAAAAAAAATGAAGCGTTGTTCGTTTGGCATATACTCGTTTCTCATGGACATTTCTCGTAACTTTGAGAGTTTTCATTTCTAACAAAGACATGAAGACTTTGCCCGAAATTTTGGTTAAAGGCCATGTCGACCGTAATCGTCGCACTGAAAAAAAAAAAATGAATGCTCATTTTGATCAGTTCGTATTCGTATTGTAGCTAGCTTTACCCTCTTCATATATACTTTGATCGGTTCAAAATATATATGCGACCGCCAGAGGAAACAGTGCGCAACAACATAACTTTTGCCTATTCTGGCCCTGAGGGAAATGACGCTATCAGACTAATACTGTGAAAAAAGTCACAAGCATAAACAAGAGACTGTTTTCTTAAAAATATCACACTTACCTTACGCAAGGCAACAAGTTAATTGTATTTGTATGTTACTCGCTTTACCTTTTACCGACTTGTCGAACGTGACAATCGACGTTCGTTTACCAGGTGTTATTGTTAAGAAAGTCACAAATAGACACAACAGAACTCTACTTGTATGTTAAGCTGCATCCGTGCATTTGTTGTTATAGAAACGAACAACGCTTCCTTCTGTCGCTAGAAATGAACAACGCTTTTAGAGTCGTTACTCAAACATATTTCAATTCTGACCATACAATCGATTTCTGTGAAGTCAAAGTCTTCATGGCGTTTTAAGAAACAGGAAAGAGTTTCCCAAGCTTACGAAATGTCCGTGAATAGCATACGAGTACATATTAAACGAACAACGCTTCATTTTTTTGTTAGAAACAGAGAACGCTTCCCTTTGTTGTTAGGAACGAACAACGCTTTAAGAATCTTCATGGTGTTGTCGGAAACAAAGAGCGCTTTAGCGATAAAACATTTCTCAACGTTATTGCCTATTGACAGTCTGAAATTTTGATCTTTTTAGTATTCGTTTCTTCGGGCGACTTGACTTTTTTTGGGGGCGACATTACAAAAATTTCGGGCAACATGACTCAGGTTTCGGGCGACATGACTTCGGGCGAGATGACTCTCGGGCGACTTGACCGGTTACCGTTCTGGCCAATGACAGTTTTCAAATGTCACTTGTCCATCCTTTGCCGTGACTCACCCAGTTGGCTTGGGCCACACATGACATTTAAAGGTACAGCTTCATCTGTTGATGAAAAGAAAATTCCATTAAATCAGTCACATGTCAATGGATCATTCAGTATGCCAACCAGCCAGCAAGCCTCTTAGTCAGCCAATCCATTTAATCCAGTCAGCAAGTCAGTCAGCCTGTCAGCCAGACAACCAATCAACAAACCCCTCAGTCAGCAAATCAGCAAGTCATTCAGTCAGCCGGTCAGCCAACCAGCCCCTCAGTCAGCCAGTCAGTTTAAGCCAATCAGCAAGTAATTCAGGCAGTCAGGCAATCGGTCAGTCAGTCATTCAGCCAACCAGCCAGCCCCTCAGTCTGCCAGTCAGCAAGTCAGACAGCCAGCCTTTGCATGACAAACATGGTCATGCATCAGGTTGGTTAGTCAGTCAATTATTCTTTCAATCATGGCAATTGTCAGGCAGTCAGGCAGTCAAATAGGTCAATCCATCAGTCAGTCAGCCAACCAGCTGGTCAATGAATATGTTCTCTTTTCACTAGTCTCTTGCCAGGAATCTGTCTAAAAACATGCTTGTAAACTGTTAACAATAAACAAAGGAATGACTTAGTTACCCATCCTAGCTGGCCTTGTTAATCCCAATTGTTCCATGATTTCCATAAACTCTTTCTTAGATTTGGTTAAGCGTGGGTTATACTTTAGCTCCTCTCCAACAGTTGTAGTTGTCACACCTAAAATTGAAGCAACCAAAACTAATTGAGAAATATCTTCCTTCGTCAACCCAAAGAAATAAACTGGATTCAACCAGTGCATGTTTCGGAGAGAAAAGTGACATTATTATATCAAAATTTATGAATCCTTAATGAGCTCTGAACTTCCAACTAAAATTTCATTTGAACAAACTGCACTAGTTTTCAAACATTGAACAAACCATTATAGTCATGAGCTGGATACAACATGTAGTCCTCTGGTAAAGAGAGGATCTGATTCCTTACAGAGTCATACAGTGTCTCAGGATTCCCTGGAAAAAGAGACAATTAGTCATTAAAGTAACCATAGACATTGCTAAATTACACTTATAGAACACAAATTTAACTCATGCATGTCCTTAACTCTTAATGATGGTCAAAGAGATTGCAGTTCTTCTAAAAACAATTGGAAAACGTTTCTCAAAGGTGTTTTGACCTCTCCCTCCTTTGGACTATTGTTCACCCCCTTTGGTACAGATTTCTTTTTCTTGCCAGCATTCTGCTCAGTGCAGTTAAGACCAAAGAAGGCAGCTATAATTTTCATGAAGTAAATATTTCAAACACTTGCTTACCAAAATCATCTCAGTCTACTCTACTGGCTAATTACACTCAAAATTTCCAAGTTCTAAGTTATCTTGCAGTGTACAGGAGCTGACCTTATGACTTTCTGCTTAGATCCTCAGATATTCCATCAATGAGAAACAGGAGACTACTTGTGGGTACAGCATCAACCTGGGTGCATATACAGTCACACCCTTCTTCAATTCCTAAAAATATCTCTCTTTCTAGGTGGAACTTTTCTAGACCTGCTCAAAAACTGTTATGATTAATTTAACAATTACAAAAAAACTTGATTCATATTGCCCATTCAACTTCATGATTACCTTCTTGAAAATCAGTTCTTCCGCAAGCTCTTATCAGAAGGGCATCACCAGTAAATGCCATCCTACCAGTATGATCCACATACGTCACACAACCTACAAAGCATGAATTCAATGATAGAACTGTACACGTAGTGAATAAATGAATAAAATTAATGAATAAAGGGGGTAAGTGACTACAAAAACTGTGGTGCTGCATTGGCGGGAGAGTAAAAAAAGGGGAATTAAGTGTTATCAATTGAGTTTACTGGATAACATAATTTGGCTGCCATAAAGAGGTTTAAAGCCAATATTTCAAACGTTAACCCTTTGTCGGAGCTCTGATGAAGGGCTAACTCTAGAAATGTCAGCTTTCAAATTCTTTGCGGAGGTCAATTTATGTTATTAACTCAGTTGATAATACTTAATTCAAGCTAGCGGTTGGTCATTACTTTTAGAGAGAGTGAGTGCAGAAGCCACTGAGTTAAGTGTAAAGCTTTTCAGGAGACTTCAAGCCCTTGGTATGGATGATTTCAGTCACATCCAAAATTTTGGTGCAATAATTTGAAGAAGAGATGGCTTGATTATGAGAGTGGCAAGTGATGATTTTTTATTAGCAGCTTGTTAATTATTTAATTGATTACTAATAAAATTCTCTCTCAGTCCCAGAATAGCAGACCATTGTATTCACCATAAACACTATAAACAAGATGAAGTTGGTGGAATTTTTTTTGTTTTCAATATTAACGCAATGGAAAAAAGGGTTTCAATGGCTAAGTCTCTAACATACCATTGGTGTGCCCTGGAGTGGAGCGCACCTCGAGTACCTATGGTAAAAAATAAATAAATAAAATGTCTGTTTATTAATCCTTTCACTCCCAAGATCTCTTAGATAATTCTCCTTACTGTCTCCCACACAATTCTTATAATACAATAATTCAGAGAATTAATGGTATTGGATCAGCTAATAATACCCTAGTTGATGTTGAACTCTATGTTCTTACCATTTATCTGCTTGATATTGCATTAATATTGTAAGGAGAAATTTCATCCTGGTCTCTCATGGGATTCAAAGGTTAATTTATGTCAGTCCTAAATTTGCCTTTCAATAAAGTATGGATAAAAAAAAATCAACATTTTAACTCTGAATTACCAGTAAACCAATTGAGTCAGAGATATTCATCATAAAGATTGAGAAACTACCTGATCTCCAAAGTTGATTTGGTCACCATTATTAACAAACACATCAGCCATAGCTCCACTGATTTTAGAGATCACACTTTTGCAGCCAGTGAGATTTTTAAGAATCCCTGTTCCTGTCACATGATCAGCATGGACATGTGTATTCACTGATGGAATTAAATTGAAAATAATTTTTAAAAAAAATCAGCAAAAAAAGAAATTGATGTCAGCCTGCTGTACAGAACTCTAAGAACAGGCACACAAATTATTTTTTGTGCTTCTCTGAAAAGGAGGGACTTCTTGTAGTCTATTGGACCATAATGTAATGAATCTCTTGCACAGTTCTGCAAATGGCAGATTAATTATAGTCTTGAAACATTTATTGATATCATTTACTAACTTGCGTAAATAAGTTTAAGGTCCAATTCTTTTGCTACTCTTATGTCTCTCTTAACCTGCAAATAAAATTGCTATATGAGCTTACAGGGTGGTATGATTTTAAATTGCAGTGTTACTTTGTAACTCCCAAGTCACCAAAAAAAGTTGTCATTTTCCATAACACTTTTTGCAGAGTTTCCTTTCTTTCAAGTTTGTATCAGTTAGGATTGAAGGTTTGGACAATTCAATCAGCTTATGTTCTGATATTGATGTTTATCAATGGAGGTTTTTACCAAAAGTTTAGGTAATCAGAGTAAATTTGAGCAAAGGGAAAGTAAAATTAATGAGTTAACGTGGAGTTCAAGTTAACTGACTGTGAGTATGAGTCTGGTAAAATGGGGTCAAATCGGAGTGAGATCAGATCTTGTTTGAATTAGCAGGAGGAGGTGGGGGGTTGAGTCAGCCACGCTTAAATTGGCAGGGTTCTTACTACCTCTAATTATTTATAAATATTTCACAAACCTGGGTGTCGACAGGGTCAATGAGAACGGCCACCCTAGTCTTAGGACATCCCAGTAAGTAAGTGTAGGTAAATGACTCCAAGTCAAATAGCTAAAGAACAGGTAAAATTACAAATGGTCATCAAAAGAGGAAACATTTAGCTAACTCATCTTACAAAATGAATCCTTTATCTCCAATAAATGATTAGAATTATGGCAAAACTACAGAATACAGGGCCACTTAAAATTTACATTCTTTTGTGTCTTGCCTTTTTCTTCAAAGCATGCCGACAAGGTGGACTCCAGTGGCCCTAGAATGTGTAGCTGCTCCAGAAAAATTTTCCCACTAAACAGCTATGTACAGTAACTGTGTATCTAAGAACTCTATTTTTCCGTGTAAAATGGTAGAGGAAAGAAAATCCTACTCAAAAAAGATATGTTTGTTTGTTCTCAGCAAATGTTTGCTGGATAACATATTGGGATTGTGAGGATAAACCGTATGTTGACCTCTTGGAGGTAAAAGAGAGCCACGTCCCGCATACACGCCCCCTTTTCCTCACCAATCCTGTTCACCTTTCACTCGACCACTTTTTGGGTCATGCTGTCTGTTAATATTTGTTGATATCTACGGCAGCATAAGTTTCCTGGAAATTCTTGAAGCACAGGGAGAAAATCGAACACCTGGATCGTTTTAATGTGCGTTTGAAAATGGACGTGAAAAATTGCACGAATGGAAACAAATGTAGACAGTTCACTCGAACGACCGGGAAACAGGAAAGCTGCAACAGATCGACTTCCCTGAATCAAATCTTGGGGTTACCCCAACTCACCTGTCGGAAAATAACGCTTGCTCTATTCCCTGCCATGATGAGACGATCACGTTGAAGCTTAGTAAGTCCGTAACAGTGGTAAGAAGATCAGTAATCTGTTGCAACTTTAAAGTTTTTGACGAAATTTATTACTGATATTGACTTCGTTCCAGTCCACACTCATTCTGTATTTTGCAGCGTTCAAAGGTTTCTGGGATGCATGTTTCTATGCAAAATGGCGGCAGATTTGTTTTGGACAACACTTTTTACAATTCTCTTCTTCGCCTTACCAGCGTTGATAAGAAGTCAAAGTAATAGAACTGTGTTTTCTCCCTCGTCTACGTCAGGTAGGTAATTTGCACGATATGGATTGTTCTCCCTCTGGGTTGCGTGAATTTCAACACGATCTTCAGTATTTAGCTAATGGTCGGTTGCATCATCTTTTTGTACTATTCAAAATATCGATGGTGAACCATTATTAGTGTGTAAACGTGGAAAGGCTCACGCAACATCCTATCACCACTGTTACATAAGTAGATCCGCGATCACTCTCTTTTCAATTGCATTGCCTGTATTTCGATGCTTTTCCTGGACTGCTAACTAGTCAATTGACATTACAGAAATATACTTAACTCGTTGGTTATATTATTTGGCGTGTCTTTCTATCGTTCATTTAAATCTTCATGAACGTATGTTCTCTCAGACATGGTTTGATGCCACTCTGGTGTAAAGATTTAATGAATGAAACCGAGAAGTTACAATTCATGAACCTAAATAGTCTTCTCAATTTCTTTTTATATCCGAAGCTTTTCTTATCAATCAGCCTACGTGCACTATTTTTGGAAAATCTTCCATCCCATGAAATTTCTTCTTTCTTACGTAACAAACTGTCTGTAGCACTTTTTTGAGGCTTTTTGTATTGTCATGATTTGTGCTTGTTGCAGTCATTCTTGGACACAAATTTGGAGGAAGCTATTGAGATATTCTTCCCTGGAAACATTTTATCTTTTCAAATTATTTGTGTAACTCCCCTTTAACATCTTCCTTCTATCAGTACATTCCCTCAGTCTTGCATTTTGGTTGACATTTTAAAATGCAGAATGTAAACTTTTAAGATTTCTTGAATGGAAGGAGTCACGAGACTGTTGTGAATGTTCTTGTATTATGAGTTCAAAGATCAGTTGGTCCCAACACATTTCAATCAAGATTTTTCAGCAACAAACCCTTGTGCTGGTATAAGTGGCCATCCATTTGTTCTCGTAGTGAACATTAAATTTTGTTGAACATGTTTATTAATTTTTGTTAGAAACATTTGCATCACTCTAGGGAAAATACAGTACCAGCCCAGTGGTCACATGTGCTCATATGCATACATTTGATCAGCTATGGGTGCATAGTACATTAATACCATAACTTATTCTGATTTTGAAAGGTTGCACTTGTGATCTAACTGGTAATGGGTGTGATGTGAATTGTTGCTGTGATACTGACTGTACCACAGTAGATCAACAGTCATTTACAGAATGCAGAGACAATGATGTCAAGTATGTTTTCTTTGTTTTCCATGCTGAAACAAGACATATCATGCTTTCTGGTTGTTGCTGTTTTCAAAGTTTTTATATTTTTTAGAATAAACTAATGCTTAACTTTTATCAAATTTTATACTGGATATTGAAGTGAAAGTCAACTGAAACTGAGGATCTATCTCTAGAATTGCTGATTTTTTTTGTTAATCAAAAAGGAGAAGTTATTTCTATTTTCAGTTTTAATATTTAAAAATAACCTTGATTGGTCTTTGAGTTATAATTTGTGTGTTCTCTTGCAGTCGAGATAGCAGAGTGTGTGTTTCCGAAGAAGTTATTTTTAAGCAAAACACCAAGTTTTTGACTGAAACTACAGGGACTGGTTTGTTCTGTGTTGTCAGAGACAACTGTGAGTAATTGATTTAAAAGTAAGCACTTGAAGAAATATAGTCTGTGTAACATGCAAATGCTTAAACTTTATTTGACTTGAGATAGATCAAATGATAACAGAATTTAAGAGGCACCTCAATTAAGCAGACAATACAATGAAGAGGGTGCCCTTTGGTTCCACTTAACCCTTGGACCCCTAAGAGAGAACAGCATCTAATTTCTCCTTATAATATCACCCCTGAATCACACATTAAGGTTATGAGAATAATGGAAATGATCACCAACCAAAGAATCTCTTGATTATTAAATAAATTCTCCTTTTCAGCATCTTAGGAAATGTGTGGTGAGCAATCAGTAAGGAAAATATGCATACTGATACTTGGGCATTAAGGGTTATTAGGGGAGATTTGACAGTAACCTTTTTTTTTTTTAATTTTAATGGCAAATAAAATATTCTTGGTAGCTTATAGTATGGGAAATGCACTACGGGTATATATCTAGCACATAACTGCATGTTTCACCTAACTCACTGTATGCAATAAAGCTACACACATAGTTGTGTATAATTAAGACATATCCTGAAACTTTAAATGATCAAAGGTGAAATTTGATGGAATTACAACTGTACCTTTATGTCACATTATAGATTATTTTCCAAAGTTGCCATGTAAATTGTTGCTGTCTTTGCTAATTATTGATTTGCAGATGAATCTCGCAATTTTTATAATGATGTGCAGACTGCTACTACCAGTGAAGAATTCTCTAACTTAAAGAGTCAATCAGCAGCTGCTACTGTGTATGATTACAGTGGACAGTCAGATACAAGTTCTTCAGGATCAACCTCATACATGGTAATCACCTACAGAAAAATTAATGATCTATGGAGACTTTTTTAATAGCGAGCTATAAAAATAACACCAGCCAGCAAAGGTAAAAATATATTTCAGATCAAGACAGGTAAATTACTGTTTTCAATTGTCATTTTTAAGTGGCCAATGCTTCCCAAACAAGCAAAATTATATACAGTAGTAAGCAGAAACCCTGGCTGCTGGTGTTTTATGAGGACGCTGTCACAGTATGTAAGCTAGGAAGTGTTGTTTGCATACATCAATTGGAGACCTACATGTGTATATTGTACACTCTGCTCGTGAAATTTCTCAGGAGAAGTAAGTCAAAATCTAGCTAGCTGTTCTCACTTTTCTTTGCGTTCCATTCATTTGCTTGTCTTTTGAGTTCTCACAAGAAATGTCTGCTGGGATCATGACTTTGCATGTATCCACATCAGTGATGTTAGATACTACCAAGATATCCTTGTAGTTTTGACATCTGCAATGTATCCTTACTTCTTACAGGTGGGTGATCCAATCATTCTTCAATTTAACAATGGTGCAAAAGGATTCCTAGTCCTACCCAGACCCTTGCTTGGAGGTGAATGTGATGACAGGAGTGCTGCAGGTACTTGTACATGTATGCAAGAAAAGAAAAAATCTTGGCACCTGATTTTTATAGAAGAAGGCAGAGTTCACATTTAGGATCAATCTCATTTTATATTTTATATTTATAACAACTTTATTTAAATAATAACATATAACATATTATTATTATTATTATTATTATTATTATTATTAAAAAAGGGTTATAGAAGGGAGGAACTTAATCCTCATTGTAAACTATACCCCAGATATAAAAATTTAATACTATGCAATACACATATACATACTGAAACATTTTACATACAAGCATATATCTATATAAATATAAAATCTAAATAAAGAAGACAAATTTTGTTTAAAATTATAATTAAATAATGTATAATACATAGAATAATTTAATTTTGTAATTATAGGCCTTGTTAAATAATGTTGATTTTAGAGCTTTCTTAAAAGCATTCATTGAGTCAAGTTCAACTACTGATGACAGCATCTAACTCTTACAAAGATTTACTTACTTTACTTCAGTGAATGTAAGTAATGATGCTAATTTTTCTTTTTCTTCCAGGATATCGTCAGGATGCTAGCATAGAGTGCACCAGAACCATTACAGATTTGACTACAGAATGTGAATCAAATGCAGTACTAAGTGCTAGAAGTTATTTTGAAGGCTTTGAGGTTGTTAAGGTAAAGAGTCTTTTGCATCCTCTATTTTACATCTTTTAGGAAAATTTAGCCTGCGCAACAGGAACTTGTTGAGAGTGGCATTAACGAATGCACAATGAGATCAAAATGTATTATATTACTTCTGGGTTGCACTTCTTGGTCCAATTTACTTGTATACCTGGTTTATACAAGGGCCTACAACACTGACAAATGAGCAATGATTTATGAATTAAAGCTGTGTTCCTATGTGAAGAGAGTACATTGCCTTTGCCACATGATTATTGCAATAAAGGTAAAGTCTGTACTCAAGCTGAATGGCCTATCCAGCCAGAGCTTATATAGGTTTCCATAGCTTGAAGCGACCAGAAGTATTGCTACTTCCCCCCCTGGAAGTGATGCCAATCAATTGTAAAGTTATCCCCCAACATTTTGTCAGGCTTCCTTGAAATTATGGCAGTACCCAATCATACTCCTGACAGAAGAACTGTGAAAGTCAAGTGTTTTATCCAAGAACACAACACAATAGTCAGGCCTCAAACCTGGACCACTTGACCCAAAGTCCAGTGCACTGACAAGCAGGTCACCACATCTCCCACCGAATTTTGTGATACTAGTCTTGTATTGATGGAACTAAATTTAGCACTGATAAATCTGTCATCCTACAAGGCTTTATCTCTGCACTGTGAATAACATAAATGTCTAAATTTGTGTGCATGCAGAATCCTGCCATCATCCCATCAAATAGTACAGTCACCAACTCAACTAACAACTCAACCAACAACTCAACCAACAACTCAACTAGCCCTGTCAGTAACTCTGTAGCTGTTGAAGTCAAACAGCCTGTGTTGTGTAAAACAAACCTTGGTATACCAATTCAGTGCTCCTTCACTTTACCCCCACATCCAACTTTAGATGCTCAAAACAAGACATGTAATGATGTTACTTATGAGGTAAGCAAAATTAACCAAATGATGATTGAAGCTCTCTTGTTGGGCAATTTAGCCAGATCACTCATTATATCGGTTATGAACACCCTCACGAAACCCTGTTTGAATTCCAACGCATATAGGAAGTTTATGTTTATACATTTCTGTAAATGGTGGTCATACTTGCACAGGTTACAATATTATGATACGGTCAGCTTTCTCTTTACAGCCAGTTTTGTAGGTGATCACTTCCTCAACAACCACTTTGTAAAATACTATTACTTTTGTTTGTTAGTTAAATAGTGGTTCAAAACCTCTCCCGTAGCCAATTGCTTGTCAATTTTGTCAGGGGGCAACAACCTCTTTAAAGGCCAGAAATTCAGAAAGTTATTTTGTTCAGTGCTTCCAATTGATGACACTCCACAAATTTAGGGAAATTTTGATGTTACTTAACTGCCATCACGAAGATCTCTATTTGCGAAAAAATAATGCCCTGTTCAGCCAGTGTCTTATTGAACTCTCTTAGAAATTTAGCGCAGTGGAGTTGCAAAAACAAACGGCAAGTCTGCCTGTTAGAGTTTGATTCTCAACCAGTTGCTTTGTTTTCACTGATGAGAAAGGAGTGACTGTTAGGGACAGTTACTGTCATAATATTTGATATGTGGATCCAATCCCATTTTTGCTGGCCAGGTGTCATATACAATACTTTATTCCAATGACTCAACTGACATTGTGTCAGTGCTGGCTGAGTTTGTATTGGGAAGCATCACAGCAGAAGACAGAGTGGCCCTGAGGCAAAAAGTCTCCGTCAGGTTTCTAAAGGTATTGTAATCATTAACAGCAAACTATTTTTTCACTCGTAACATATTGATACAACATTCGTAGTCTTTCAAGGAGAGCAAACTATAGAACACCTGTAATTTGTTTTGCTGCGTTAAAATTGTATTTCATTGTTTTCTACTGTAAATGGTTTGAATGGTTTGTTTTATTTGCCATATGATTATATGTAATATCATATAACACAACATAACAGGTAGCACTGAAACCCCCTGGATCAGACTACTCAACCAAATTGTTAATTATTAGTTTCTTCGTCGCTTAAAGTATGCTAGGATGTGATGCTTAGGTGTGCATGTGTTTTCTTTTAATGTACCTTCAGTGAATTAAATATTGAATGAATACATTGTTTTTATGCAAATTTCGTAGGCCGGAAGTGAAGACAACACATTCAAGAGATCAGGCAATCCTGGTTACATTGTTGGCGAACCTCTGGTTGCAGGCAATTTGACCCCAGATGGTAACAAGTATCTTTTTTTCTTTTTTTCTTAAATCTTTCTATAGAAGACAGACCGAGTACTTCTGGCGACTTAGACTAGAAGTATGACAGTAGGAATGTCGCGATCCTCAATTTCTAACTTGACTCGGGAATCGATAATGAATCGTGAGATAAACGAATGACAGTTTACCTATCAATACAAGATCGTATATTTTCTGTGTAAGGCGTCTGCGAATCAGACGAAAATGAACGAGTTCCGGCTTTTTTTGTTTGTGGTGATTGTTATCGCTGCGTGATGTTTTGCATCGAGCAAAGCAGGAAAACTGCTTTTGGTCTTTTTGTGGTTAAGTGCTTGTGTATCTTGTGGATTTTCCTCGACATTTGGTAGGGAGGCGATCGCTCTGAACAGCGACCGTAACACTTGGCTAACAATCATCAGTCCTACAGCAGGTGGAACTTGCTGCAGTAACTGCACTGATCGTACCTCGGTAGCATTTGGAGTAGACATGCGCACTGGCTGCACTATCAGGTAATGATGTGAGGCCATCTGTTGGCGATAAAGTTATACATTATTCTTTTTCTGTTCTAATTGTATGCTCGTAATCTTTGTACCATCTGCTGATTATATAGTATACAAGTAGCTGCTACGTGCAGCTCTTCTAGAGTTCATGGTGCGAAATCTGTATCCCATCGATTAGGGATGTTTGGGTTTTTTTAAAGGGGACCTGCCACCCGAATCTTTTCGCGGAGTTTCCAAAAGTTTCTGAAAGTTTTTTCGATAAGTAATTACAAAACTTGGTCTTCAGTGATCTAATTTCTAAAATCAGGGGTTTCTAGAAAGAAAGATTATTACTTCAGTTCGAGTTTATCTTACTTTATACATGTGTACTGATTTTGTCGATAGTGGGGAGCTTCAGCACAGGTAGTTTTGTGACGCAAAAAGCAGCAAAAAGTGGAGTGTTCTTTTCTTTGGCGATCGCTATAGATCCTTTGCCAGCAGCGTTCTATTTATATGTAAAATGCTCAAGCTGGTGATGTTCAGTTGACTTCTTGATGTCAAAACTCGCCAGAATAAGTTGAATTCTGCTTCCGGTCGTCGCCCACGTCTCCTATACTTCTGCATCAAAATTCATTCATGAGTCAATTTTCAGCTTAGAATTTTCATCAAATTTATATGCTGGGTGCGAGATGATATGGGACTGAAGTTTTCGACCGCTGGCTTGAAAGTTGGCGGATACAGTTTGTATGATTTATCTGCCAAGTGCGAGATGATATGACACTGAAGTTTTCTACCGCAGGCTTGAAAGTTGGCGGATACACTTTGTATGATTATTATACGTATTTGACATGATTCTGCAGCGGATGTTAATGGCATGTTTTATTTCCAGCATCCCGCAGGGATCACAGTTACAGTGCAAGTTGCTTCAAGAAACAGTGTACAACACATTGTTAAGAGACCAACCCACTTACGTGGCTTCTTTCGGAAACTCAGATGTGAACAGCGTGGGAGACTGGGTAAAGATTCTTAACACCAAACCCTCGGACGAGGTAGAGTGAACTGTGTTATTCACGGTCACTGTTATTGTTGCTGTTGTTTTTGTTGTCGTTGATTACGTTTGAGATAACTTTTTTTCCTTTGCTAACTTTCCACTCAGCCTGTACAAGGAGACAATGAGTGTCGGAACATGAGATTGGGGCTTCACATCGAAGTTCTGTTTGCAAATTTTGGTTTCTTAGCCAAACCCCAACCGCGGGTAAGATATTTGAATATATTTTTTGACTACCTATCCCGAGCCTGAGAATATTACTGACGAGAGACGCTATATTTGCGGGCTACTGATTTGTATGCTTAATGATGCACCGTAGGCTACAGGTTACTTGAAACAGTTTGCTGCACGATGTTACACCCAACGCATTCATCGATAGTGATGATATGCTTGCACAAAGGCTCCTGGGTATTCTGAAAAATTAAAAAAAAAACCGATTCGTAGGATATTACAGACTGAGGTACTTCTGTCAAATGCGTCGCATAACTGACACATCTGTCATGTCTTATCAGGCCCTTGGTATTTGCTCCTGGTACTTGAGCATTCTTGAACCGTTTTGGTATGTCAATGTGCATGTAATTTTACGCCCTGCATGTGCAGTCGAACAAAAACAAATGATATCAGTCAGATACTTCAACGTCAAGTCTAAAATGGAAGAACTCAATGCCGGAAGAGATAGTATAGATTGTAAATTTGTCTTGGTTTTGTATCAGGTCGTGGGAGTTATGTATACATATGACGAACCGAAAGATGTGCAGTATCAGGTAAGATCACTGTCTTCTAATCGTTCTCAAATCTCTAAGTTTGAAATTCATTTATCGAGGGATTGATAGAATAGCCGAGTATATGACCGAGAAAGGTGGTCAGCTGGAAAATCTACGGACCATTAGGTTTTCGAAGGTAAATTGTAGTAAATACTGTAACATTTAAACTGCCTGAGGGCGTGGGAAAACGCGTTACCAAGTCGCGATTAGTTTAAGTGTTAAATCTAATGCGTTGAAAAAAAGAAGCCAGTTTTCTGGGCCAATTACGATGTAAGGCGAGTCAAAGAAATCTCGAATTATTTTCGGCACTCGATTGAAAATTGCTTCAAGACCCTCGGAGCATCAAACCTTCTATCATCTTGCAATTTTTATCCGCAGTGCAGGGGAATTAACTGTCAGCCTGGTAGCTCCAGCCTCGAGCAGCGAGTGGAGGTCGTCTCATCGGTCGGTTTCGTTGATGTCTCCAACCGACCAGAACCGCTGGTCAAACCTGTACCTACCTTTGAGGCTAAAGCAGCGTCCGATTTCTTTTTCCCTTTCTTTTGAACCGATCAGTTTATTGACTAACCACCCTGGTTAGAGCAACTCGTAGACCCAAACGAATTGTCTTCGAAATCGTTTCAGCGTTCACGACGAGTGCTCGGCGATTCCCAGCAAAAGACCATCGTCTCAGAGATTGCATGGTAACGGAGATACAAATCTGATAAACTGCTCAGTTTGTAATTTAGAAACTTCTTCAACAAACTGGAGTCCGCAGTCAGTGCGGAAGGTACATGTATCATGGAAGGGAAAAAAATAATGTTTTTTTTGTTGAAAGCAAAGATTCAAGTAATGCGGCAAACTGGTTCGAAATAGTTGGGAAACGATGTGCAAGGATGTACAACCTGCTCGACATCTGACAAATCAGTTTAACATCGGATTGGGGGGAAGAAGGAAGTGGTAGATCAGGCGTTAACGGTGGAAACAAAAACTGGAATGCAGAGAATATGTTGGAGTACCTTCGTGGACTGGTTTTGTGGAACATGACCAGGTCTAACTACTAACAATAGTTTTATTTATTAAAAAGGAAATTCCAAAGTAACTGATATTACACTGCGGCGTTGTAATTATGATAAAGTTTGTTGTTTGCACTTGTTTAAATATTCTTGCAAAGGAAAAGTTTTCAGTTAAGTGTGTATCATTTTGATTGTAACGAAGATACACCAAAGTGTGTTAAAGGATAATACGTCTCATCATATGTATCTCTTTGTTGAATGGATAAATGGATAAAATCCGTGACAACTGTTGCTTGAAAATGATGAAAATAAAAATCAGTTTCACTCAAATACAAGTGTTTACGGTGACAAATTTATGCTAAATGTGATTTTCTGTATCATCCTCAGTCGTCTCACTGGCCTCGTTGATTAATGTCAGTGGTAAAACGGGAACCTTTGCCTCCCTCGATGATTTGTGGGGATTACTGTTGTTTTCCCGTGTAACAGCTCCTGCTAGATTTCTCTGGAAAGGAAATTAATATATTGAATAACAGTACCACGGATACAACAAGAACTGAAGGAAAACAATAAAACGAAACAAAAAAAAAAGGAAGACCAATTTCTTAAGACATTTATTAGTCAAATACTTATTGCATAGGATTGTAGAGTGTCAGTTTTTCCTGAATCTTGTTTTATTTGTTTAATTGCGAAGTTAAACTGCATTTAAGTAAGGTGGACAATTGAAAACAAAACACCCAAAATTACTCTCTAAGAGAAGAGGCTCGTCCCTCACTAGAAACTACTGATTCCCATTGTACATTTTAGTGGACGCTTGGTCAATTTTCCATGTCACTGAAATGTTGACTAACCTGCTGCTCCTTCTTTGTTTTCAATCGGTCCTTTTGTCCTTCCATGACAGAGATCTTAACAATCTGTTGCATTTTTTCTTCAAGGTCAAGTCTTCGCCTAACTTCCTCCTCTAGAGAAATCCTCAAGTCGCGGACCCTTTCTGTAAGTCGACTCCGTTCCTCGGTATAGGAATCCAAATTGACCATCATCTTGTGTTGTTTTTCTTGGAGCTCCTGTTCTAGTTTCTCTTTCGCATTTTCCAGCAGGAACACTTTTGTGACCAAGTTGTTTCCTTCCTGTTGGTGTCGTTTCAAGTCTTTGGCTGTGGCGGCGAATTCGCTTCTTATCTTCATGATGTTTTGTTCAGCCTCATATCTTTCCTTGCTTAGCTCAGTCTGTAAGTCATCATTAACTTTCTGAAGACAAGAAATTTTGGTCTCGAGAACCACTCGCCTTTCTTCCAAGCAAGCGAGACCCTCTTGCCTTTCCTCTAGCTTCCGATGCAGTTCTTTTATCTTATTCTCAGCACCTTTCAGAGACTCCTCAAGTGAACTTTTAGAACGTCGAAGCTCCTCACATAGTGAACTTTCCTCATTAAGTTGCCTATGCAACCAGCTGTTCTCCTCTCGTAAGTGTTGGCTCTCTCTTTCAGAATGTTCCTGCATTCGTTGGCATTTTCGTTTCCATGTTTCCAATTCCCGCTTAAATTCTGCTTTCTTCGTGGTCGGTGACAACCCATCCACACCAAATCGCAGCTGCAATGATTCTATTTCTTCCTGAAGCCGACCGTTCTCACTCATCAAGACATCTTCTGTCTCCTGGTATTGCTCTAGAGCTTCCTCTTTACCTTTCAAAGTGATCTTTAGCTCTGCATAGCGTTCAAAAAATTTTTCTGCATTTTCATTTGCTTTTATCTTGTCCGTGATAGCGGCCTCTCTCAGGGTATTCTGTCTTTCTCGGAAAATCTTCAGTTGGTCATTCAAGAACGTAATCCTTTCTCCTGCTCTCTGAAGCTCATCCTGAACACCATTATCGAGTAAGCCCTTTAGATATTCGTTATCTTTTTTAACACCACTGAGCTCTTCCATCAGTTCAAGTGACCTCTGCTTTAGCCGAATGACCTCTTCAGAACTACAATGTTCAAGGTCTGCAAGGACCTCTTTCAAAATGGCTCGCACTTCATGTTTTGTCATCTGAGGCAAAACTAAATCAGTGTTAAGGTTGTTGATCAATAAAAGAGGTTCCGGATTTAATAAACTTTTTTCTTCAGATTCGATAACTTTCCGTAAAGATTCTCTCAATTGCGTGGCTTCTTCGGTTGCTACTTCTTTCAGGGTAGTTTCATCCTGCAACCGTTCTCTGAGTGTCGCCACTGTTAGCATCAAGTCGGCGTTTTCCTTCTCTGCTTTTTCAGACGACCACTCAAACTTTCGCACCTCCTTATCCTTTGTTTTGGAAATCTCTAGTAAGGACTGAATGTCCTTATTTATCATTATGTAAGCACTTCTTGTCTTGTTATGAATTGCCTCCAAGGCTTTCTTCATTTCCACGCTCTCACGTACATTTCTCGTTGTTTCTTCGCGCAGTTTTTCTGTGATGCTTCTGTAAGTCTTCAATTTGGATTTTTTCCTTCGCAGCTCGTCACTTAGAGACGTTACCTCTTGCTGGAGTTCGTCCTTGTCACGCTGGACTGCCATTAAAAGACTTCGCAATTTTTTTTCACTTTCAGCCATTGCATAGGTTTCACCAGGTGTATGGTATTCTTTACCTGCCCTTTCTCCGTCGTCTTCTTTGTCTTCATTTTTTTTTCCTTTTAAAGAGTACGAGCTGAAATGTTTGCTTATGGCTTTAGGTACTATCCTTCTTTTCCCTAGCCCTTTGCCTTTCCACCTTTTTACCACACTTTGAAAATCAGAAGAACTTGGAGAGGCAGATCTAGATATCAGGCAACTCGCGCTGTCTTCATCGATTATTGGCAATTGAGATATGGTGGATTGTTCATCAAAGCCTCTGTCTTCCTTTAGTATGAACTCAGATTTCTCTTGTGATGTAATCATTGAAATTTCTAGCTCCTTTTTATCTCTTATCTCTTCTATGAGATCATCTTTAAGGGCACGCGACAATGTTTTCAACCTACAGTTGTCTTTCATTAAGGTACTTAATCTTTCTTTGTAGGAGTCCACTTCTCCTTTGAGATTGCTGTTTTCTTCACAAAGTCCTTCGATCCTCTCGGCATACTCTTGTAAGTCTCTAGCATTTCTCTCAAGTGTATATTCAACAATTCTCTCCAGTTCTTTGAATCTATCGTCCAGTAATGCCCGATGCTCATCAGCTGTGCGAACAACTGTTCTCTGCCTCGCCTCTTCTGTATTTTCCTCGTCGTTACATGTGGTTTTCATCTGAATAACTTCTTTTACGGCTTGCTGCAATGACGACTGCAAATATTGCTCGGTCTCTTTGGCATTTTTTAGGTTTTTCTTGTCAATTTGCCGTTCTTTCATAGCTGTTTCTAGCTTTAACTCTAAGCTTTTGATCTTCTCTTGCAAAACTTCTATGGCTGACTCATGCGACTGAACTTCTTGCTTGCTTGTTTTGATTTCGTCGTAAAGTTCTCGTGCAGTGAGATGCAACTTCTCTTCATTTTTCTTCCCTTGCTCAAGTAACTCTTTCAATGATTTCTCGCCTTCTTCGAGAGAATTGATTAGGATTTCTGACTTTTCAGTGTCTTCCTTTAGTAGATCACAGTATTCTTGGAGGTCGCTCTTGTCTTGTCTTGCTCTCTGCAAGCTTTCTTGAAGGTCTTTCACTTCATTCCTTAGTGCCGCTTGTTCCCTTTCACATTTCCTTTGATAATCCTCAAAGGCTCGTTCCTTACTTCTCAAAAGTTTTTCCAAAACCTCGTCTGTGCATTTATTACTGCTTTCACAACTTTCACTCTCAGCCTTCAGCTGCTCTTTTTTCCTCTCATTTTCTTGAAGTTGCTCTCTCACTATTTCCAGTTCTATATCCTTGTCTTCGATAGCCTTACTAAACGAGAACTTTGTTTCTTCGATCTTTGCGTTTTTCTTTTCGAGCTCTTTTGAAATTTCTCCATTGTCCTCGCTAATTTTTTCAACAAGCGCCCTCAGATCGACTATTTTCTTCTCCAGAGAGGCAGTAACACGAGAAAGCTCCTCATTTGCTCGCATGGTACACTTATTACTGGAGAGTACGTCCTCGATTTTGTTCAATCTAATGTCCGTTGCCTCGGCACTTGAGTGAATTCCTTGGGTCCACGTCGTTTGATTTTCTTCGTTTTCCTCCTGGATACAGAATTTGACCCAAAGACGTTGTATTTTACCCAGGGTTAAGCAATGAGCTTCCTCTACGCCTTGTAAATGGGTAAGAAGTCTAGCATTCTGTTCTTCTAAATCAACTGTTTTTGCTTTTTGTTGATAGAAAGACTGTGCAATATTGTTCAGTAGTACTATGGACTCTTCATCCTCATCGAACTTATTCTCAGAGTCACAAGCAGGATTTACTTTTCGCCACATATCTGCAATGTGTGCTGCCAAGCTCTTCAAAGCAATTCTTAGATCGTGGTTTTGTCGCTGTAAATCAATCATCGTCATCTCTGCGCTAACATCATCTTCCAAGCTTTCTCCACTGTCGTTGCTTTGTTCAGAGCTACTTAGACCTGAGCTTTCTCCCACTGTAGAGGAAGGTGACACATTTAAAGCAGTAGCCCTTTGCTCGGGTTCATTGCAAATTGACAGGATATCCGTGATTTGGCTTATGTGACTTGCACTCATTTTTTTCCAAGATTCCTGAGTATTCTTAAGTTCTAGTGATTTGTGGTCCAGCTCTCGCTCCCTTTTCCCCGTTTCTCCTTTCTCCGTGCACAGCTGCTGTTTTAGATTTACAAGCTGTTCTTGTAACTCCTCTTTTTGGTTTTTTAAAGACTGAACAAGAATTTCAAGTTCCTCAGAATGTGCCGATTCCTGCCTCAAATCATCAACCAAGCATCTCTCCCGCTCCAGTGATGTCAGTTTTTGGTTGTGCAACTCAGCTTCCTTAACCCAAAGTTTTTGCAGAGCAGTTTGGACGCCGCATTCTAGTTCTTCCTTCGCTGAAGTGATTTCCTGAAGTTCTTGAAACTTGTCTTCGACCAATCTCTGTAACTTCCCGAGATTGCGATGGTAGTTTGATCTTTTGAAATCCATTTCCAACTTGGGCATAGAAGTTACTCCGTCACCATTACCAGTTTTTTTGCCCTCCTCGTCGGGAAATCTCTACAAAAATCATTCAAACATTAGCGGTGTGAAAATCGAACTTTGTTAGAGTCAAAATTATGATAGTAATTTCGCACCACTATTTCCTTGTACGGTTGTGAGACCATTTCGCATCAGCGAAATCTAGACAGCGTAGGTGGCCATAGGAAATAGAGAGTCCATGTGTTGCTTTAAGAGTTATGAGTAAATCTCATAAAAGCTACTAAAAACAATTTGCGAGTAGCCACTGTAATTAGGAAGGATTCTAAAAATTAACACTTTACCTGGTAACAAGGGCCATCTCCGGTCAGTTCATCTTCTCTCTTGATTTCAAATTCATCCCTTTGATCGTCTTCAGGGGAATTGAAATGCTGGAGAAAACAGTCATAATTGTTAAAATCAGCTCCGAGGGAGATAGCTGTATCTAAATCCTCCGTCTCGTTCTCTTCTTCGTGTTCACACGACTGTTTTACATCATCCATTTTCACATTTCAACTCCACTAAATGGGAAAAGATGACAAAAAAGATTACAGGTAAGAAGTAAAGACTAGAGGCTCCCGTGAGACTACACAATTAACCCCTAAACCTTCAGAGTGACAAGCATCTAATTTCTCCGAACAATATCACAGCTAAATCAAATTAAAAGGTCACGAGAATAACGGAAATGATAACCAATTAGAGAAACTCTTGATCGTTCAATAAATTCTCCTTACCTGCATCTCAAGAAATGTGAAGAGTACTTTTGAGTTCAAACCATCTTCTGTACCACGCTAGTTCATGAACTGAGCAAGAGTACTGAATTTACAGCTACTTGGAATCAGCTGATTAACCCTTAAATTCCCAAGATCCCATTAGTAATTCTCCTTACTGTCTGCCAAACAATTCTTCTGATGTTACCTCTGAGAATTTGGTATTGTATCGATAAATAAATCCCCTAATTGGTACTTTTCTTGGTTCTCATCACCTGTCTTCTTGATTTTGTATGGATATTATAAGGAGAAATTCTGTCTTGGTCACTCATGGGAGTTAAAGGGTTAAAACTAACCACTTTAAGTTGCGCTACTGTTGAATATCAAGCCTACATTTAGTTAAGGATACGATCCTTTTTTTGCCAAATTTACTCGAAATCGCTGACCATTATCTTCTGCCTTAGTAGAAATAGCGGCGAGACATGAAGTAACGTTTTTTTCGACGATAAATTTTACCTTTAGTCGTAATTCTCGATGAAATAAATCGCGAGTGAAAGTCAACGAAATTTACCTTTTAGCTGGACGCACGTATCAGTTATGACGTCACTTTCCCGCCTTTGTGACGAAGGTAGTTTTTGCAGTCTCACCAACACAGCGGTCAGATTATTGCATATGCGCACTATGACGAATAACATGGAGGTTCAGAGGAAGAGGTAGTATTCGTTCTCTAATGAGAGTTCGAAGTTTCTAAGACAGAGACTTATACGTAGTTTTTCTGGACTTTACCCGCTATGTGTTAGTTTACACTCTTGTACTCTTTTTCTGCACTTTGCACGGCGGCGTGATTAAGTCGTCCATGGACTTGGCCGTGCCGACTGCAACGTATTCTTTGTTGCGTTCGTGGTGGAGTTGCCGGTAATCACCGAGGGAAATGTGTTAAAAAAGGAAGAACCAGAGCCACACAAGATCTTTTTGACGATCACAGGTCTATGTTTATGGTGGACAATGGACTGTGCAGCAAGGGTAGAGGAAATTTTCGGTCACATTCCATATCGATCACCGAAACGAAGCGTCCGCGTTAAAAATAGTTGGCATATCTCATAATAAAATAAAGGCGAGATTTAATCTTACTCTAAAATCCTTTTTTCATTTGTCGGTAAAGTTTCCGCACAGCCCCAAACTAATGTAAAACAAATATGTTTTCCCAATGGAAATGTATTGTTTTTTTCGTTGTTTTCTCTAGTCAAGAACTGAGGGCCGTGGGGAAATTTTACCCTTTTGTTTAACGTAATGCAATAGTTGCAAATTTAATCTTCTTTTTCTTACTTTACGCTAAATACGCGTACGGAAATCCCTCGTATGCTTTCAAATTGTCCTGCATGCACGGTGTTTGAACGCTGTGTTTTCAGTAAGTCACCGGGGAAACTAGTAATCGCACGCAATATTCAAAATGGCGTCTTGCAAAATAAACATATCTGACGTGGATATTATTTACATAAAATCGAAATATTCAGGAAAGTGAAAGTCTTTGCAAGGAATAAACAATTATCCTAACAAATTTCTAAAGAGAAAAGTGGAAGAGATTCGATTGCATTTGATTTCCCATTTTCGAAGAAGCAATTTCTCGGCAAGGGAAGCTATTTTAGCGATGACTCGCATGAGTTCGTATATGCAAATTAAATTAAGTGATCGTTCATCCCAGAAGTCAAATTTTGATAGAAACGCCTAGAAGCTTTTGTTTAGACATGGAGTATGGCTTATGAAGAGTGGGCATTTTGGCTCGTTCTACGAGTTTGGTATGTGTCCTCGATCTGTCTTCACTGTCAACACTTCATTGGCGCGGCTGAACACGTGTTAGGCCAACAGAAGGCGAGCGTTCACTATTCAAGCAACAAGTCGGCAGGTAAGTGCAATAAGTCTCAAAGATTTGTACCATGCATTTACATTTTGTTGAAATTATAGAATGTTCAAGGTTGTGACATGATTCTGTCGTAAGAAAAGAAGTTAACAATAGCGAAAGATCTTCGGAATCGGCGGTGTTCTGAACTGTTTTGCACATGAAAAGGTTGGTTGCTTTTTCGAAAGTCAATCATATTGTTATTCTCTTCATAATTGTTTGTGTCGAGCGCTTCCGCCTTTTGCTTGACTTCCTCCTTCGCTGAAGGAGAATGAAGTATCCTTTTCCAACATGAAATACAGCGGCTCACAGTTATGGTGTTGTTAAAGCACAACATTTTCGGGACACAACGATTTCTAAAGAATTTGTAAACGTACAGGTACCTGTTAAATGAGCAACTAATTTTGAAATTTACCAACGGGTTAAAACATGCTGCGTGATATTTATGAAGCTCAGAGATTTACCTTTGGACTTGATAGTTTTATTTCTAATTTCAAGAGTGTTCTGCTGTTGTTGGAAAAACTTGGCCGAGCTTCACTGTCAAACTGCTGTCAGGAACTTTTAAGTCACGCTGTAAAATGTATCACACCAGAATTGGAACCCTTTTGAATGGGATGCACCTGCTTGGTGTCTGGTGTTTATTTCTAAGTCATTGATGTTAACCCTGTAACTAATAAGATCTGATGGTTAGTTCTCCCCTCTTGCTGCTGCACATTTCTCTGTAAAGGAGAGTTTTTTGTTAGATCAAGAAAAAAACTTCTACCTGATAAGTTTGAGTAAATCTCATTACCTATTTGCTGGATATTGTATAGATGTTATTAGAGAACATTTACAGGTTAACACACTCAGCGAGTGAATTATCAGGATGTACCTGCCCAAGTTCAGTCAAACCATAAATGAGAAATTTCAAAACTACACAAGGCTTTGCTGAGTGTGGTATGTAAAATTTTGAGTTCATTGTTTGTGAATGAGTACAGGTAAATCCTGATAATCGATGAGCAATGAATGCATTAATAGTTTTTTTATTCAAATTAAATACACGGCGCAAAGAAACACAACACACAAAAACACCTCAACCAGCTTGAACGAAAATTTAGAATTTGTAACCTAACTTTTCAAAACAGATATTCCCCAAGCAGTTGCTTTCTTGGTGTTTATAGGGATTGCATCATCAATAAGAGAATCAATGTCTGCATCTGACAAATTGACAAACTTTGAGTCGGTGGAAGCTGTAGTGTGATGACAGTGGTGTGTTGAATTTACACCACAGCTATTACACCATGATAATGATGTCATGGAGGTTGTTTTTGTCACAACCCAGTATCACGTTGTACAAATCAGCCAATCAGAAAATCAGAATTTGTACAGTGAAAGTGAAAGTTGAATAAAAATTATATTAATCACCCCTGAGAGTTGAAAGTTAAGAAAGTTATAGGAGAAGTTGTGGGAAATTCACTGTCTGTGAATGTTAAACTTTATGATATTTGGATGGGGGATGTTCAACTCATTTAACAGCCTCAATTTTTCATTTTTAGTGGTTGTGTTGTCAGTAGTGTTTGTGAGGGGTTCTAACTAGCTTTTAGAAAATGCAATAGTTTCAAACTCTTTTACAAACCAGTAAATACAATTATCTTGAGCACTTGTCCCCATGGAAAATTTTGCTACATTGGGGATCTAAGAGTATCCATTTCTGGAGGCAGACTGAATAGAAAAAGGAAATCCAGATTCAAAAAAAGGGAACGAGTCATGTTCACACTCAACCACTTTCAATTTCTTTGAGGAGCAATCAACAGCAATACTTAACATCTTTGTTTTAATTTCACCTAATTGCTAGAGGAAATACAAGAACAACAAAAACAACAATTTATTTGTAATTTATTGACAAACATTACACAACTATCCTTAGCTATCTAACCCATGAGAGTGATAAGCGTCTGATTCTTCCAACAGTATCACCTCTGAATGGGTGTGGACAGAACGTGGGGTTGGCCATGGCCTACCCTGTGGCCTACCCTATGGCCTACCGGTGGTCAGATTTCTAAAAACATAAAAATAAAATCAGTAAGAGTTGAACGAGTACGCTGGCGTACAATTCTATGTCTCTAAATAGGGTATACTAAAAAGTCACTATCACGATTTTGAACGTCTGAGGGAACGAAACAATGCAATTATTACAGCACTCAGCCTTGAAACATCCTAACTCTGTCTTCCCCACCCATGCACTCAACCATAACGGTAGGTTAAGGGGGAGGGGAGAGGAGGGGCCAATATTGCGTGGTCGCTGAGGATATCCACAATGGCGGCTTCACGATCCATACAGGCTGCTAGCTAGTAACATCATAGTTATTAGAGGAGACTATGGTAACATATAGTGGAGTGCTAGTGTAAAAGTGTAATGAACGGCGTTATATCGAACAACATATCCAGGTAAGAAAATGAAAACAGTACGTGCCAGGCCAATTTTTTAAAGTGCCTCTTTAGTGCTGCAGAGTAATGAATTTGCAACAAGCACCCCGGGACATGCAGGCATCGCCGTCATAAACGTTTCACAAACTTTACTTGCTTTTCTTACTGAAGTGTGGTAGTATAACAATACAAGTGGTGTATTAAGCTGTTCTCTGTGCAACAGGAAGTTCATTTGGGATACTATATTGCATGACATTGTGACAAAAAGATATAGCACACAGAGTAATTGACAAATTTAACAATCTGTTTAATAATTTTTCTTTTCTTTTTATATCTCAAAATAAATGTCCTAAAGTTAGTTAATTAACTAATTATTCGACTCTTACTGATTTTATTTTTTATGTTTTTAAAAATCTGACCACCGGTAGGCCATAGGGTAGGCCACAGGGTAGGCCACAGGGTAGGCCATGACTTAAACCATAGCTTAGGCCATGGTCTACCCCACGTTTTTGTCCACACTCCCTCTGAATCAAACATTAAGGTCATGGGAATGAAGGAAATGATTGCCAAATCAAGAACCTCTTGATTGTTATACAAATTCTCTTTGTAAGTTGATCCATAGGAAACTTTCAGAGAACAATGTGGAAACTTGCTAACTGATGTTAGGTTACAAAGGGTTAACAAATAGGAATGCAGAGAGAGTAACTGTTAAGTGTACCAAATTCAGTAGAGTGATTTAATTTTAGAGTCATGTATTGATTATTATTTCCAGGGTTATATTTAGAAACTTCAAACGATGTGACAATCAGAGTGGGGAAACTACTTCAGTTGAACTGCAGTATAATTGGAGCAGTTAATTCCTCTCAGTTATCCTGGTATCGTGGGAATCAGAGTTTGTCCAATCACACAACAAAACTGAGCAATGAAACCATTCAGTTGATAATAGAGCAGGTGGACTGGATTAACAATGGAAGTTACGTGTGTAAAGAAAAAGGGAAGAATAACATAGTTCAACCCAAGTCTGTCGCAGTGACAATTGGTGGTAAGTAAAAACTACATTTTTCTTACATCATTCTGTCATGTGCTGGGCTCAATTATTCAATATTGTACAGGGAAGGTGTTTGGTAACAAAAATTTCTATAGATAGCTTTGGTAAGTACTTGCTTGATGTTTAATTGATATGATAGTCAATAAATAGTGGATACTTGGTCAACAATTGGTCATGGGATAGGTGGATACAGCTCTACTGCAACCAGTTGCACTAGAGCTTGTTACCATGATTTCAGTCATCCAACTAGACACACAGTGAGGAAGGAGAATAAAACTGAATAAATTTGTTAAGTGGATCTGTATATTCAAACGGCATAATGTTATTTACAAAGTTCTATTTACTGTATTTACCCATGTATAATGCGCACCTGTGTATAATACGCACCCTCATTTTTGACCTCTTTTTTCTAAAAAAAAGGATTTCAAGAAAAACACCAAGAATTAAAACTTCCATTTTACCATTTAATTAACAAGAGCTGGGAATTCATAAATAATATAGTAACAACAATTTCTAACTAGTTGCTACTACAAACATCGTACACACCGAGCACCTACTTAATACAAGCTTTGCCATTCAATAACAGTCAGACGTTTTACAAATGTTGTAACTTGAAGTCCTCATTAATATACCTAAATTCGCAACTTCTCACAGCACTGCTGGTAGCTTGAATATCATCACTGCATTGCAATTGCTTTCGATTTAAGTAAAATGTTCAGTGTCTTTAAACAACGAAACCCTCAAATTCTGACTCACAGTCCGATTCAAATAGGTTTTCGATTTGTTCTTAGTTGAATTGTAAACCAATTCATCTTGTGATCCATCCAAATTATTTGTGATCTCACACTTCAGTAAAGAGGCAGTGATCATTTCTGACAGAATGGCTTTCCATGCTTGCGAAATCCACTAACAGATCAGTTCCCCCGAAGCCCTCTTTTGTCATCCAGAGTCGGTAAATTCGTGAATTCCATCAGCCATCCAGTGCTTTCGGACTCCATCTTTAAACAGTTTGTTCAAAGATACATCAAGCAGCTGGAGAAGGAAAGTTAACCCGCCAGGAATCACAGCAAGATCAATGTTCTCGCGTTTAAAGGACGCTTTCACAGTATCTATCACGTCAGCTTCAAATGAGTTGTAAACAAGCAAGCTCTTTCTCCTCTCCAGGCCACCAATCCATGCAATTTTACTTTCTTTGTTGTGTTTTTAACATATGCAAATTAGGACAGGCTTGACAAACAATAGAATCCGTGTATAATACGCACTGCAATTTTGATGATTATTTTTACAGAAAAGAAGTGCGCATTATACACAGGTAAATACGATATACAATTAATATGTTTTATACACTTAATGCCCTTGTAGATATTCCAAGTCCACCTAGAGATGTATGGGTGAACAATGTGGAGTATAAAACTCGTATTCATTGGAAGGCCCCATTGTACAGTGGTGGATTAAAACTAAAGTATGCTGTCAAAGCAAGATGTGCATTTAATACATCAAGTTTAAGTGCTGATCAGCTGTGGGAGTGTAAAAAAGATTTCTTTACAATCAGTTCTGAAAGTCATTTCCAACAAGAACCAGGAGCAGGATCTGATAGTTTTTTTTGTGATGTTTTTAAGTTCCTTTCCTACCCACACTCTGCCTATGTTGAGGCTATAAATGACTTAGGAACTGGTGTAAGCAATCCTGTGGAATTCACCCCGAACGTCATGTATGATCCACTTTTAAGTGAGTACTAGCAGCAGTTGCTGCTACCAAGATAATATTCTGTGATTTTACATGTGTTGCCTATCATCATCATGATTATAATTTGTTTTGTGAATGCTCAGGGTATATGTTAATTATTAATCATGAGAGATGGGTGGCCTGACATACAAGTTCTGACAGAGGTTCTGACATACAAGATATTTTACAGTATCTCACATTGCCTCTCCTTACCCAGGACTAAACATGGTTACAGGTAAATTGTCTGGGAAACCCAGCTGACAAAGAACTGGGGGAACTGCAAAAGTTAATGAGAAAGGACTTGCATCCTGATTCTGGAGAAAAGTAATTTGCTTCTGATCACTGCAAGCTACACTGTATGAAGAGTGGAATAAGTTTTAGGATCTTTTGTGCTACTTGGCTCAAGTGCAGACTCTATTAACCCATTATCAATTAAGCAGTAATTATTTTGCAATTGATTGTGTGTGATTGTGTGGTTGGATTGTCTGGGTGAGGGCACTCCCTAAAAAGTACTGTTGTTAGTATTAGTGAATGACGTTTTGACAACCTGAGTCATCTTCAGGGTAGAGTGAAGAGTCAATGGCAAGTAAGTGTTATAATTAAGTCACTTGAGGTCTTTAATGATGACTTCCACTCAGGTTGTCCATCAGTGTCAGTCACTACTGCCAGTGCCAGCAGCAGTCCATCTCAGGACTTCCCTCACCCAGATGCTGAATCTTATTATGTGATCGGACAGTTGTTGATAGCCCTGTATTTATAAATTTTGGTATCCTTTGGAATGCTATTAATAGCAATTTTTTTTTATTTTGACTGAAATAGTCTAACATCCAGCATTATTGCACTACATTATTGAATCAGATACTTTTACATCAGAAATATCATTTAGCACATTAAGTTAGCATTGAGAAACTTTGACATTCAGAATTTGCCGGATAATAATCTCAAAATACAACTTTGTACTGTCTTGTAGACATATTTAGTTCTGGTGAGACATTATGCGATGAGTTACAATAATATTTTACCATTGTTCTGTTATATATTCAGCCACTCCTTCGCCTACAGCATTCTTGGATGCCCGGGAAGTGGCTCCCCCTGTTACAGTGAAACTGAGCTGGAAAGATTCCGGAAAGTTTAAAAATCCAGCACTTCTTGTTAAGTACACCATCATGTACCACAGAGAAGGAGACAGTTATAACAAGGTGAAAAGTTTTGTCTTCATGTAGTCATACCCTCCCCTTCCCTAGGACAAACGGAGGCTCCTTTCTGTATCTCCAAGGGGGGAGGGGGGGGGAGGAAGGTTAGGCTACATGTATGTATGCACTATGAAAATTCTTACAGTACAACTGCTACTGTAACTAGCACAATCCCAGAATCCTTTCAACACTTGATTGGAAATTGCTCCAATCAAGGTCCGTGTAGTTTAATTACATATTAGCCCATAAATTACATGAATAGAAAAGAAGATCTCAGAGAGACAGCAGAGGAACAACCAAGAAAGTTAACTTTCCTCATTCCTCGTAAGAATTTTGTTTGCTATTTATTACTATCTCTATTTTTTTGCTGTTATAGAGTAAAACAATAGATTCCCGAACGAAGACTTTGATAACTGATTTGGTTGGTTTATCCTGGTATCATTTCTACTTGATGGTACGGTATGGTAGGAAATCATTTGATGACAACACAACTTCATACGGTATCGACAGTGAAGCGGTTGAACGAAAATTCAGGACCAAGATTTCAGGTAATGAGGGTGAAGTCGTTTTCTAATTGAGGGTTTACATTTTATTGATTATACTGGTTAATTATTAGAAGTTGTAACTTCGTGGGCTAATAGAATCATGATTTAGCTTGGTTTTTAAGCTGTATGAATTAAGTTCAAAACTTATCCAAATTAAATGGAACACTTTCAAGAACATGAAAAAGATATCAGTGCTAATAGTGGTTCCTAATATTGAATAAAAAGAAAAACCGCTCCAATAGAAACTATGCTAAGTGTGATTTTTGAATGGTACCGTTATGTTTCTGTCTCCGACGGGTACATGATTATATGGAACGAATTTAAAATAAAAACTGCACTCCTTCTTAATATTGGCAGCGGTTAGAACGATTAAGTTTATTTCATTTTCGCTCGTCATTTTTTTGTTTAGAAACATCACAAAATCATGTGGCGGTTATTTTAGATGTGAGTGGTTCTAGTAGAATTTTAGCGTTAAACTTTAAATTATCTCTTTAGTGGTAATTACTAACAGCAAAATGTGGTATGATTTTTCCACCAATCGGAACATTCGCATACCTTTAACCCTTTGGCTCCTAATTTCCTTCAAAGCATCCAATATCTCCTTGCAATATCATGTCTGAATCATATTTTAAGGTTACAAGAAAAAGGGAAGTGATCAACAACCAAAGAAGCTCTTGATTGTTAAAAAAATTCTTCTTATCAGCTCTCAAGGAAGTGTCTAGAGAAGAAGTTTGGCGAATATGCTTACTGGTGCTGGGTGTAAAGGGTTATCAACGGAAAGCTATTTCGAAATATCAAGAGGTCCAGCAAATTAACATCACTTTGTGTGGAACATCGAGCTCTGACAATTTTCTTTTTTCCCATTTCAGCACCAAAGCCCCCGGTAATATCGAACTGCAGTTCTTGGAGTAATCTAAATTCTAAGCCTGCCCTGACAGTCACCTGGGTTGTAAGTTCCCTCTGTTTTTTTTAATTTCTTTTAGCTCGAGTTCTTGATTGATTGCTGGGAAAAAAGTCTATTTTGTTGGGAATGCATTCTTTTTGTTGTGATATACAGTTATAAACAACCAGGTAGCTCGCAAGCAGGCGGCTCTCTACGGGTAGCCGGATTCGAGACGAGTCGGGGAGATGTTTTCCGGGGGTCTGGCACTATCAGTGTTAGACCCCTTGCAGACCTCCCGCTGGCTCGCGTTGTTCAACGCTTCATACTTTCCCGCAGGCGGAGAAACGCTTGTGCCGAAATGCTGATGATACGTGTCTGCTAGCAAGCTAGCGATCAGTTAAATTGCTCAGGGTAATACAGAGATACGTGTGCCCTGATTGGTCGAGAATTTCGTTTGTGCTCGTCGTGGCGGCATTCAACGGCTGCAGCTTTGAGTTGGTTATGCTCAGGTGAATCGTCTCTTGATTCTAGGTTCCAAAAGCGGAGTATTTCAATGGCCCATTGAGGAATGCTGTCGTACTTTACCGTTGTCAGAGAGGAAACCAGTTAATCTCAGGAAATATAACCACCAATAATGGTAGCACTCACAGTGTGGTCATTCCTGCTCTTAAGCCGTCTGACAGATGCAATGTGCAGATGAAGCTGTGTAATGAACCGGGTCAGCTATGCAGTGTTGTTAGCGGAATTTGCCGCACTGGGGGCGACACAGAAGGTATGGGTTGACTAAAATAACTGCAGAAAGTAAACAGAAGGTCGTAAGCCCAGTGGCTCGCACCAACGGAGCTTGTTACCTTTTCCTCCAGCATGAAGATCATACAGTAGTCAGAGATTTTGTTGTTATTTTGTTTTTGGTTGTTTTTTTTTTCCGTTGGGGCACAGTTTTCCGGTTCGTAGCGACAGTGAGCTAGTTTTGGCGATTTTCGGTTCAAGGAGTAGAACCCTGACAACAGAGGAAACAAAGCAAAAATTTGTTAGAGAAAAACTTCTTTGTACACTTTTTTAAACCGTTACCCATGGTGTTCACCCAATTCTATGCTCAGTCTCCTTTTCCATTTTCTTTCTTTTTTTTTCTATGATTAATTCTACCTGTGTTCTTCCTTTTTCAGTAAGTTCTGTGCCGCCATACAAGGTTTCTAAAAAAAACCTCGCCAAAACAATATTGATCGCCGTGGCGGGAGCAGTTGGAGGAATTTTCCTGGTGTTTGTCGTCTTCATGTGCTATAGGTGAGGTCGATTATTCTTTACGGATGAGGGTAGGGAAGGGGGGTCGTTGTTCACTACCGGTGGGCAGAAAGTTATGGAAGGGATACTGTGTTTGTAATCAGGTGGAGGCATAGGTGGTAACTCGTTGAGTCTTGTTTTAATTCAGTGAGAAAGGAAATTGCAATTTCAAATTTTCAAATTTATTTCACTTGAACTCTTTCCTACAGAAATCGTCCAAGAGGAAACAGAAGACCTCCTTTGGGAGCTGTTCTGGTAAGAGGGAAAGAAAACCATAAATAACCCATATCATGTGTGTGAATAGATTTCAAATCGTAAATGTTAAGCTTGGTTGTAGCGTCATACATTTACGATAAATGATAAAAGGTTTCTCAATTTTTTTTTTCACGACCGAGCTCAAAGTACACTACACCTCTTAACTCTTGACCCTTTAGAGTGACCTACATCTAATTTCTCCTTACAATATCATCCCCAAATTACACACTAAGGCCACGAGATTAAAAGAAATGATCACCAACTAAAGAGGCTCTCAATGTTTAAACAAATTCTCCTTGTCAGCACCTTGGGGAATGTATAAAGAAAATTATGGAGAATATGCATACTGATGTTACGGTATAAAGAGTGAATATAATTAACACTATCACTATTTGACCATACATACCAGACTACAGCTAAAACATGGAGACATCTCCATTCCAGCCTCGTTAAAATCCTTTCTTTTTTCGTGGTATCTTGTTATTTTTTATTTTTATTTTTTAATTTTCTTTTTGTTTGTGATCGGTTTCCAAATGGTATTGAACTCGAATTACTACAGGGTCAAGTTTACGCGCGCTCACGCTGATGGGACGTGGCCAATCTTCACAGCGTTTCATAACATTACAAAAAGAGTGTGACTTCTACTGTTTATCGTTAACTGTTTTCTAACCCTTAAATCTTCACATCAGTATGCATGTTCTTCTTTCTGTTCTCTATATATTTCCTATGGTGCTGACAAGGAATCTGTTCAACAGTCAAAACCTTTTCTGTTGGTGATCATTCCCTTTATTCTCATGACCCAAATGTTTGATTCAGGGGTGATATTGTAAAGAGAAATAAGATGGTAGTCATTGTTAGAGATAGAGAGCGTTGAAATGGTCGACAACAGGCCACCGTAAAAATTCAGTACGTTGTCTTCATCAGACACCAGTAGTTGCTAAATTAGAAGAATTTCCGTTTTTTTTTTTTTTCTAATACAGGATATGCCCCCAATCCATGGCTATGACGAGATCGAGGAGTCTTTGGATGATGAAAACTACGATCGATTAGAAGTAAATTAAATGGATCGACTTACTAATGAAGACCAACCAATGGCAAGAAGAAAGTCGAATGTGAAGACAAAAGATTAATTCCTGAGTAGACTAGAAAAGCAGCGGTGACTATACTGAAGTAAAGGGGTGTGGTATTTTATGTAAGTAAGTATTTTGGGGAAAATAAGACATTGTTCTCCTCTGCGCACTGCGCATGCTTGCCCATCGGTAACAATTGCTTCTTTTCTCGTGATAGTTTCGGCTGTTAAACTCAAGTAAATAATCATCGTCGAGGTACCAGTGCACACCAAAATAGACCGTTTCCGAGATGTGCAAAGCCTCTGTTTTAAACCGAGGCTGTGTCTGGGGCCTTTGATCGGGAAATGATCATGTAAACACCATGCAAATAAAATTCTTTCCCGTAAGAAAGGTTTTGCAATGGGCCTCGTTTGGAACTGAGAGGTATTAGAACTCGGAAATCGCACCTTAACGATGCCGCAAAAGAACGCATGGCATATTTTTGGACTCTTCCGGGTAGAACTTCGTGGAAAACTTGACGAGTTTACTGGCCGTGAACTGAGGAAATTTTTGTTGCAATGGAGTAAGAATGCGCTTAGGAGAATGGAGAGCCTCAAATTCCCCAGACAACGTCCGTATGGGCGCACTGATATATAATAGGTGGGAAAAAATATAGCAGATACGGCAGAAAACGGCACAGTAGCTTTGCAAAAGACTGTCAAAGGCCGGAAAAAAAAAAAAGGAAAAGAGCTTTGAAATGTAAATAAATGAAGAAGGAGATAGTTGTTCCACATAAAGCACATCAAATTTAAAGATAATTCGACGCTGTTTATTCGTAAACGTAACTAGTACGTACTTGATGAAAATCACATAACAACACACTGGATAAGGTTTGAAACGAGAAGCGTGCCTTTAAGTTGAGTACAGATAGCAAAATAGCCAATAAACATTTGGTTGCACGAACAACTTTTCACCGAATTGGATGTAAACATTCACCACTTTCGACTACATTGAGGTGAATAATTGTTTTAGAGCGTACCTTGCAGAAATACAAAAAGTTAGTTTAATTCTGTCAAAATACCGAAAAGTGGTCGGAAATCAAACTCTTGACAATTTTGACTCTTCCGCTGCTTGGAGGTAAAGAATACTTGTTACTCACTTCCAAACAAACCAATCAGCCTTATTCACCAGTGTAGTATATATTATTACCTAGAGTAATACCTATATTTATTTTCTTCATCTCAGAAATAATGAACGTTGTGCATTACACAGTACGCAGATGTCAATAGACATGAGTTCATTCGACCAGCCCAGAATTTTCTTTCAGTTGCATCAGGTGTCTTAGATTTTCTTGCCATAAAATTTGGCAGAGTATACAATACTAATTTTTATAAAAACGGATAGTTACCTTTAATTTTCAAAGGAAAAGGGATCAGAGTAAAATTAGATATGTGCAGCAAATGAATGAAACAAGAGCACATGATAATTCATGGTTGGCTTACGATACCTATTATAATTGTAGGGAGCCGATTTAATCGGTTTCGATTATTTGTAACAAAGAAATGGGATTAATATTAAAGGAAAGCTTCCAATATGAAAATCGTCACTGCTTTCTATTTCTAAGAACAACTCGACGGATTTGATTGTTGAGCAAAGTAGCGGTGCACATCCAGAGCCATTCGGGACAAAAACTAACAAACCAACCCTAAAGATAAAACAACAAAAACAAAAACAAACAAAAGAGATATGAAAGGCAATTTCAATTATGCGAATGAATAGATAAGAAAAATCATCAACAATGCACCGTTGGGCTTTCCAAGGCCAGGGATCGCTTGGGCATGTTGGTTTGGTAATACAAGTTGGTTTTTGTGTAATACAAGAGTTGTAAAGTTCTCTAGAGGTTGCGGAGAGTTGTGGGTACAGATAACAACAAAAAAAAACCAAACAAACAAACAAATGTGCTTAAAAATATTACAAATAAACTCTTGCGATCATTAGAAGGTCATCATCAGAGTGTAAAGGGAACACTTATGGTTCGCCTTAAAGAACTAAATTAACACAAAAAATTAGAAAATCAATAAAATGGAAAGTTTTCCCAGTTTTATATTGTGCCTAACAGCACCTCTGCTTGGTTTTGTTATTTTGTTTTTCTTTGTTTGTTTTTTCTAACCAGAAGTAAATCTCTCATTAGTTTCAGGGGCAAAATAAAGTATGAATCCCCATTCAGTAACTAAAATAATTTTGTTTCTTCAATGAATTCCAAAATTAGCCAGGCATGCATAAGTTGAAGTTCCTTAAAAAGAAAAATACCGAAAACCAAGACCACCGCTAGGAGCAAAAAAAAAAAAAGAAAAAATTGAGTGAGGCGTTAGATAAGGAATGCGTGAAAAGCTATAGTAGCATGAAAAACCGTAAATAAAATAGTGAAATACCTGAATACCATGACTCCAGTAGCCTGTGTTTCGTCTTGACAATCCCAGTGTGTAAAGTGCACTCTTCACGTACGTTTCAGGTGATGGAACAACGATATTAGCTTTTGTACCGTATGTCATGGCTGTGGCCACGTAAAACGGTCTCAGAGACTGGAACAGAGGAAACACCATTTAGCGTTTGTTTCACCAGTTCAATTTCAATAATTCTTTTCCTTGTTACTAGTTTTTGTACCGTTTACTTTTCAAACAATTCAGTGTATCACTACATTCCTTTGTGTAATACTACTGGTAATTTTTTTTCCTTGTGCAATAAATTTGAAACTTGAGTGTTATCATCTCTGGAACAATGCATTTCGTTCTAAATTTAACAAGAGGATTTGGTGATACAAGGAAATCAGACTGTGGCTGAGAAATTCGATCATTCTTTGCTAAAACATGAAGAGATACTGTGAAAAGTTACATGCATATAAACCATCATTGAGATCAAAAGAAGCCAAAAAGGCAAAATATCAAGTATTAATTAGAAACCAATATATTTAAAGAAGAACTACAAGTTTGTCACTTAGAGCAAATGAATTTTCAAATCAATGTTGAAAACAAAATCGTCAACTTTTTTCTTTTTGAAATGCTGTGCTGTTATGGTCGCTGTCATTGGTCCATAGGTGTGTATAGATGACACAATGTAACATCAGCCGTGACTCCAAAGATTCCTCCAAAGATTCGCATATTTTTTTAAGAAGATTGTAAAAAAACGGTTGAAGACTTCTTGCGGGAACTTTCTCAACCTCGCTACTAAGGAGATGGGGATATGTAGACACAGAAATATTCAGTTGCTTAAATATAAAATCATACCTGAACTTCAATCCCTTGCGGGGCATACTCAAAAGCAAGAGAACGTGAAAAACTGTCCACAAATTCCTGTTTGGAAAAACAACAAAAGAGAATGAATTGAGTACGTGAAATGTGCGAGTAATTGGGTAACATATCTTTAATAGTTTAGGTTAATGAGGCGTGGCCACCAAGTGGAAAAGTGGAAAAGCGTTCACCTGCGACTCTTCGAGAGAGAGACTACGCTTAGACTGAAAATAGGCATAAAGAATTGAGGTTGCCGTCAAGACAACCGAAGATTTTTTCAAACTAGTTGTGCTACTGCACACGTTACTTTAATAGATAAACCAGGCTTTCATCCGCATAACTAACAAGACACTTCAGTTGCCTTATCAAAGGTCTCTTTTTTAGTACAAAGCAAACAAACATACAAAAAAGATGGAAGAACAACAAAGAAACAAGAGCAATTAAAAACAGATATCTGGATCACCAGAGTAGAAAAACGACACAACAATGAAAAAAAACACAAAAATTATAAATGTACATGATTTTTTTACCTTAGTTGCAGCATAGACTGTCATCTGGGGTGTAGGCAACTCTCCTGCACTAGACGACATGTTAATAATTGCGCCCCGTTTCCTGAAAGTTGTCACAACATGGTAAGCTACGAAGAATTGGAAAAGTTCTAATTTAACCCTTTACACCCTAACATCAGTATGCATACTCTCCACACTGGTCTTTATACATTTCCTCAGGCGCTGACAAGGAGAATTTGTTTAACAATCAAGAGCTTCTTAACTTAGTGATCATTTCCTTTATTCTCGTAAGCTACATGAGTGATCCAGGAATGATATTTACAAGGAGATATTAGATGCTAGTCGCTTTTAGCGGTCACAGGGCTTAGAGGGGAAGATAAGTACTGTCACGCCATATCAGAGGTAGTGATCCTCTCTTGGGTGATTGGCATGGAGAGGCTTAGTGAAGGGAGGGGGGCTTATTAGAGAGAGATAATAAGAAAGGAGGGGAGATTTGTTGGAGAAGATGGTTTCTTAGAGAGAGGGCTCTGAAGATGAGGGCTCAACAAAGAGGCATGCTTATTAGAGAGAACGTTATTGTAGAGAGGGGCTTATAAGAGGGGGACTATTAGAAAGATGTCAGGCTAATCGTAAAGGGGCTTATTAGAGTGGGGGATTATCAGAGAGGAGGCTTATTGGAGAGGGGACTAATTAGAGAGGGGCTTGTTAGGAAGGGGGTTTGTTAAAGAGGGGGCTTATTAGAGAGGAAACTTATTAGAGAAGGGGCTCATTAGAGAGGAGACTTATTAGAGAGGGGGCTTATTAGAGAGGAGACTTATTAGAGAGGGGCTAATTAGAGAGGGACCGGGCTAATCAGAGAGGGGGCCTACCAGAGAGGGGGCATATTAGAGAGGGGAATTATTAGAGAAGGGGCTTATCAGGGAGGAACCAGGCTAATCAGAGAGGGGGCTTAATAGAGAGGGGAGTAATTAGAGAAGGAGCCTATTAGAGAGGGAACTAACTAGAGAGAGTGCTTATTGCAGAGGGAGCTTATTAGAGAGGGGGCCTATTAGAGAAGGGAATTATCAGAGAGGGACCAGGCTAATCAGAGCTGCTACTTATTAGAGAGGGACCACGCCAATCAGAAAGGGGGCTTACCAGGGACGAAGCATATTAGAGAGGGGGCTTATTAGAGAAGGGGCTTATCAGGGAGGAATCAGGCTAATCAGAGGTGGAGCTTATTAGAGGTGAGTAATTAGTGAGAGCTTTTTGCAAAGGGGGCTTATTAGAGAGGGGGCCTATTAGAGAAGGGGCCTATAAGAGAAAGGGCTTATTAGAGAAGGGGTTTATTTGAGAGGGGGCTTATTAGAGAGGGGGCTTATTAGAGAGAGACCAGGCTAATCAGAGCTGGTACTTATTAGAGAGGGACCAGGCTAATCAGAGCTGGTACTTACTAGAGAGGGACCAGGCTAATCAGAGAGGGGGCTTATTAGAGAGGCACCAGACTTATCAGAGGGGGGTCTCATTAAAGAGGCGCTGTGCTAATTACAGAGGGGGCTCAGTAGAGAGGAGACTAAATAGCAGAGAAGGTGCTTATTACAGAAGGGGCTCATCAGAGAAAGGGGCTTCTTAGAGAGAGAGGCTTACAGGAGAGAGAAATAATAGATGGGAGATTTATTGAAGAGGAGGGTTGATAAGTGAGAGGGCTTTTAAGACAGGGGCCTATGAAGGAGAAGGGCTTATTAGAGAGGCCCTATAAGAGAGGGACTAGGCTTATCAGAGAGAAAGGCTTATTTGGATGTCATGGTAAATGAGGGATTCTGTTTTGCTTGGTTTAAACCCCTTTGTTAAAACTTAACAAGCAGTTTAAACTAGAATAAAAATTCTAATCACTGTTTTCCATTGGTCATTCATGCATGTGCTTTCTTAGAACAAAAGACAAGGATGAACCTACCTTTTACACATCTGGGGTAAAACAACACGTGTCATCTAAAAAGGAAACTCTAAAGGTTACCAAGAGCATGACATAGTATGAGGATATTATGAGAAGTTGACAGTTAATACTTTTGTACTAAAGCTGGACAGGTGTAAAGCATACCAAGAAATAAAGTCATTATCACACATTGTTCCAAAAAAAGGAAAATTTCCAGCTTCTTCATTGGTATTCCTAAGAACCTGGAGCACAATCAAACCACTTATTTGCAGAAATTTTTTTATCATTATTACTTGTCAAATATTAAATAAAACAATTTTAATCAATGTCAAATATTATAAATATTCATTTACATCCAAAGTATCTCAAGATACTTTGGAGTTAATTTAATCAGAGTTACATGTAATATTGTTTTTATTAAGGATACACCTAGGATAGCAGATAGTTTTAGGCATTACTATAATTGATAAACTCACAATCTGTCACATGACCTAAAATTAACACTTACCATTATAAGCGAAGTCATGTTAATATTTATCAAGTCAAAAAGTTTCTGCATTTTAAAGAGAAGACAAAAATGTTTGCAGTCTTATTCAGTTTTGAAAAACTGACATGCCATGGGAGTATAAGTTATTTTATTTGAGTTCACCATACCTATGGCCTACTTCCACCCTGGTTACTCATGTCTGTAGTATGCAGTTGATTAATGTTGCACGAGCTAGTTTATCGCAAGTCAAAAACACCCTTGCCTCCCTTCCCATGCATTTCACCAGGTTTCACCGACAGATCATTGGCACCCGTAAACACTCCAAGGTGGGGAGAGGCATACAAGAACAAAGAGTCTTTTCCCAGTGAAAAATACAACAACCAGGGGAATGTTTCTCAAAGGTCTCAATAACTTAATGGGTTTGTAAAGCTGTTTTGTTTTCATTTAAAATAGGGATTTTAAAAGCTTTGAAAATTATACAATAAAACTATCAGCTAAAGAAACAAAATGAACCAGTAACTGCAGTGCCAGAAACTGCTTCTCTAATTTTTAAATTTAAATTTTGTTTAAATATTAATAGCTTTGGGTCCATTAAGTTCTCAGAACTCTCAAGAAATGGGCCACTGGTAATGAATTTAGGCGAACGGCTTCTTACCTGGATAGGATGTTATCCTATCAGGCATTAAGTGAATCAAACAATAGAAGAGAGACAAAAATGGGTAAAAATGATGCATATGGTTTAACCATGATGAACTTCAGTGTATTACTTAAAATGTCAAAATGCCAAGGCTGACATTTCTAAACAAAGCTAGGAGCATTTAATGTTACCTGTTTGGGAACATCCAAAAAGTATTGTGGATAGTCATACATTACACCAACGTTGTTCACTAAAAATTGAAAGAAAAAAAAAAAGAAAAATGAGAAAAAAAGAGAAAGGAGGTGAGAGAAATGGCATAATTCTAACATGCTGAGGCTTTTTAAAACAACGAAAAAAAAGAAACTTTTTATGCAGATGCCTAGAATTATGACCCATCCCCAGGACTACACCATACGGCAAGCTTAAAGGTGGTAAGCATATATCAACTATATATCTGCATAAGTAGGATCTACAGAAAATATAGCATGTGGGTCATGCAGTTCACTGTTTCTTACTTGTAATAATTATCATTATTAACCAATGAAATAACACGTCTTTAGAAAAGTAAGTACTGATTGAGTGCCTGCCTTGTATTGGTCCTTGATCTCTTAAATTCAATAATGCTGGGTACTACCTTTAAAAATATAATTTCTCACCTAAAATGCCTATGTCGAGTCCCTCTAGTGAAGTGGTTATTTTCTGGTAAACATCCTGTGTGGCAAAGTCTATTGGGATGATACGTGTTTCAACCTTGCATTCTTTTTCTATAATACAAGAATTGCGACATAAGTTTGTAATATTACAAAGTTAAAAATGATCAAAGAGGAACTACCTCTAGAAAATACTCCCTGGACGTTCACACAATTGCTCTGAAAACATATTCTCAGTTGTCATTAATCTAAGATAATTGTTAACACTAATTTCTCCTCCACCCCTTCTCCCCACTTGAATAACCTCTGATTAATGGCATGTTGAAACACTCTTGGATTTTCAGAAATTAGGGTAACTGGGTATGGAAAACCATAAGAGAAATTAGAAAACAAAATTTTTACCAATGTTCAATGTGTCAACCAAAACATTTAATCCATAAAAACTTCTTAATATTGTCTTTTATAAGCTATAGCACTAAAAAATTTAAACACCTATTTTTTTTTCACTAACCTATGGTCTCTGCAACCTTTTCCAATTTTTGGGTTGAGCGACTCATCAGAACAACATTCATTCCACATTGTGCCAACTGTCTTGTAAAGAAATTTCACACATTTGTGACAGTTCAGCTCACTTTGAGATAATTAGTGTAGAGGATTCAAGTTCAGTCTTACTCACAAGCCAAGTAACCCACAATGCCAGAGTTCATCTTGTTTTTTTGACCAGTTACTGGAGGTATGGAAGTATTCCTCCTAGTCCCCCCTCCCCCCTCCCTATTCTTCCCCTGAACCGTTTGAGGACATGGCTTTGTATTGTAAAAAACCCCCTACTACAGCCAAGTTGAGTAAGACCGACCCAAGGGCATGATATGCAAAATAATTTACCTCAGTACTCCTACACAATCCTGGGTAGAGAGAAGCTCAGCAAGAGTTAAGAGTCTTGCATAATAACTTCACATCCATAAAAGTAAGGGACTCTGATTTTAATTCATATGAACACCATTACAATTATTTCAAATGCTCAAAAATAATGACATTATTACCTCACATGCAAATGATCTTCCTATTCCTTCAGATGCACCTGTAACAACTGCCAAATAAAGAATCGTTGGTTTAAGAAATAAAATCATAGTAATTGCATATCAGTATTGCAATCTACAAATATAATTACACCAAAATATGAAAAAAAGAATTGACTGTCAATAACATTGGTCAACCCCCCTCCTCTCTCCAATTTGCTCTTTGACTTTTCTATGCCAATCTGCAAACTGAGGAATACTACAAACTTCATCAAAGTGTTTTCCTATGCCTGCAAATAGACCTTTTAGCAAATTCTGGTCCACTCTTTTTAATCAATTAAATAACAACACCTCAGTGTCTGCAGCTAGTGGCAAACACTTAACTGATCTGCAAAGCAATATGGTAAATATCCACAGCTAGCCACCAACACTAAGGTTAATTAAGCTGTTTTTGTACATATGAAAATAGTGAGATGATCTAGTACAAGAGGATGATTTTAACTCATTTACTTGTGCAATGATTGCAATATTTTTATATATATATTTGTGCAAATTCTGGTAAGGTTCATGGAGTACAAGGCATAGGGTCAGTCACTGACCGTTATCTGACTTGATCTTTTAACCCCTAACAGTGACCAGCATCTCATTTCTCCTCACAACATCACCACTGAATCATACATTTATGACATGAGAATAGAGGAAATCATCACCAACTAAAGAAACTCTTGATTATAAGACAAATTCTCCTTGTCAGCACTTTAGTAAATGTACAGAGAACAGTTGGGAGAATATGAATATTGATGTTGGGGTGTAAAGGGCTAAACAGTCTGCTTATCATTACTTTGAGTTCTCACTAGTTCTGATCGTTGGGATATATTCCTTTCTTCTGATTGCCATGAAACTCTAACCAAAAGATGTCTGAATTTTAAACAAATATATATATGATGCCTCACCTGCCCATCTACCGCCATATTTGGTACGAAAATTATTCCTTCGCGTGACTTGAGCTAACAAATATATTCTCATGCCTTTCACGATGTTGAAAGCTAGAGTTAAAGATACTTTGGCTGTCCACAAAAGACCTACAGAAGGGGAGGACAATTAAACAAAAAAGAAAATCTGAGTTCAATCAGCTAATATATTTTATTTCCCGTACAGTACAGTCTCAAAAATGGACTTTTCAACTCATTCAGTCATGCAAAAAACTGCTTGTTCTGTCCAGATTCACGATTTCTTTACCGCGAAACTCCTACGTATTAGTTTCTGAGCTGCATCCAAATATGAAGATATCAAGATGCAAATTATCACCCTGGTATAAACCTACAGCTCTTACTGTCGCATTTGCGAATTAAACCTATATCCTGAAAAATGGTAGGAGTCAATTTCGACGAAAGACTTACCTAAAAGTGCTAATCCATTTTTTAAGCCAGAGTTATCCAGGTATGATAAAATACACGCCAGATAGTCTTGACCGTGAGCCGCCATATTGAATATGTTCGTACTCCAGATAAAAAAGTAAAAGTTGATAGGAACTGTGGACAAAGGATGGTGGATCTAGCTTTTCTTGGCTAAAATCTTGGTTGGGATAATTAATAGTTATCCATGAATACTGATTCAAAGCTTCATATTCTCCACCTGAATTACAATAAGAGAAAGAGCGTACAAAGGATGAAGGTTTGCATCGATTACTATTATGAAAAGTTTTGTTATGAGAATATTTGTTGTAACATACAGTCGAACCTCCTGTAAGCCACCACCCGAAAAGTTAAGTCTGGATTTTCATATTTTGGGAAATTTGCATATGGTGACCGAACCTTTTCGCCAGCGCTCATCGATACCTGCACTTGAATTGTTTCCGCTAAAAATATTTCATGTACTTTAGTCTAACTTGGTTGGGAGCTAATATTGAACGGCATGTTTGCAATGTTAGTTCAGGCGTAAATCAGACAAACTGTGGCATTTATTGCATACTCCAATTGACATTCTTTGATACTGCTCCGACACAAATTTTCTGTTCAATGCATGTATATGTCTAGTATTATTAAGATAAGAGAGTTTTTTCGTACGAGTGATCAAATCCGCTTTTTTGTTTATCAATTCTTCGAATTCTACTTACGCGGTAAAACTATTTCAGGAAATACTTCCGATGGCTTTTCTTTTACGACATCTGTTCAGTTTCCGATCGTGAGAGGTTTTTTCTGTCTAGTTTCCGCTCGTGAGAAGCCGATTTCCTGTCAAGTGGTCGCTTACGAGAGGTTCCATTTATAGTAATTTGACTTGGAAACTTTTGGTATTGTGAAAAACTTTTTGCGGATGGTTGCTTACGAGAGGTAGTCGAAAAGGGAGGTTGGACTGTTTACTTATTCCTTTTGTCTCAAGTTTAGTTTGAATATTGTTGACGTCATTTCTCTGATAAATAAGGCACTAAGCGAAGGAAATTTTTGGTCGATTTGTTAAACTGAGAGTCCTTTTTTACTAATTTTAGCCCATGTCTCTGTCTCACCAGTGTCCGAAAATCACGTAACATCAAGAATGGATTAGTCCGTGATGACTGATAACAGAGGTATTTTTCAAAAATATGAAAACAAAACCGAAGAATCGTCAGATAAAAGATACTTGACATTTGTGAAAAACTATCCGTCATTAAACAGAACCGGAATGGATATATTTCATTCTACTCTGTTGGCCCATGGCGTGTTGAGGACCCCTCTTAGCTTTATGAACTAATAAGTTAAGGTAGGGTTGCCGACATGATTCCTTACTTCCTTTTCTTTTTTCCTTAATATTGGAGATGAAATTGCAACATGTAGCAAGTATGAGTGTCAGCCTTGATTTATTATTTCATTTCGCACAGAGGAATCCACTCGATGTCAAATGAAGTTCGTGCTATCTGCTCTTCAAGTAAATGAGAAATCCGATCTGGTAATTAGATATACGAAGCCAAATAAATGAAGTTCTTTTTTGAGTACATCTGGCGTTTTGTTTGGCTTTTTCCCAAAGAAAGAATTCCGCTTGGCCTCATTTAGTGACAGACTCCTTACAATCTGTCAGTTGAAGGATTCATTCAGTACCTGCGGAGCTTCAGTCAAGTTTTCCTCAACTAGTATGCGAGCTCAGATTTGGTTCGTTTTCATCCCGTTCCTTGTAATCCTCTCATCATCAAAAGGAACTCCTGTTACCCAGTCACCGTCTAGAGTACCAAATCCGACCGGATCTTTAGATAAACGAGGTGAGACCAATCGCAATGTTGTCGTTTATATTTGCTTTCCTATAAGCTCAAAGCCTTTGTTTGGATGATAACCCAGTAATTCTCTATCCCAATGTTGAGTGGTTGAGCAAGTGCTCGTGAGACAAAATTCTATTTGTCTAGACCCTTCACATCCGACAAGTTATCAATGTGTAACTTGCGGTCGCGCGATTTCGATCCACTGTCTCACAAAAAGATGGTGAGAATAGACAAAAAAAAGCTTGATTTTAAGATTGCATATGGCTACTGATATAGCACAATCTCTACGACATTGAAAAGAACCAGAGTTTGTATAATGATGCTATTCTTTGCTATTCCATGATGGAAGCGTTGCAGATGATTTGTGTCACATGCAAAACAGAAAACCTGCCGCATCCCACACATTTATGAGCACCCTGTTGATTTAAGAACATATAGTGACAATTTGACACTCAATAGATAATCATTTCATTGCAATTTCATTTCTGTGAGACTTTCGTTTCATGCAAAGAGGCATTCCTCGTTGTACTGATATTCTGCCATTCTGCCATTCTGCCATTCCACCATTCCACTGGTCTATCATTACGCAGAATAGGGTCACGGTTACATGTTCTCTCTTTAAAGAAAAAACATTTCCTGTAAGTTTTCATGTATGCCGATCACACCTTTAAAGACATTTCTGTAAAGAAAAGCTTCGTTTTTTCACGTGCCATCCTAAAATGATTTTGAGATGTTATCGTCTTCTGCAGCACTCCGGAACAAACAGTAATTAGCGTCGGAAATTGGTTGAAGATCGGAATTCTATCGTTACTCATTATCACTCGTTCTCACTCGCTCACTCACTCGCTTATCTCGACAAAGTATGTGGCAGCCACAAAAATAGTAGATAGGGGATGTTATCTTGTTAAAGTATAAATCAGTGCAAGAACATGAATGATACCCAGAGGGGAAAATTACTAATTGGATCTTTCAATTTGTAAGGGTACACCAATTATTAGCTGCTTTGTAGCTCTTTGTCAGGCTGCTTCTCTCTAAGGCCTTGGTCGCACTAGCGCTTTTTTATTTGTTTAAGTGAAAAATGTGTCGACAATTAATGTAAAGTATTATTCCGCTAGTGTAATTTGGCACGCGATGGCAGGATTTTCCTCGTCCAACCGACCCTTTTTCTTTTTAGAATTCTCCACCGAATACGTTAAGGAAAATCACTGTGTAACGCTGGTTCGACAATCAAAAGGACTTTATCTTTTTGATTTCTTGCGTTTATTTACGATCCATACAATATCCGAACTTTCTACATTCAAACGATCTCGATCTTTCTGTTACAAAATAGGGATTCTATTTATCTGATATAGAATCACTATTTTGTAACTGAAAGATCGAGATTGTTTGAATGTGGAAAGTTCGGATATTGCATTGATCTTAAATAAACTACGTAAAACCAAGATTGAGATTACTTATTCGTGATTTACTAAAAATCCTAAGCTGTTTGTAGCGCTGTTGTTGTGTCTTCTGTTGTAGCTATGTCCTCACACCTAATAACCAATAGAATGCGGTTTATTTCTTCCAATCAGAGTGCGTTGTGATCGTGTCTTCAGCGTGTCACTTCCCAACTAGGGAGAAAAGCAATGCAAAAGTGTAAGAAGATCGTAAAGATTTTCTCGCTCGAAGTTAGAGAATTTCAAAAGGGGTAAATTCTGTGAAATTCGTCCTTTAAGTGGAATGCAACCTACTGACTTGCCGTAGCCATCTTTACTCCTATTTTCCATTTGATCAGTGAATTCTAGAAAAACGGGGTAAATTATGTGATATTCATCCTTTTTGTAATCCTTGGATTATATCCCACTGACTTGCCATAGCTATCTTTACCTTGATTTTCGATTTGATCACTGTGTGAATTTGTCATAAACGGGGTAAATTATGACAAATCCACCCACAAGCGCAATATATCCTACAATGATTTAGAAACAGTACTAAAAAAAGATCACAAAACAACAACAACAACAACAACAAATTCATTGTATACATTGACAATACATAGTTTAGGAACCCATTTATATCTTTACCAGCGACATCCAATGTTCAACATGAAAGTCCATTCATCTGCTGTTACAAGAGAACTGGTTTTATTTAAACGCAAGAGACTTTGAGAAGGTTTCGGGATAAAATAGACCGACGAACTGTGGTTGCTGATTATTCACCCCTGTGTCTCGGTCGGTGGTTTTTGTTTAGGTAATTGAAAGAGAGGATGGAAAGCGAGCATGGCTCAGGGGATAGTGTTTTTTCGGGAACAGCTTCCGTACTGGCTTTTATGTTATGTTCGTGCTCATAAGTTTCACGTGAGGAATTTGGTTTTCAAAGATCATTGTCTTTCTGATCAGCTTGATCCCACAGAGCGCCCTGTGACAGTATGAAACCACAGGCGGCCCAAGCAAGTACATAAGAAAACGTGTACTTAGAAAACCTCAAAATATGGGTTCCCTTCAACGTAGTAAGCAGTCAGATAACAAGCAATGCACTGTGGAAGTAAGGTGAGGTTTTTTAGTGAGAATTTCACTTATCCTCAAAAACAGTCAATGATCTAACGGAAGTATTATTCACTCTCATCTACGATTCATTCATGTACGAAGATTTACCTCTGTTCATTGAGTAAACGGCGAGGAAAGTAATTGTGAGTAAATTCAAATTTTTTATTTCGAAGTTGTGAGAGTTTTGTTCTTTTGTTCGGCAGCAACGACGTGTGTAAATCTGGTCTTTCCTCCGCAAAAACTGAATTCGAATGGCACACTCCAACGAAACACACGGGGATTCAATGCGGCCTTTTCTCATTAAATTCCTTCAGTTTCTGTCGTGCAATTTACAGTACAAACGTCCAAATTGAACGGACTTGGAAAGACTCAACGAGTGCGTATATTTGTTGTAGAACTTAAATTAAAACTTCGCTCGCTCTTTCACTACGAACAAATTGTTTGAGAAAATTCAGATATTAAATGAATGAAAGTTCCATCGTTCAGTTGAAATGTAACCAATCACTTCACGTTTCAACTTTCTTGTACTTTTTGTGAACGATTAAATTTAATTGTAGACGGTTTTTAGGCCGCTTGTCAACCAACGTAATGACACTATTGCTTATACAAATTCATTCTGAAAACAATATTTTTCTGTCAACCAAAGTGATTTGAGAGAGAGAAAAGAGAGGATTCATAAGTTATTTATCGGCTTGAGGTAGTGACCGACGTGTTTGCTTAAAAATACTTCCCAGCCGGAAAAACGAGATATATTTATGAAAAATGGCAACGAATGAAGGGATGTACTCGGCGACTCACGAAAGCGTTACCGTGGCCCGTGGGCAGAGATAGGAAAATACTGACCAGGTAAAGAACCAATCAGATTGCAGAATTCATTACCGTGCCCTCTAGAAAAAAAAATTTTATGTCGACGAACCATACTCTCTGATCTTCAACTATTAAAGAAAATAAAACAATTGCGATATGACGCCACATTGTGCATTTGTCTTAGCTTGTGGGTAATGTAAATTGTTGTCATTAGAGTCGCAAGTCGAGCAATGAAGACTGTAAATAAAGCAAGACTGCAAATAAAGCGTGAACAATAACGCATGCTTTGGTCGAAAATTACTTTGTTATTTACGCGGCAAGTTGTTCTTCCACGTCTGGGTTAACAACGATGCAATCACACGGCGTTAACTAAGAAACGATAGAACCTCAAAGGAAGCAATGTGTGTGAGAGAGACCAATGATCTGTGGATAGCAAGTTTTCCTGAAATCAGCAAGAGGTTGTTCATCCGTTGTTACCGGAAAATACTGGTCAAACTTTCCACTTATCCCGACCCCCTTCAATGAGAACTTTTGCTTGAACACAGAACTACAACGGAGTTTCTCCGAACATTCTTGCTACAAGACTATAATTACCGTGGTACGCTCAGTTATACACCTAAATCTGAAGTAACTCAACTTTCATCAAACCCTTAGCTTAATTTCTTAATTAGAAAGTAAAATATCACGCCTATGCTTACAAAGATTGTCGCGACATTCTTTCGAGGGAAACGAGGTATTTGAGAGAGAAATTTTTTGGGGGAGGGGGGTGCGCTTATTAGTATATTAGTCCTGTTGCTAATAGCATAGTAACAGGACAAAAAAGTAAAATAACAGTAACTCACATAGGAAACTCTGCAAGCACATGGAGATAGAAATAACTGTAATCAGGAGCCCATCACTCTTAACTCCCGCTGGAATGGACAAGAAAGTAATCTCTTATGCCAAGAGAATATCATTTGATATTCTCTTGCCTTCACTGATCTCGCTGTAGTTGAAGCCTAAAAATGTTTGGATAGTTGAAGCCTTTTTTCAGCTCTGCAACAGTTAGCGCAATGTATTTCCATATAAGATGACTCTGAATAAGAGCTAATAACAGACGTTGAGTGAACCAATCAGAGCTCTAGAAATGCAATATTTGGAGTTGAAACATTAATAGCGAAAGATCTTCGGGGTTTGCGTAGCCAGTTAAAACGCTCCTACAACAACCCATGTTTTACGTAATACTAAATAATATTATCTGGAACAATTTCAATTTTTCTCCATATTTTTATAGAGGCTTGCAAATTCGACTTTGAAAATGGGCTCCATGGCTGGGAAAAGACTGGCACAGCTTTCAATAACCAGCCGACATACGGTGACAACCCTACAGCTCGGAATCGGGGACAACCTGCCAAACAGCAAGGGGATTGGTGGATTGGGGGTGCCGAAGACAGACCATCAAATGTGTCAAAGGCAGGACTACTGCAAGGTGACAGACCACAGGGAACCATCACTTCGCCACCCTTTGCAATCATGGGCAGTACCATTGCATTCCTCATCGGTGGAGGCTGTGATATAAACTCTGTTCGCGCTGAATTGATTGTCAATAACAAGGTAAGAATCATGAATGTAAATACTTTCGAATGAGTAAAACTACAGAGAAAGGAGGAATCAGAAACGATTTTGAGAGAAAAGAGGTTGTGGGCGTTTGTCACCGTGATATGAGAGTGAGTTTAATCGGGAGCTCGACATCAAAATTAATCTGGAAACGAGCCTGAAAAGAATCGGAAACGTAAGAAGGAGGAATTTCCAGGAAATTCCTGTTCGAGATTGAAAGCCACCCAGTCAAATCACTCTCTTTTTGATAAAGCGGATTATCGTAAATGAAATACATCTCACCGTATAAAATCAGCGAAATAGGAAATTATCAACTGCTTACAATATTTTTTAACTGAATGCCTTATGCTAATATTCTATTTCCATTCATATTCCCAGCACCAAGATAAGAAAGCTCTTATAATGCTTCCAAATAATATGTGTTTAAATTTATCGTTTAACATCTGATTACAGCCAACTGGCCGATTACGACTGTAAAAAATTATCAGTGAAAAATAAAGTAGCTAATGTACCAATCACATATGAGGAAATTGTAATTAATTGTTATGATTAAAAATCAAACGGCTGAAAAAATGGCTTTTTCTTTGTTCTACCACTTAACAAACACTTTAGCGAATAGCCTCGGTAGAACTGAGAGAATTCAGAGAGGAAACGGGGAAGGTAGCGAACGCTTTTGCAGAAACTAGAAACGCCTGTATTCATCATGAGTTCAAAAGGGACATCTTTACAATCTATCCACGATGCACAGCCCTAGAGGGTTCCTTGAACAAATCTATTATTTCCTCGAGTCTCATTTCCGGCCCTGTGACAACGAGCTTTGGTTTTCCAGCTAGTAAATCACTTTGGCCTTTGAAAACATTTAAATTAAACCTTGCTCTGTCAAATCTCTTTTATAGCGCGGCGCGTCTCATACATCCTAACTGATTGAGGATTACTTCACTGTTCATACTGTTCCATGGATGATTCTTTTTTTCGCCTTTTACTGGATACACATATCGCGAGAGAGCCATGAAATTTTTTTTTACCTCACTTCCTTTACGAGACAGATCTTCTCCCAATTTTTATTTCTTCTGGCTTCTTTGCTTATTTTTCGCTCTAACTATACTAATGCTTGTTCACCAGAAGAACTTTTTGAAAGATGTGCGTAGAAAATTAATCAAAATCTCTTTTTTCCCCGAGTGACTCGTGAGATTACATATTCTCTCAGTTGTTTTGATACTCCTTCACTCGCTTTTTAGGTTGTGCGAAGAACAACCGGTAAGTGCCATGAAACAATGACCCGTCAATTCTGGTATGTTCGAGACTTTATTGGTCAACTTGCTCAGGTCAAATTGGTTGACTTCAGCTCTCGTGGATGGGGTCACATCAACTTTGACGATCTTGAAGGCGACATAACCTGCTCAAACCTGGAAAACACTGGTATTTATTTAGCTTAGGAGGTTTAAAATTCTAAGGTGAATATTATAGGGTCAACTTGTGACAATTTACAAGAAAAAATTTCTAATATAAATTCATCCTGGAACTAGCAGGAGAAGTAAACTGTTTGGATCAGCTTTCATGAACGATAAAAACCGACTGAGTCAGTTATCCTCGGATGATATGTAGTTATTGACAGAATGAGAGGGCCGCACGGGAAAACATTTGCCTGGGTGCACTTGGTCTGTTTGTCACGACCGAAAACCACTGTATTAATCATATGAACATTAAGTCTTGAAAATTTTGAGATTATGTTTGAATTTAAATAAGGCGCGATTTCAAACAGAAGAACGACGAGCGCTTACCTAAAAGCATTATAACACGAAAGCTTTTTCCTTTGTTTCCCCTAGTCAGAACAAGAAACTCACTCTTCGACAAAATACGCAACTTTTTCTTTGATTACTGTTTTATTTTGTCTTTGAAACCGAGCCGCACGGGTGCGGGGCTGGACGGCTTTTCTCGACCAGCATACGTCAACCCGTCCTGCCTTTTGTCAATCAGGTTTAACTATACGGTTTTCTACAGGATTGCACGGGCTGGGCTTTACGACCGATATCATAAAAACTGATATGTCTAAAGAAAGCTGCGTGTTCGACTTCGAAGAAGGTATTGACGGCTGGCATAGAACCGGTTCAGCGTTTGACAACCAGCCTACACATGGTGACAACCCGACAGCTCGTAGAAGAGAACAGCCTGTCAATCAACAAAGGAACTGGCGGATTGGAGGATACGAGAGCTGGCCTTCAAAATCGGCTCCTGCAGGATACGCACAACGAGACAAGCCACAAGGGACTCTTACGACTCCATCATTTATCATTGGGGGAAAATACATTACATTCTTGATCGGTGGAGGTTGTAACATCAATTCCGTTCGTGCTGAACTGATTATTGATTATGAGGTATAAGTCAACAAAAGGTCATTTACTGAATCACCTTGGTGTTAATGAAAGCTACTTCAAAACGTTCACTAGCTATCAATTTTTGTGACGGAAATGATTGATTGACTACAAGTAATACTCAGGTTTAGAGTAATATTTTAAGGAACTCGTTGAAGAGCGCATGTTAGTGGAAGAAACAATTGAAACTCGCAAAATACATCGTTGTTCTGTTTCAGGTTGTCAGAAAAGCGACCGGGAAGTGCCATGACACAATGACTCGTAAATTCTGGGAAGTTGGAGACTTCATTGGCCGAACTGCGCAAGTCAAACTGGTGGACTTTAGCTCTCGCAGATGGGGTCACATCAACTTTGATGATCTTGAAGGGGACATAACCTGCTCAAACCTGGAAAACACTGGTATTTATTTAGCTTAGGAGGTTTAAAATTCTAAGGTGAATATTATAGGGTCAACTTGTGACAATTTTCAAGAAAAAATTTCTAATATAAATCCATCTCGGAAATAGCTGGAGAAGTAAACTGTTTGGATCAGCTTTCATGAACGATAAAAACTGACTGAGTCAGTTATCCTAGGATGATAAGTAGTTATTGACAGAATGAGAGGGCCGCACGGGAAAACATTTGCCTGGGTGTACTTGGTCTGTTTGTCACGACCGAAAACCAAATAAGTATTAAACATATGAACATTGTCTTGGAAATTTTGAGATTATGTTTGAACTTAAATAAGACGCGATTTCAAACAGAAGAACGACGAGCGCTTACCTAAAAGCATTATAACACGAAAGCTTTTTCCTTTATTTCCCCTAGTCAGAACAAGAAACTCACTCTTCGTCGAAATACGCAACTTTTTCTTTCATTACTGTTTTATTTTAAGTCTTTGAAACCGAACCGCGCGGGTGCGGGGCCGGACGGCTTTTCTTGACCAGCTTACGTCAACCCGTCGTGCCTTTTGTCAATCAGGTTTAACTATACGGTTTTCTACAGGATTGCACGGGCTGGGCTTTACGACCGATATCATAAAAACTAAAGAAAGCTGCGTGTTCGACTTCGAAGAAGGTATTGACGGCTGGCATAGAACCGGTTCAGTGTTTGACAACCAGCCGACATACGGTGACAACCCGACAGCTCGTAGGAGAGAACAGCCTGCCAATCAACAAGGGAGCTGGTGGATTGGAGGATACGAGAGCCGGCCTTCAAAATCGGCTCCTGCAGGATACGCACAACGAGACAAGCCACAAGGGACTCTTACGACTCCATCATTCATCATTGGGGGAAAATACATTACATTCTTGATCGGTGGAGGTTGTCACATCAATTCCGTTCGTGCTGAACTGATTATTGATTATGAGGTATAATTAAACAAAAGGTCATTCACTGAATCACCTTGGTGTTAATGAAAGCTATTTCTAAACGTTCATTTGCTATCAATTTTTGTGACGGAAATGATTGATTGACTACAAGCAATACTCAGGTTTAGAGTAATATTTTAAGGAACTCGTTGAAGGGCGCATGTAAGTGGAAGAAACAATTGAAACTCGCAAAATACATCGTTGTTCTGTTTCAGGTTGTCAGAAAAGCGACCGGGAAGTGTCACGAGACAATGACTCGTAAATTCTGGGAAGTTGGAGACTTCATTGGCCGAACTGCGCAAGTCAAACTGGTGGACTTTAGCTCTCGCAGATGGGGTCACATCAACTTTGATGATCTGAGAGGTGACATTACCTGTTCAGCCCCTGAGAACACAGGTACTTATATTTCTGTTAGGTTTGATTCAAACTTCGTTATCCTATATGTGTCTGTTGTGTGGCCACGCAGACTTCTAGGCAATATGAATGGTTAGACTAGAATCGGCTTGAAATGATTTACGAGGTTGAGGATACTTCATGCATTTTCCTGATTGAGGTGAAACCTCTGTCTCACAGGAGACATGCGGCATTGCCTGTGTTGCTTGTACCGGAGACTAAATACAAAGTTACATATGCAAAGGTAAAAATTTCTCGTGAACCGAACTCAGTTGGTTTTATAAAATTAGTCTCCTCTAGTTGTTAAGAGCGTCAAAAAGTCTTAAGTTTAATTTAACACAAAAGTCAATTCAGTAAGAACGGTAGGGAATGTTCTTCCTTTGGTTCATTACACAGATATCCTTGACAAAGCATTATGCAGCTTTGACTTTGAAGAAGGACTTGATGGCTGGGTTAGGACTGGTACAGCATTTGACAACCAGCCGACCTATGGAGATAACCCTACAGCTCGGAACCAAAGACAACCTGCCAATCAACACGGGGACTGGTGGATTGGAGGATACGAGGACCGACCATCGAAGTGGGCCACAGCAGGACGAAGCCAGTTGGATGCACCACAGGGAACTCTTACGTCTCCAACATTTGACATACAGGGAAATTATATTTCGTTTCTGATTGGTGGAGGCTGTGACATAGACACCATTCGTGCTGAGTTGATAGTCGATGACAGAGTGAGTAAGACACTGAATTTGGTTAAAGCGGGGTTTACCTTGTAGGAATTGACAAAAAATAGGCTGGTAAGCCCAATTAAGATGGCCAGATAATATTAATAGTGAAGACATTTTTCTCCAATCATAGACAGAGTCGGGCGAGAGAATTCTGTTCATCAGTAGTTCTTTATGCTACCTATGAAATTCACATCCCATGATAAATTCGACAACACCAGCTACTCCTTCTAGTTCAAATGTGTGCAAGGAATCCTTGCAGCTAAAATTACATATGCGTTATTAATCAAGCGTGAGGTCAAGATGGCTAGATATTGGCCGAGTTCTTTGTTTCTGTGTGTTTTTATGGATTGAGGCGAAGTCGAGGTCCATAACAACGCAAATCGAGAACTCGAACAATAACCAGCCATCTTGACCTAACAAGCATGGTCAGTAAAGGATTTACAATATAGCAAAAAGATTTCGCAAAATGGGTAGCTAATCAAAACACAGGATTCTGCTTCATATTGCCCACTGACGCTGCCGGCTATATAATAGGAAGTAATTCTAGTAGAATGTGGGGGGATTGTGTTACACAACCAATCAGAGAGGGGGATTATGTACCACATGGTACAAACGAATCAATGCCATCTACCATCTTGGATGCCGATCCAGCCATATCCTTAGTTTGTTTGTACCACTTGGTGCATAATACTCTACTCTGATCTGCTGTCTGCCACAATGCCCCTGTATATTTCTAAAGTTAGCAAACATATTACAAAGTTTAAAAAGCTGTGCCTTCCTCCTTAAGTTTTTTCCTTAGCTGAGAGAATCACACCAAAAATTCTTTATCTCTTTCAGGTTGTCAGGAATGCAACTGGTAATTGCCACGAGACAATGACACGAAAATTCTGGCATGTTGGAGATCTTCTCGGTCATTTTGCACAAGTGCGTCTGGTCGATTTTAGCTCTGAAGGTTGGGGTCACATCAATTTTGACGATATGAAAGGCGACATAACTTGCAGGGGCTCTAACGAAGACATTGACACTTTCCTTTAAGTTTTCGATTAGAAAATGAAAAACAGTCAGAGTATTCCGTAGAAGGTTATCTAATAAATGGATAAACTCAAGCAATCAAAGTAATAATTTTCATTTTCACCTCTTGTTTCTGTTTGTAAATCTGCTTGTTTGTTTCTTTAGTATTTCTGTATGAGACAATGTATCCGCGTAGTAAATGTACTGGACTCTGCTGCACTCTTATAGAGCTCAAAATAGGGACACCATGTTGGTACCTATCCAAGGGGCATTAACATGGCGGCCATGAAGTAACGTAATTATTTCTTGCCATTTTTGGCCTCTAGGGTAACTAGTTATCCACCGTGGATAAAAGCACATAGCGATCATTGCTTCGATCGCGGTTGGAAATTTTGAATGAACCAGACACAAGTTCTTTTAAATGAACCAGTTCTGATGTCAAGAAAGTATATCCGACATAAGTTGTCTTCATTCCCTTTATGTACCACAGTAGTATTAACGTGGAAATTGTGTAATTGAGAACATATATTATAAAAAAATGACTTTTTAGACAAGCACTGAAACATGTTCCTGTTTTTTAAAATTAAATTGGCCGGTTACCATACTATTGTTTGGATTTTGCCCCCTTCGTATAAACGCCTCACTCGAATAATGAAAAAATTTAATAAAAGGTTTGGCGTTTAATCGATTAAATGAGATAATTCCCTGTGCAAAGCGAGCCAATGAGAAATCTTCAAGCGCCAGACCGCTAAAAGGCCCTACGTAGGCTTGTGTTGCTAAAGGCCTTTACTTTACTCGTGGACAAAGAAATGACACGTGTAGACTGGTATTCCCTCCTTTTTGCGCGAATACCGCCACGTGAGTCAAAAATTTCAGCGAACAAAAAAATTTAGGTGTTCGCGTTCGACTCTAAGAATTTCGCGCAGCGCGTTAACACGAATCACTAATTTGTTCTCTAGCGCGAAGAACTTCGCCGAAAAGCAGGGGCTGCTCGTAGTCTAGCAATAACTATGATGAATGCTTCTGGCGCTTCAGTCTGCTCTGGTTGTTGTAAAACCGCAATTGATTTTCTTGCAGCTTATCAACCATGACCAGACTCGAAAGTTGACCATATGGGTCATGCAGTCCACTGTTTCTTACTTATAATAATCATCATTATTAACCAATGAAATTACACAAGTCTTCAGAAAAGTAAGTACTGATTGAATACCTGCCTTGTCTTAGTCCTTGATATCTTATATTCAACATTGCTTGGCCTAGCCTTTCTAGATATCATTCCTCACCTAAAATGCCTATGTCAAGTCCCTCCATTGAAGAGGTTATTTTCTGGTAATTATCCTGTCTGGCAAAGTCTATTGGAATGATGCACCTCTCAACCTTGCATTCCTTTTCCATAATACAAGGATTATGACATAGGTTTATAACATAATTTAAAAATGGTTGAAAAGTCAAAACCTCTTGAAAATACTTCCTAGACATTTCCGCATGTGTTCAAACAAATTCTTCTCATCAATTTAAAATAATAGTACATATTTTTCTGCTCCACCCCTTCTCCCCACTTGAATATCCTCTGATTAATGGTAATGTTCAGTCATTGATGGATTTTCAGAAATTAGGGTAATTTGATTACTTTAACACAAGAAATTAGAAAACAAAAATTTACCAATGTTCAATATATCAAAAAATTCTTAAGCAAAACGCTTTATCTGTAATAACTTCCCAATATTGATTTACAAGCTAGGACTAGAAAACTTAAAATCTTTTTTTTTCACTAGCCTCGGCAACCTTTTCCAACTTTTGGGTTGATCGACTTATCAGAACAACATTCATTCCACATCGTGCCAACTGTCTTGCAAAGAAATTTTACACACTTGTGACAGTTCGTCAAATCTTACTCACAAGCCAAGTTACCCACAATGCCAGAGTTGAACACCTTGTTTTCTAGACCAGTTACTGGAAGAATTCCTCCATTTTCCCCCTTTCCCCACATCCCTCACCCTAAAAGCAGTAGCAGATGTGGTGTAAATGTGGCGAATACCACATTTGCTTTAGATTTGCACAGGGGTGGCAAATCTGGTGCAAATGTGGCACTTACTTAGAGTTTGGACCAGATTTGCTCACTGCGCAAATATGGTGCAAATCCGTTTTTTCATCCAGTGTCATTACCTTACACTCAAATGATCTTCCTATTCCTTCTGATGCACCTGTAACAACTGCCAAATATAGAATTTAAGAAAAACACATACTATGGTGGTAATCACGCTGAAATCTGACAAAAATATTGACTGTCAATAACACTGGCCAATCCCCCTCCTCTCGTCTATTTGCTCTTTGACTTTTCTATCCCTATCTTTCCCTGCAAACCGAGAAATACTACGAACTTCATAAAAATGTTACAAATTTTTCTATACCTGCAAATAGGCCTTTTTGTAAATTCTGATCCACTCTTGCTAATCAATTAAATAACAACTAATTCACTTCAGTGTCAGTGGCTATTCGCAAATACTTACCGATCTGCGAAGCAGCAAGGTAAATATCCACTGCTAGCCACCAATACTAAGGTTAATAGTTGTTTTTGTATATAATAAAATAGTGAGATGATATAACACAAGAGGATGCTTTTTATTCGAGCAATGATTGCAATATTTTCAGGTGGAAATTCTGGTAAGGTTCATAGAGTACAAGGCATAGGGTCAGTCACTGACCCATTATCTGACTTAATCCTTTAACCCCTAATAGTGACCAGCATCTCATTTCTCCTCACTGTATAACCACTGAATCACACATTAATGACAAGAGAATAAAGGAAATGATCACCAACTAAAGAAACTCTTGATTATTAGACAAATTCTCCTTGTCAGCACCTTGGTAACTGAACAGAGAACAGTTAGGAGAATATAAATATTGATGTTGGGGTGTAAAGGGCTAAACAGTCTGCTTATTATTGCTTTGCGTTCTCACTAGTTCTGATCTTTGGGATATATTCCTTTCTTCTGATTGGCATGAAACTTTAACCAAAAGATGTCTAAATTCTAAACAAATATATATATGATGCCTCACCTGCCCATCTACATCCATACTTGGTGCTAAAATTACTCCTTTGCGTGACTTGAGCTAACCAATATATTCTCATGCCTTTCACGATGTTGAGAGCTAGAGTTAAAGATACTTTGGCTGTCCACAAAAGACCTACAGAAGGGGAGGACAATTAAACAAAAAAGAAAAGCTGAGTTCAATCAGCTAATATATTTTATTTCCCGTACAGTATAGTCTCAAAAAGTGGATTTTTCAACTCATTCAGTCATGTGAAAAACTGCTTGTTCTGTCCAGATTCACGATTTCCCTACCGCGAAACTCCTACGTATCAGTTTCTGAGCTACATCCAAATATTAAGAAATCAAGATGCAAATTATAACCCTGGTATAAACCTACAGCTCTTACTCTCGCATTTGCGAATTAAACCTATATCCTGAAAAAGAATAGGAGTTAATTTTGACGAAAGACTTACCTAAAAGTGTTAATCCATTCTTTAAGCCTGAGTTATCCAGGTATGATAAAAATACACGCCAGATAGTCTTGACCGTGGGCCGCCATATTGCATATATTCGTACTCCAGATAAAAAAGTAAAAGTTGATAGGAACTGTGGACAAAGGATGGCGGATCTAGCTTTTCTTGGCTAAAATCTTGGTTGGGATAATTAATAGTTATCCATGAATACTGATTCAAAACTTCATATTCTCCACCTGAATTACAGTAAGAGGAAGAGTGTACAAAGGATGAAGGTTTGCATCGATTACTATTTTGAATAGTTTTGTTATGAGAATATTTGTTGTAACATACAGTCAAACCTCCTCTAAGCGATTACCCGAAAAGTCAAGTCTGGATTTTCACATTTTGGAAAGTTTGCATATAGTGACCGGACCCTTTCGCCAGCACTCAGTGATACCTGCACTTGAATATTTTTCGCTAAAACCTTTCATGTAATTTAGTCTAACTTGGTTGGGAGCTAATATTGAACGGTATGTTTGCAATGTTAGTTTCGGCGTAAATCAGACAAACTGTGGCATTTATTGCATACTCCAGTTGATGTTCTTTGATACTGCTCCGACACAAATTTTCTGTTCAATGCAAGATTGACACATTTATGCATGTATAAGTCTAGTATTATTAAGATGAGAGAGTTTTTTGCATTTTTGTTTATCAATTCTTCCAATTTTACTTGCGCGGTAAAACTATTTCGGGAAATACTTCCCATGCCTTTACTTTTACGACATCTATTCAGTTTTCGATAGTAAAAGGTTTTTTCTGTTCAGTTTTCGCTCGAGAGAAGCCGATTTTCTGTCAAGTGGCCGCTTACGAGAGGTTCCATTTATAGTAATTTGACTTGGAAACTTTTGGTGTTGTGAAAAATTTTTTGCGGATGGTCGCTTACGAGAGGTAGTCGCAAAGGGAGGTTCGACTGTTTTCTTCTTCCTTTTGTCTCAAGTTTAGTTTGAATATTGTTGCCGTCATTTCTCTGATAAATAAGGCACTAAGCAAAGGAAATTTTTGGTCGATTTGTTGAACTGAGAGTCCTTTTTTACTATTTCTAGCCTATGTCTCTCCGTCTCACCAGTGTCCGAAAATCACGTAACATCAAGAATGGATTAGGCCGTGATGACTGATAACAGAGGTATTTTTCTAAAATACGAAAACAAAACCGACGAATCGTCAGGTCAAAGATACTTGACATTTGTGGTAAACTATCCGTCATTAAACAGGGCCAGAATGGATATATTTCATCTGTTGGCCCACGGCGTGTTAAGGATCCCTCTTGGCATTATGGACTAATAAGTTAAGGTAGGGTTGCAGACATGATTTCTTACTTCCTTTTCTTTTTTCTTTTCTTTTTCCCCTTATATTGGAGATGAAATTGCAACATGTAGAAAGTATGAGTGCCAGGCTTGATTTATCATTTCATTTCGCACAGAGGAATCCACCCGATGTCAAATGAAGTTCGTGCTATCTGCTAGCTATCTGCTCTTCAGGTAAATGAGAAATCCGACCTGGTAATTAGATATACAAAGTCAAATAAATGAAGTTCTTTTTTGAGTACATCTGGCGTTTTGTTTGGCTTTTTTCCCAAAGAAAGAACTCCGCTTGGCCTCATTTAGTGACAGACTCCTTACAATCTCTCAGTTGAATGATCCATTCAGTACCTGCGGAGCTTCAGTCAAGTTTTCCTCAACTGGTATGCGAGCTCAGGTTTGGTTAGTTTTCATCCCGTTCCTTGTAATTTTCTCATCATCAAAAGGAACTCCTGTTACCCGGTCACCCTCTAGAGTACCAAATCCGACCGGATCTTTAGATAAACGAGGTAAGACCAATTGCATTGCTCTCGTTTATATTTGCTTTCCTATAAGCTCAAAGCCTTTGTTTGGATGATAACTCAGTAATTCTCTATCCCAATGTTGAGTGGTTGAACAAGTGCTCGTTAGACAAAATTCTATTTGTCTAGACCCTTCACATCCGACAAGTTATCAGAGTGTGTAACCTGCGGTCGCGCGATTTCAACACTGTCCCACAAAAAGACGGTGACGGTGTGGCTACTGACAAAGTACAATTTCTATGGCATTGAAAAGAACCAGAGTTTGTATAATGATGCTATTCTTTGCTATTCCATGATGGAAGTGACGCAGATGATTTGTGTCACATGCAAAACAGAAAACCTACCCTGCTCGCTTCGCAAACTTAGCGCGGGTTCTTTAGGACCGGCATCAGTCGCTGATGGAAATCGTAAAATGCTCGGTAAAATTTCCGCACAGCATACCGTAAAACAAATCTGTTTTCCTGATGGCAATGTATTGTTTTTGTCATTGTTTTCTCTATCCAAGAACTGAATGCATAATGTAGTATGGGGCTGTGAGGAAATTTTACCAAATGCTCTCTCTTCGAATAAATAAAATATTTCTTTAAAGTTTCCACGATGTGCAGATCGAACCTATTTGATATTTCTGTAAGGAAAAGTCTTGATTAATTACGTGCCGGAGATGCCACTGTGAAGTTATTCTGAGATGTTTATCATCCCCCTTAATGTCACGGCAAGAATAGAAAATCATATCTTCGGATCTACGGGGGATAATTTGTTGATTCTAACGGTTACATGCTCTCTCCTTAAAGAAAAAAAAATTATTGTAAGTTTTCATGATGCGCCGATCACACGCTAAAGATATTTCTGTGAAGAAAAGCTTCGTTTTTTCACGCGCCATCCTGAAATGATTGTGAGATGTTATCGTCTTCTGCAGCACTCCAAAACAAACAGTAAATAGCGTCGGAAATTGGTTGAAGATCGGATTTCTATTGTTACCACTGATCACTCGTTCACTCACTCGCTCTTCTCGACAACGTGTGTGGCTTCACCTCCTACACAGGAGGCAGTAGCCACAAAAATATCAGATAGGGGATGTTATCTTGATAAAGCATAAATCGGTGCAAGAACATGAATGGTACTCAGAGGGGAAAATGACTAATGGATCTTTCAATTTGTAGGGGTACACCAATTATCAGCTGCTTTTTGGCTCTTTGTCAGGCTGCTTCTCTCTAAGGCCCTGGTCGCACCTGGTCGCACTCTTTTTGTTTGTGTTAGTGAAAAATTTGTCGACAATTAGTGAAAAATACTATTCCGCTCGTCTAATTTGGCGCGCGATGGCATGCGTTAAGGAAAATCACTGCGTAGCGCTACTTCGACAATCAATAGGACTTTATCTTTCCGATTTCTTGCGTTTATTTACGATCCATACAATATCCGAACTTTCTACATTCAAACGATCTCGATCTTTCTGTTACAAAATAGTGATTCTATTTATCTGATACAGAATCACTATTTTGTAACAGAAAGATCGAGATTGTTTGAATCTAGAAAGTTCGGATATTGCATGGATCGTAAATAAACTACGTAAAGCCAAGATTGAGATTAATTACTCGTGATTTACTAAAATCCTAAGCTATTTGTAGCGCTGTTGTTGTGTCTTCTGTTGTAATTATGTCCTCACACCTAATAACCAGTAGAATGCGGTTTTACTTCTTCCAATCAAAGTGCGTTGTGATCTGTCTTCTGCGTGTCACTTCTCAACTAGGGGAGAAAAGCAAGGCAAAATTGTTAGAAGACCGTAAAGATTTCCTCGCTCGAAGTTTGAGAACTTCAAAAGAGGTAAATTCTGTAAAAATTCATCCTTTAAGTGGAATATATCCTACTGACTTGCCGTAGCCATCTTTACTCCGATTTTCCAATTTGATCAGTGAATTCTAGAAAAACGGGTTAAATTCTGTGAAATTCATCCTTTATGTAATCCTTGGATTATATCCTTCTGACTTGCCATAACTATCTTTACCACGATTTTCGATTTGATCACTAGGTGAATTTGTCATAAAGAGGTAAATTATGACAAAACACCCGCAAGAGCAATACATCCTTCAGTGATTTATAAACAGTACTAAAAAAAGAACATAAAACAATAACAACAACAACAAATACATTGTTTACATTGACAATCCATAGTTTAGGAACCCATGTGTTATATCTTTAACAGCGACATCCAATGTTCAACATCAAATTCCATTCGTCTGTTATTACAAGAGAACTGATTTTATTTAAACGCAGGAGACTTTGAGGGTGTCCTAGGATAAAATAGACCGACGAACTGTGGTTGCTGATTATTCACCCCTGCGTCTCGGTCGGTGGTTTTTGTTTAGGTGATCGAAAGAGAGGATGGAAAGCGAGCATGGCTCAGGGGATACCGTACTGACTTTCATGTTATGTACGTGCTCATAAGTTTCACGTGAAGAATTTGGTTTTCAAATATCATTGTCTTTCTGATCAGCTTGATTCCACAGAGCGCCCTGTGACAGTATGAAACCACAGGCGGCCCCAGCAAGTACACGAGAAAAGGGTTTTTCTCGTGTACGTAGAAAACCTCGAAATATGGGTTCCCTTCAACGTAGTAAGCAGTCAGATAACAAGCAATGCACTGTGGAAGTAGGGTGATGTTTTTTTTTTTGAGAATTTTACTTATTTTTTATTCCTTAGAGCGGTCGTAATCCTCATAATTTCTCCATGACTGTTATTTCGTAAGATTATTATCCCACAGCTGGAGCTTGGGCTGCCTGTGTATGAAATATGCGGCCAGCTGTAACAGCTAAAATCAGCGGAACCGCAATAAAATCACAATCTACTACTTCAACTTTTTTTCTAACGGAGGGTTCAGTACGATACAGCAAAAACCTAGAATATTCTTATTAAACAACTGAAGGCCAAACTTCTGTGAATGACGCAGACAAATAATCACAACTGTGACCTCTCAGTCAATCTCACCTCCGGCAGATCAGGATGAAGCGTCAAAAATATATAATTTTATGTCGACGAACCATACTATATGATCTTCAACTATTAAAGAAAATAAAACAATCGTGATATGACGCCCCATTGTGCTTTTGTCTTAGCTTGTGGGTAAAACGTTGTCATTGGAGTCGCAAGTCGAGCAATGAAGACTGTAAATAAAGCAAGACTGCAAATAAAGCGTGAACAATGCTTTGTTCGAAAATCGCTTTGTTATTTACGCGGCAAGTTCTTCTTTCACGTTTGGGTTATAACAACGATGCGATCACACGGTGTTAACGAAGAAACGATAGAACCTCAAGGGAAGTAATGTGTGTGAGAGAGGCCAATGATCTGCGGATAGCAAGTTTTCCTGAAATCGGCAAGAGGTTGTTCATCCGTTGTTACCGGAAAATACTGGTCAAATTTTTTACTTATCCCGACCCCCTTCAATGAGTACTTTTGCTTGAAGACAGAACTACAACGGAGTCTCTCCGAATATTCTTGCTACAAGACTGCAATAACCGTGCTACGCTCAATTATATACACCTAAATCTTAAGTAACTCAACTGTCAACAAACCGCTTAATTACTAAATTAGAAAGTAAAATGTCACACCTATGCTTACAAAGATTGTTTCGAGGGAAACGAGGTGTTTGAGAGCGAATTTGGGTGGAGTGGGCGGGCGCGCTTATTAAATAGCACAGCAGCAGGACAAAAATTAAAACAACAGATAACTCACAAAGAAAACTCTGCTAGCACATGGAGATAGAAATGAGTGGAATCAGGAGCCCATTACTTTGAGCTCCTGCTGGAATGGAAGAGAAAGAAATCTTCTGTGCCAAGAGAATATCATTCGATATTCTCTTGCCTTCACTGATTCCGCTGTCGTTGAAGCCTAAAAAAAGTTTGGATATTTGAAGCCTTTTTTCAGCTCTGTAATAGTTGGCGCAATGCATTTCCATATAAGATGACTCTGAATTAGAGCTAATAACAGACGTTGAGTGAACCAATCAGAGCTCTAGAAATGCAATATGCAATGCAAAAAATGATTTTCGGAGTTTGCATAGCCAGTTAAAACGCTCCTTCATCGCCATCCAATGTTTTAGTAATGCTAAATAATATTATCTGGAACAGTTTCAATTTTCCTCCATATTTTTTACAGAGGCATGCAAATTCGACTTTGAAAATGGGCTCCATGGCTGGGAAAAGACTGGTACAGCTTTCAATAACCAGCCGACATACGGTGACAACCCTACAGCTCGGAATCGGGGACAACCTGCCAAACAGCAAGGGGATTGGTGGATTGGGGGTGCCGAAGACAGACCATCAATTATGTCAAAGGCAGGACTACTGCAAGGAGACAGACCACAGGGAACCATCACTTCGCCTCCCTTTGAAATTATGGGCAGTCTCATTGCATTTCTTATCGGTGGAGGCTGTGATATAAACTCTGTTCGCGCTGAATTGATTGTCAATAACAAGGTAAGAATCATGAATGTAAAAACTTTCGAATGAGTAAAACTAAAGAGAAAGAAGGAATTAGGAAAAATTTTGAGAGAAAAGAGGTTGTGGGCGTTAGTCACCGTGATATGAAAAAGTGCAACGAGAACGTACTATAAATAATGGTAATGATAGCGAGTGGAGTTTAATTCGGTCTGTAAACATACCCGTGATTAAGAAAATCGGACGACTGCGAAGAGGGATTCTGATTTGTCAATCACGAGTATGATTACAGACAGAATTGGACGACACGAAGTCCTGTTACCAAATAATCATAACCCTTACAATTTCCCCAAAAAAGGAAAGACAAATACATTTAGGACAAACATCTCCGGAAGAGATCATGTCCAGAGTAAAAATATCATCTATTTTGAAAATTCTCTAGTTTTTATTTTATTTTAGGATAAGTGGTTGTTGGGATGGTTATTGTGATCAATTCTGTGATTGTTGGTTTTAGCTGAGTGGACTTAGTACGATTGGCTGCTTCAACTGTCCGATTACAGGTGTCCGTGTTAAAAGGTTTTTCTAACATTCTTTGTTCAGTTGATACTTCTGTATTTCCTTTCTTAAAAACCCAATACAACGTGCTAGCTCAGGGACTAACTCTACTCTCTCAAGGAAACTGTTGGTCTCTAGCTTATAAAGGTGACAGTTATTCAGCTGTCAATATTTGACCAACGCCATTATTTCTCTCCTAGCTAGTGAATCATGTTAAGTTACGTGAAACAGATCCCGCATACTAAGTTTGTACCTTCAGTTTGTTGACTCTTTCCAAAACGACTTTTTACCTAAAATTTCATACTTTTGCGGTTAAGATCGGGAAAAACAAAAGCAAGATTGATATTATGAAAATTATAAAGGACCCATTGCATAGATTAGAATTACACTTAAAAAGATAACTAAAGAGAAAATAGCCCTCAAAGTTTTTTACATAACAACAGAAAAACAGAGAATTCGAGTAAGGAAGAGCGTACCCTAAGCCCCCAAAAGAACAACCAGCCGTTCATGCAAGTTAACTGATTATAAATTCAGTGCGGGAGATGAAAAGTACAAGTTGTTCACGCCTTTCGTCACCTTACAGAAAGAGGTGTTGAACGTGCTAAATTAAAAAATTAACATGAAATTAATCTGGAAACGAGCCTGAAAAGAATCGGAAGTGTAAGAAGGAGGAATTTCTAGTAACCGATCAAATTACTCTCTTATTCATCAAGTGGATTATCATAAATGAAATACGTCTTATAATTACCGAAAGATAATTGATATATTACCGCAAACTCCAATTACTGTAGAGAGTGAACATCTGCTTTCATGTCAAACTCGCGATGGGAGAATATATATGCCATAATCAAACGGCTTAATGCAAATTTTTGTGAGGTTAAATGAATTTTTTTCTCCCAGAAAGAAACAATATAACAGTTACTCTACTAACAAAGTAAGACCGCCATCGAAATAGGAAATTATCAACTGCTTACAATATTTTTTAACTGAATACCTTATGCTTATACGCACATTCCCAACACCAAGATAAGAAAGCTCTTATAATGCTTCCAAATAAGATATGTTTTAATTTTTTCGTTTAACATCTGATTGCAGCCGACTGGCCAATTACAACTGTAAAAAAGTATTAGTGAAAAATAAAGCAGCTAATGCACCAATCACATTTGAGGAAATGGTAATGGTTATGATTAAAAACTAGTAGGCCTCCATCGGTCAGGGTCGACCATGGGTATAGCATCCTAATTGTGTGTTTGGCTGGAGCATCTGCGGCTATGACTGTGAAGGCCAATGCGTGAATGGCAGTCCCTGCCGCAAGTGCTGCACGTGTATGCTGTTTGTTGGACGTTGCTGATACGAAGTTTTCTGCGGGTCCGCCTCCTTGTGGCAGCTTGTGTCAGCTTCTCTTCTCCTGTTTTGAGGTGCCTTGTAACGGCTCCTCTCCATTGTGACCGATCAGCTGCGAGATTTTCCCAGGTCTCTGTGTCAATTCCTACAGCCTTCATGTCACGCTTCAAAGCATCTCGGTATCGCAGCTGTGGGCGTCCTCTGCGTCTACTTCCAGTGGCTAGCTCACCATACAGTAAGTCTTTGGGGATGCGGCCGTCTGGCATGCGATGAACGTGGCCCAGCCAGCGGAGTCTACGTTGCCTGAGTAAGGTTGACATGCTTGGCAGGCCCGCACGAGACAAGACCTCTGTGTTTGGGACTTTGTCTTGCCACGAAATTCCCAGGATGCGGCGGAGGCTTCTCATGTGGAAGGTGTTCAGGCGTTTTTCTTGTCTGGCGTACATCGTCCATGTCTCGCTGCCGTATAGCAGTGTACTGATGACACAAGCGCTGTATACTGCCATCTTGGTCTTCTCTGTGAGCATGGGGTTGGACCACACACGTGTAGTGAGGCGTGCAAGTGTGGCAGCCGCCTTTCCAATTCTCTGGTCGAGCTCGAAGTCTAAGGAGAGATTGTCAGTGACAGTGGAGCCTAGATACGTAAAATGATGGACCACTTCGAGCTCGTAATCGTCGATGGTAACGGATGGTGGTGTTTCTGTTCCTTGTTCCAGGACTTTAGTCTTTTTCAGGCTGATGGTAAGCCCAAAGTCTTTGCAGGCCTGAGAGAAATGGTCCATGAGTGACTGAAGTGCTTGCTGAGTATGGCAGGCTACTGCTGCATCGTCAGCAAATAGCATGTCTCTTATCAGGGCTTCACGCACTTTGGTCTTTGCTCGGAGACGGGCAAGATTGAAAAGCCTGCCATCTGATCTTGTATGCAGGTAGATCCCTTCTTTCGATGCGCCAAATGCATGTTTCAGAAGGAAGGCAAAGAAGATTCCGAAAAGGGTTGGGGCAAGTACGCAGCCCTGTTTGACACCGCTGTTGATGTTGAATGACTCAGAGGTTCTGCCGTTGAACTGCACAGTCCCCTGCATGTTGGCATGGAAGGACTCAATCAGGCTGTGTAGTTTAGGGGGGCAGCCAATTTTAGATAGAATTCTGAAGAGACCCTCTCTGCTTACAAGATCAAACGCCTTGGTCAGATCGATGAAGGCAATGTACAAAGGCATCTGCTGCTCTCTGCATTTCTCCTGAAGCTGGCGGAGGGAGAATACCATGTCTATCGTTGATCTTTCTGCTCGAAAGCCGCACTGTGACTCTGGATAGATACGTTCAGCCAGTTTCTGAAGTCTTACCAAAATAACCCGAGCAAAGACTTTGCCCACAACGCTGAGTAAGGAGATGCCCCTGTAGTTGTTGCAGTCACTGCGATCTCCCTTGTTTTTGTAGAGGGTAACGATCTTAGCATCCCTCATGTCTTGTGGTACGGCCCCTTCTTTCCAGCACGCACATAGGACATTATGTAAGGCTGTAATAGTGTAGTCTTGCAGTGTTTGATCAGGTCAGGGGGATCCTGTCACTGCCTGGAGCTTTCCTTGAGGCCAAGCTGTTGATAGCCTTGCTGAGTTCGCCATTAGTGGGTTCGTTGTCAAGCTCTTCCATTACAGGTAAGCATTTTATGGCATCAAGGGCTGATGATGTTACTACATTCTGTCTTGAATAGAGATCAGAGTAGTGTTCCACCCATCTCTCCATCTGTTGTCCCTTGTCTGTGATGGCTTCCCCTGAGGTGGATTTAAGGGGAGCTGTCTTGTTCTGGATTGGACCTATTGATGTTTTGATGCCTTCATACATCCCTCTTATGTTCCCAGTAATTGCTGCAGTCTGGATGGCTTCGCTGAGTTCGGTCCAGTAGTCGTTGGCACAGCGTCTTGCAGTGTGTTTGACTTTGTTCCTTATAGCTCGGAGAATCTGAAGATTTTTCTCGCTGGGTAATCGCTTGTATTCCGTTAGAGCGGCACGCTTTGCTTCTATGATGGGGGTCATCACAGCGGATTTAGCTTTGAACCAGTCATGCGATTTCGAGGTACTTTTTCCAAAGGTGGCCAAGGCAGTGCGGTGCATTGTATCCCGTAAGGTGGTCCACTTCTCAGTTGCGGAGTCCCCTGACTGTAATGTTGCTAGATGATTCTCAAATCTCTCAGCAAATTGCTCTTTAAGATCAGGCTGGCTCAACTTAGTGACATCAATACGAGGGCTCCCTTTCTTCTTGCCACGGTGGAACCTTTTCGGATGGAGCCTGACCTTGCAACACACCAAGGAGTGGTCTGTGTCACAGTCCGCGCTGTGGTAAGAGCGTGTGTGGAGGACGTTCTTAATAGCGGTTCGTCTGACAAGGATAAGGTCCAGCTGATGCCACTGCTTTGAGCGCGGGTGTCTCCAAGAGACCTTGTGCTGAGGTTTGGTCTTGAAGAAAGAGTTGGCTATGCAGAGTTTGTGATAGGTGCATAGCTCGAGCAGTCTCTGGCCATTGTCGTTCATCTTGCCTATGCCAAACTTTCCAAGGCAAGAAGGCCATGATCTTTGATCAGCTCCTACTCTGGCGTTGAAGTCGCCCAGAAGGATAAGTTGTTCTTTGTTTGGGATGTTGCTGATCGTGGCTGTGAGCTGATCATAAAACTCGTCTTTAATTTCAGGTGTAGCAGAGAGTGTTGGAGCATACACGCTGACGAGAGTTACAGGGCCTGCCGTGGTGTTCAGGCAGAGGGTGAGGAGTCGCTCTGAGCCGCTGTTGCCTGGCTTTACCATGTTCAGCAGGTTGTTCTTCACTGCAAAGCCCACCCCATGTTGACGCGGTACATTGGGGCTTTTCCCCTGCCAGAAGAAGGTGTAGTCTTTCTCCTTCAGTCTTCCAGAGTCTGCAAGTCGTGTTTCTTGTAAGGTGGCAATGTCCACGTTAAGCCTCCTAAGTTCGTCGTTAATGATGGCTGTTTTCCTGGAGTCGCTGACGTCCTGAAGGTCTTCTGAGAGGCCCGTCAGCATTGTTCTAACGTTCCAGCAGCCTAGTTTCAGGACTGGTTTCTTTTGATGATTTTTGTTATTGCCTGGTGCAAAGTTTGCAGTCTGCCTGTTGGATATCTCCTAATCTCCATGCACCCAATGAAGAAAGCAAACCGTGGCGGGACAGCACCTTATTGGCTGGGGGCTGCCCAGCTTGAGGCGGGCGGTAGCTGTCCAGTGGGATTCGAAGATCCCTCCCACCGACGAGAACGACCCCTGGCGCTTCACTCTACGCCAATCGAGCAGTAGCTTATCACCGGTAAACTGCCATTCTCCGTGTTGTGTCTACGTCATGGGCGTAGCTGGAGTGTCCTCTCCAGGTGTAGTGCGAGGTGTGTTGGTGTGTAGTGTAGGCGGATGCTAGCCTGGGCAGTGTTTTATGGAGAACAAGCTGTTGCCCATGTGACATGTTCCCCTCTCCACGTCACTGATGGGGCCAAAGGAACAACAAGGTCGTTACAATTTGGGACCAGTGCCGTCGCAGGAGCTGCCAGCACGGGTTGAATTCAACTTCGAGCTGCCTTAGGGACTCCAACTCCGGATTTTTCCTCGAGGTTTACTCCTGAAGCCTTTTCCATGTGTGGATATAGCCGCAAGGCAGCAGAGGTTTGGGATAAGGGTTTTCCTTCCCCTAGGTAAACTGCCTTTCCAGGCTAGCGAGCTCTACCTGCCCTGTGCTGTAACCCTAGCAGGGGTGGCTGCGGGGCTGTAAACACTTGCCAAAGGTGTCACCCCAGACTCTGGTGGGCGGGGTCGTCCATGTCCCCGTGGTAGGCTGAGGTCCAACCTGTCCTACCCCAGTGCCCAGAAGGAGGGCGGAGGAGACGGAGGAGATAGCGAACGCTTTTATAGAAACTAGAAACGTCTGTATCAATCTTGAGTTAAAAAGAGACATCTTTACAATCTATCCACGATGCACAGCCCTAGAGGGTTCCTTTTACAAATCTGTTATTTTCTCAAGTCTCATTTCCGGCCCTGTGACCGCGAGCTTTGGTATTCCAGCTGGTAAATCACTTTATCCTTTGAAAAAATTAAATTAAACCTTGCGCCACTAAGACGTTGATTTATGGCTGTTGACGCTCTGTCAAATCTCTTTTATAGTGCGGTGCGTCCCATGCACCTTACTGAGTGAGGATTGCTTCACTGTTTATACTGCTCCATGGATAATTTTTTTTTTGCTTTATTACTGGATATACATGTCACATAGATTCCTCATGGCGAGAGAGCCATGAAATTTTTTTTTTACCTCACTCTCTTTACGAGACAGATCTTCTCTCAATTTTTATTTCTTCTGGCTTCTTTGCTTATTTTCCCGCTCTAACTATACTAATGCTTGTTCGCCAAATGAACTATTTGAAAGATGTAGAAAATTAATCACAATTCCTTTTTTTCCTGAGTGACTCTTGAGATTACATATTCTCTCAGTTGTTTTGATACTCCTTCGCTCGCTTTTTAGGTTGTGCGAAGAACAGCCGGTAAGTGCCATGAAACAATGACCCGTCAATTCTGGTATGTTCGAGACTTTATTGGTCAACGTGCTCAAGTCAAATTGGTTGACTTCAGCTCTCGTGGATGGGGTCACATCAACTTTGACGATCTTGAAGGCGACATAACCTGCTCAAACCTGGAAAACACTGGTATTTATTTAGCTTAGGAGGTTTAAAATTCTAAGGTGAATATTATAGGATCAACCTGTGACAATTTTCAAGAAAACTTTTCTGGTATAAATCCATCTTGGAACTAGCTGGAGAAGTAAACTGTTTGGATCGGCTTTCATGAACGATGAAAACTGACTGAGTCAGGTATCCACGGATGATATGTAGTTATTGACAGAATGAGAGGGCTGCACGGGAAAACATTTGCCTGGGTGCACTTGGTCTGTTTGTCACAACCGAGAACCAAATAAGTGTTAATCATATGAACAGTAAGTCTTGAAAATTTTGAGATTATGTTTGAACTTAAATAAGACGCGATTTCAAACAGAAGAACGACGAGCGCTAAAAAGCATTCTAAAACGAAAGCTTTTTCCTTTATTTCCCCTAGTCAGAACAAGAAACTCACTCTTTAACAAAATACTCAACTTTTTCTTTCATTTCTGTTTTATTTTAAGTCTTTGAAATTGGGCCGTGCAGGTGCGGGGTCGGACGGCTTTTCTGGACCGGCTTAGGTCAGCCCGTCCGGCCTTTCATAAATCAGGTTTAACTATACGGTTTTCTACAGGATTGCGTGGGCTGGGCTTTACGACCGATATCTTAAAAACCGATATCTCTAAAGAAAGCTGTGTGTTCGACTTCGAAGAAGGTATTGACGGCTGGCATAGAACCGGTTCAGCGTTTGACAGCCAGCCGACATACGGTGACAACCCGACAGCTCGTAGGAGAGGACAGCATGCCAATCAACAAGGGAACTGGTGGATTGGAGGATACGAGAGGCGGCCTTCAAAATCGGCTCCTGCAGGATACGGACAAGGAGACGGGCTACAAGGGACTCTTAAGACTCCATCATTCATCATCGGGGGAAAATACATTACATTCTTGATCGGTGGAGGTTGTAACATCAATTCCGTTCGTGCTGAACTGATCATTGATTATGAGGTATAATTAACTAAAGATCATTCACTGAATCATCTTGGTGTTAATGAAAGTTACTTAAAACGTTTATTTGCTATCGATTTTTGTGACGGAAGGGATTCAGTACTTGACTTCAAGCTTTACTCAGGTTTAGAGTAATATTTTAAGGAACTCGTTCAAGGGCGCATGTCAGTGGAAGAAACAATTGAAACTCGCAAAATACATCGTTGTTCTGTTTCAGGTTGTCAGAAAAGCGACCGGGGAGTGCCACGAGACAATGACCCGTAAATTCTGGGAAGTTGGAGATTTCATTGGCCGAACTGCGCAAGTCAAACTGGTGGACTTTAGCTCTGGAAGCTGGGGTCACATCAACTTTGATGATCTGAGAGGCGACATTACCTGTTCAGCCCCTGAAAACACTGGTACTTATAATTCTGTTGGGTTTAAATCATTTAAACTTCGTTATCCTATGTGTGTCTATCGTGTGGCCACGCAGACCTCTAGACAATATGAATGGTTAGACTAGAATCGGCTTGAAATGATGTACGAGGTTGGAGATACTCTATGCATTTTCTTGGTTGAGGTGAAACCTCTGCGTCACAGGAGACATGCGGCATTGATGTCTTGCATATATCGGAGACTAATTACAAAGTTACATATGCAAAGGTAAAAATTTCTCGTGAACCGAACTCCGTTGGTTTTATAAAATTAGTCTCTTCTAGTTGTTAGGAGCGTCAAAGAGTATTAAACTCAATTTAACACAAAAGTCAATTGAGTAATAACGGTAGGGAATGTTGTTCTTTTGGTTCATTACACAGATATTCTTGACAAAGCATTATGCAGCTTTGACTTTGAAGAAGGACTTGATGGCTGGGTTAGGACTGGTACAGCATTTGACAACCAGCCGACCTACGGTGATAACCCTACAGCTCGGAACCAAAGACAACCTGCCAACCAACACGGGGACTGGTGGATTGGAGGATACGAGGACCGACCATCGAAGTGGGCCACAGCAGGACGAAGCCAGTTGGATGCACCACAGGGAACTCTTACGTCTCCAACATTTGACATACAGGGAAATTATATTTCGTTTCTGATCGGTGGAGGCTGTGACGTAGACGCCATTCGTGCTGAGTTAGTAGTCGATGACAGAGTGAGTAAGACACTGAATTTGGTTAAGGTGGGGTTTACCTTGCAGGAATTGACAAAAAAAAGGCTGGTGAGCCCAAGTTAGACGGCCAGATACCATAGTGGAGACATTTTCCTCCAATCATAGACAGAGTCGGGCGAGAGAATTCTGTTCATCAATAGTTCTTTAAGCTGCTTAAGAAATTCACATCCCATGATAAATTCGACAACACCAGCAACTCTTTCTAGTTCAAATGTGTGCAAGGAATCCTTGCAGTTAAAAATAGTTACGTATGCGTTATTGATCAAGCGTGAGGTCAAGATTGCTAGATATTGCCGAGTTCTTTGTTTCTGTGTGTTTTTATGGATTGAGACGAAGTCAAGGTCCATAAAAACCCAAAACAAGAACTCGGCCAATATCCAGCCATCTTGACCTAACAAGCATGGTCAATAAAGGATTTACAATGTAGCAAAAAGATTTCGCAAAATGGGTAGCTAATGAAAACACAGCCATCTACCATCTTGGATGCCGATCCAGCCATATCCTTAGTTCATTTGTACCACTTGGTGAATAATTCTCTACTCTGATCGGCTGAGTGTGTGCCATAATGCCCCTGTATACTACTAATGTTAGCAAATATATTGCAAAGTTTAAAAAGCTGTGCCTTCCTCTTTATGTTTTTTCCTTAGCTGAGAGAATCACACCAAAAATACTTTATCTCTTTCAGGTTGTCAGGAATGCAACTGGTAATTGCCACGAGACAATGACACGAAAATTCTGGTATGTTGGAGATCTTCTCGGTCATTTTGCACAAGTGCGTCTGGTCGATTTTAGCTCTGAAGGCTGGGGTCACATCAACTTTGACGATATGAAGGGCGACATAATTTGCACGGGCTCTAATGAGGACATTGACACTTTCCTTTAAGTTTTCGATTAGAAAATGAAAAACAGTCAGAGTATTCCATAAAACGTTATATGATAAATGGATTAAGTTCAAGCAATCAAAGTAAAAAGCTTTATTTTCACCTCTTTAGTTCTGTTTGTAAACTTGCTTGTTTTTTTCCTTAGTATTTCTCTATTAGACAATGTATCAGGGTCGTAAATGTACTGGACTCCGCTGCACTATTACTGAGCTCAAAGCGGGGACGCCATGTTGGTGCCCATCCAAGTGGCCTCAACATGGCGGTCATGAAGTAACGTAATCATTTGTTACCTTTTTTGGCCCCTAAAGTTATTAGTTATCCACCGTGGATAAAAGCACATAGCAATCATTCAGCGATCATAGCGACTGTGAAGTACCGTAATAATTTGTTGTCTATTTTGGCCTCTCAAGTAATTAGTTACCATCGTGGATAATGTTGCACATAGCAACCATTGCTTCGATCGCAGTTGTAGATTTTGAGTGAACCAGACAAAAGTCCTTTAAATGAACCAGTTCTGATATCAAGACAGCATATCCAACATAAGTTATCTTTATTCACTTTATGTACTACAGTAGTATTAACGTGGAAATTGTGTAATTGAGAACAATATAAAAAAAATGACTTTTTAGACAAGCACTGAAACATGTTTCTGTTTTTTTAAAATTCAGTTGGTCAGTTACCATACTATTGTCAGGATTTTGAATAAATGTCGCCCTCGTATAAACCCAAAAGTACATGTTTTTCTTAAACTATGTAAAAAGTGGCGTAGAAAACGAATTTGAAATTCGTTTTGTCCAATTCGACTTATTTTAGGAGAAAATCGGCATTTCAACTGAAATTCCATTTCCGGTAAAAACAATAGCGAGAAGTCGTGACGTAAGCGGTGGAACTAAAATATTGTGCAACACATATTCCCCAGTAGAACTGGTGTGGGAGTTCGTGTAAGTAGCGTTAGTTTGGAAGATGTTTTTTCAGAAGATAGCGACTCGAATGCCTTAAGCTTAGTACATTACAGCGATGGGGATAATCCAGAATCTTTAAGAGAGTCTGGGCCACGTCCTTAACAATATGAGCCGCGTAGGGTTCACCGAAGCGATCCGCACGCGGACAGTACAGAACGTTTTGACAGCGATGCGACCGTCAAGACAAGACAAGACAAGACAACTTTATTTTACCAGGGTGGCCCAGTCAGCTGCAAGGCTGGTATCCTTAGGGGCCCTGGGTTCAATAAAAATTACATATAAACATTTACAATAAGATTAGAAGGTTAGGTAAAATTTGCTAAAATTTACAAAAAGGGGAGAAAAAAAAAAAAAAAATCAGATAAAATGTCCTTTAAGAAGGCGTTTAAAAATTGTTAGAGAACTTGCCTCTTTGCTTCTGCTTGGCAGTGAGTTAAAAGCTAAACGCCCTGAATTTTTAAAAGTTCGCCCCCCAAGAACAAGATTTGTTTTATTTGGGTGAATATTTCTCCTCTGCCTAGTGTTGTAATTGTGTACATCATTGTTTACCTTAAAATAGTTTTTTAAGTATATAGGAACGAAATTCCGTAAACATTTATATACTAAAATACATTTGTGTATTTTTCGCAGTGTTTCTAAATCTGGCCAATTTACAATATTTCGGGCTGTCCTTGTACTTTTCTGACAGGTGACGATTTTCGCGGCTCGATTTTGTAATCGTTGCAGACTAGTGATGCTGCTCTCGGGTAGTTCACCCCAGGCTGTGTCTGCGTAACTAAAAATTGGTTCAATTATGCATTTGTATACCGCTTGTGCTGCTTGTAAAGTAAGAGTGGAGCGTATTCGTCTGAGGAGACCGAGTCGCTTGGATACTTTCTTGTGAACATCTTCAGCGTGTACTTTCCATTTCAGTTCCTCATCGAGGGTAACGCCCAAGTATGTGAATTTACTGACCATCTCGACATTGGTACCACTTATGGTGATGTAAAGTTTGCGACGGCTTCCAGCCTTTGTCTCGTCCCGAAAAGAATTCCCTTTGTTTTCTCTTTGTTCAGAATCAGACGATTTATATCCATCCAAGTTACAACCCGCTCTAGGTCTTCTTGAAGGGCCTTCTTTATCTCCTTTGGGTTTGCACCCGAGCAATAGATGACTGTATCATCAGCATACATACTGATGTGCGTGTTTTTGAGACAGCTTGGCAGTTACCATCGTGGATAATGTTGCACATAGCAACCATTGCTTCGATCGCAGTTGTAGATTTTGAGTGAACCAGACAAAAGTCCTTTAAATGAACCAGTTCTGATATCAAGACAGCATATCCAACATAAGTTATCTTTATTCACTTTATGTACTACAGTAGTATTAACGTGGAAATTGTGTAATTGAGAACAATATAAAAAAAATGACTTTTTAGACAAGCACTGAAACATGTTTCTGGCAGGTCATTGATGTATATAACGAAAAGTAGTGGTCCCAGCAGGGATCCCTGTGGAACACCATACTCAATGGGGAGGCTTGGTGACAAGTCCTGTCCAAATCGTACTCGTTGTGTACGAGATCCTAGGTAGTTCTGGAACCATGTGAGACTTTTCCCTCTGACACCATAGTGCTCTAACTTCTGTAACAAACAGTTATGGTCAACTAGGTCGAAAGCCTTCTTTAAGTCAATGAAGACGGAGCCAGTCATTTGTTGATTATCCATGTGTTCCAAGATCTGATCAGTGAGATAAGTCACAGCAGTTTCGGTAGAATGTCCTTTTCGGAATCCAGATTGGTACGCTGACAGAACTTCGTTTGCTTCAAGAAATTTCACAAGCTGTACTTGGATTGCACGCTCCATAACCTTGGAGACTAGGGGCAACACGGATATAAGCCTATAGTTACTTTCTTCGGTTCTTTTACCGTTCTTGAATATAGGCGTAACTTTCGCTTCTTTAAGTTCAGGTGGAATTTCGCCAGTTGAAATAGTCAGATTAATAATATAAGTAATGGGTTTGGCTATCACAGAAGCTGCATCCTTTAAAAGTCTTGCAGACATTCCATCTAGACCAGTGGCTTTCTTTGATTTGAGTCTCTTCAGTTCATTACAGACAAACATTTCGTTCACTTCTTCCATAGAAAATTTGTTATTTACTCTTGGTGTTAGTGGCTTTATGTAAGTGCTTAGTTGAAATCGTTCACACAGTTTTTCGGCGATGGAAGTGAAGAAGTGATTGAACATTAATGCAGACAAACTGCCGGTTTTTGGCACACCGGCATTTTTCTTATTTGGCATGATTTCTTTCAGGATTTCCCACATTGTTTTTGGGTCTTGGGTTTCTGTTAAGCGAGAAGAATAATAATCCGATTTTGCTTTCTTCATTTTCTTGCTAACGGTGTTTCGTAAGCGCTTGTATTTGCTCCAGTGCAGTTCTTGATTTGTTTTGATCGCTTTTTTATGATGGTAATCCCTTTCTGTCATTAATTCTTTTATACTTGATGTTAGCCATGGAACTGAAAACCCGCGAACTCTTCGCGTGGCAACAGGCGCATGTTTGTCAGCAACTGTCAAAAAAAGATCTTTGAAAACAATCCAAGCTTCATTTGACGTTGATTCCATTTCGAGAATATCCCATGGGATCTTTTTCAAATCGTCGCTAAAGAATGCAGGATCATAATTTTTATAATTTCTGCTCTGAATAATTTTAGGCGGAGGGCGCTTGATGTTGTGGAGTTTTCTGACTCCGAAAATAGCACAGTGATCAGAGAAGCCGATTGGAATAACACCGCAGGTGTACAGTTCTGGTCTTGATGTTAGAAATAGGTCAATTAAAGTTCTAGTCTCCTCAGTGATTCGAGTGGGCTCGGTGATTGTTTGTTTCAGATGAAAAGATTTTGTTGTTTGCTGAAAATGCTTTGTCGCAGAAGTCGGGTTCAAATAATTCAGGTTGAAGTCTCCAATAAGAACAATTTCACCATCATTTGTCAGAACGTTGTTTAGAATTTCTTCGACCCGGCTAGTAAAAGCCGCTGGGTCAGCATCTGGTGTTTTGTAGATTGCTCCGCATAAAATCTTCTTCGATTTTGGCTGGCATACTTCAAACCAAATTGATTCAAAGTTGTCGTTCTGTGTTTGGATTTCACTTTCGTCAAGCTGACTGTAATTTAGTTGCTCTGCTATGTATACCGCAACGCCACCACCATTTTCGTCTCTGTCTTTTCGCATAACATTGTAGCCAGGAAGAGTTATTTCCACGTCGGTGAACGAGTCATCAAGCCAAGTCTCGTTTATTGTCACGATGTGCGGTTTGTGCTCGTCGCAGAAAAGTCTGAGTTCGTCCATTTTATTGCGTAGGCTGCAAATGTTGAGATGAAATAAGCGAAGACCTTTCATCAAGGATGGCGAGGGCTGTGTTGGTCCAGGATTTAGTGAAACGTCGTTAGACAGGAGAATTAGGTTTGCAGCTAGTGCCATATTCAATAATTTCATCGCATTGATAAGTTTGACACTTCCCGTTGTTTGCGAACGAGCCTTCTTGCTGACTTGCTTATCGCCAAGTGGTTTCACTGCTTTGATGTTTACTGTGTTCACAGTCTTTGCTGCCGTCAGTTTAGATAAACTTTCATCTCTGGATCGTTTCTGTGGACATTCGGCCAGTTTACAGACTATCAAACTAACCAAAAGATACACTACAATGGAGCAAACAGCGGAACGTAAACGTAAACGCAGAGCAGCCGCCATGACCGCCATGACCCCCCAATAAGTGACTGAAATTGACGACTCCACTTTTAGACTACAAACAAATTGTGCAGTTCGCTCAAAACAAACGAAAACTGACACCTGTTTTAAATCAGCACCGACATTCTTATTAAATTCATTCGAATTTTTCGAAAATTTTTTTCGAAATTCATTCGTCTCGGAAACTCAGACTGGTATTTAATTTACTGTGTGATTTATTTGTATTTGATATGAAAATCCAATAAAGCGAGGGTATAATCTAAAAGAATGCAACAGAAATTTTTAAACTTGAGCTTCTGAGGGTGTTTTATGCAAAACTATCAAAGGTGCGAGTGTGGAACTTGTCAACCAATGCCGACAACTCATGAAAGTGTTTGTTGTACGGAAATCGGGCAATTGTGGCAAAAAGTAGAGTAGCAAGGGCCTGAAACCCAGATAAGTTGTATCACTGAGCATCCAGGTTTTCAGTCAATTTGCCTTGATTTCTGGGTGCTGGAAACGGCCAATTACGCGTACAGGCAGCAGCAAGGCCAAGATAATCACACCGGAAACGAGTAAGCTAAGTGTTTTCTGTTTCATCTGTTTTGTTACATTTTGAGATCGATTTGCTTGAGTTGTTTCTGCCATTGATTTAATAATACAGTACTAAAGCCAGTTGTTTTTCGCTTCTTTCCTGGCAGGAAATTTCGCTAAATTGCCTACAGATAGCTTGTTCGTTGGTGTTGGGAATATCTCGGCAAACACTTCAGGGTCGCTGTGCCATCTTCTGTGGTAAATAATATCCGAAAAAGTTTTCCAGCGGATTTTGGATCGCCTTACACTGGATTAAAACTGCTAAACCTTTGAGAGAAACAAAGGTATATGTTAATGCAGATCTTAGTTATTTATGTCTTACAGCACTGGAGGTTGTGCCCGTTCTTTATGAGATATTTATGTAATGCTTTCCTTCATCTCCGAAGCATTTCCATCGATAAACAAGTTTACCATGTACATTTCCTTGTGTGGCCTTCATAATTATCCAACCCTGTTTGGGTTTGCTTCGATTTGAAATACCGAAAAGATAGTTTTGCAAGCTGAAATTAGGATCTTTTAAGTTGTACTCAAAATGATGGATATTGTCCTACTGACCTTTGAATGTATTTTCACTGCTGTGAAAACCGTGACACAAATTCTTCTGCTGTTTCTCTGCAGGGTTTCTCAAAGGAAGCACCAAGTGGGGCTGGCATAGATTCCCCTATAGAACATAAGGGTTGATTATGGGATCCTGTATGGAATTATTTGTATCGAACCAACAAAATTCCAAATCACGTTATTATACACTGACATCAACGAATTCTCTTTCTTTGATACGTGTTTCGAATTCAGGCAAAGGTTCAGACAGGTCAGTGTCTTTTATGGGCTCAGCGCTGGCTCCCGAACAACTGGCTTCCCCATAGTCTTTCATTAGATGAGAAAAAATATGTTTTTGGAGAACCAATAAAGCTATTGTTGTTTAATTAACGAAACGTTTTCATGTAAATCGATTTTGTACTGTCTCTGTTAACCTCTAAATTTTGAAGAGCTCAACTTTTCTCAGTTCGGTCGGCCACTTCTGAATCCTCGTCGTCTACCGACTGTATAGGTCGTTTTTATACTTTCGAATAATTTGCTTCTGGTAGGGCCTGAATCGTCGGTACAGCACCAGGAAGAAAAATGACTGCTACAAATAACAGAATGTTCGAACGGCTCGACGGAATCGACTATTTTCACTTGAGCAAATTTCACAAATTGTCGCCTCAAATTTGCGTCATTTGAAAATATTTGCATTGGATGCTCAGTTTTGTTTAAAATCAGTAAAAAACTGGACGGCACAACGTTTTACCATTATGAAAAAATTTAATATATTAAAGCCAACTGTAAGTAAAAAAATCATGATGAGACCAGCAAACAACGGCTGTGGAAAAGACTCCTTCGTGTCTCACGCGATTATAAAACGAGACTTCAGAGGTTCCACCCGTGACGTTACAGGAAAGATGGCGACATTCAAGATGGCGAATGTTTCGAATTTGAAAGAGCCTTTACAAAGTGAAAATGGACTTTTGAGAAAAAATGAATGGTACCTTTGGTGTACTTGATGTATTTACTAAACATCTATGTGAAAAGAAAATGAACGTTTTTTGGGTTTACATGCCCTTTAACTTTATTCGTAGACAAAGAAATGATACGTGTAGACTAGTATGCCCTCCTTTTCGAGCGAATATCGTCACGCGAGTCAAAAAATTTAGGTGTTCACGTTCGACTCTAAGAATTTCGCGCAGCGCGTTAACACGAATCACTAATTCTTTTCTCTAGCGCGAAGAACCTCGCCGAAAAGCAGGGGCTGCTCGCAGTCTAGCAATAGCTATGATGAATGTTTCTGGCGCCTCAGTCTGCTCTGGTTGTTTTAAAACCGAAATTAATATTTCTGCAGCTCATCAACCGTGACTAGACTCTAAAGTTGACAATACCTCGACAAATATCGCCGCTTTTTGACAGATTTCTGGACGATGGCCCATAAAACTTTCGCGTTGTGTGCTCCAAAGTTAAACTCTCTTTCTCTGCAGTCTATACTTTTCAATATTTTTTCACGGATTGTTCCTAACAAGGACCTACTCGTAACGGGAGCCCTGAACCTCTCAGGAACGCCACTTCCATTTGTCATGAGCTGCTTACATTGTGACAAAAAAGTGGTATGCAAATATCTTTTCTCTGTTTTGATTTCCTATGATTAACTATCCACATGGCAATTCAGTTTAAAACAATTGATGTTCAAATTTGCCCTTTCTGAAAAAGTTCTTCTTGGTTCCTTGGTGGCAACTGCGAAAATCCAACGTTCCTCGCGCTTGATGATTATGAATTTTCGCTTAAGCTCTGAAATCGCTCTGTCACAGAATAACTTGAAGGCTAAATATTCATTTAACCACGACATATGGTGTAACGTCTAACAGAAAAAAACACGTTTGAATCAAACTACGTCAATGGCATGAGTCATCACATCAACTTATATTCACTTCGTGGAGATAACACTCTTCAAGACTAAAAACATCTCTCATTATCATGGGTTATCGAATCTGTTTCTGTTTTATCGTTGCTCTTGTGACTCTTGATTCACTGAAGGGGTCATCAACAAAGAAGAAATGTGGGTTCACACAGGTGGGTTCAGGAAATTTCAATGTTTTGAACCTATGCTTAAAGAGCATACAGCAGACGCTGAAATCTTTGGACCAGCGACTACGTGCCCTGGAGAAACCAAAAGGTACAAATGCATATTTAAAACTATTGGGTGTAGCTAGTTCCTAGAAAATAGAGCCTAAAGAATTTTAATCTAGATCAATTTCAAACTCGGGTTGGAAATTTCGGTCTTCTTGCTCAGAACTGTTTCTTATTCGCATCACGTTAGTAAGAGTATTTTGAAAGAGAGTATTTTTGCTGTGGGTGTCCCCGTTCAGAGCTCAGGGTTAAAAGTTTAGATCCAGTTATAATTAAATTAGATTATCAGCTGGCATAGGAGCTCAGCTGGTAAGTCACACTGAATTTGAAATTACAGATTTGCGGCCTAATGGCACCCGGTTCACCAGAGCTGCTGTAACTTTGAATCAGGGTTATTGCATAGTTTTGGCCAGATTTGGCAAATTATCAGAGTTATAACAGCTCTGTGCTGATCAAACAACCTAAAGTCGTTAAATTGCTAACGTCTCACAAAGTACCGTCTGAACTTCAAACCGCATAATTCATCTGAAAAATTACTCATATTGTCGCGGCTCAAGACACGTCTATATAGCCTCTGAATTGCAAGAGGGAAGATATACGAAGCAGGACTAAACCTTTACCTAATTATTTTAAACGTACAATTGTGTAGAAGGCAGAAAGTAAACTGGAAGATAAATTGACTGAACTTGAAATCTCTTTACTATCGAAGTCAAGGCCTGCAGGTTCGACTTTGAACGCGGAATAGGGGCCTGGGCTAAAACTGGTACAGTGTTCAATAACCAGCCAACCTACGGTGACAACTCTGCAGCTCGGTACCAAACACCTGCCAATCAGCAGGGGGACTGGTGGATTGGGGGATTCGAGAACAGACCCTCTATATCTTCCCCTAGAGGAAAAGTACAGGGAGACAGGCCACAAGGAACTCTTACCTCCCCAACCTTCAAAATAAATGGCAAGTACATCTCATTTTTGATTGGCGGAGGCTGTGATATCAAAGTGATTCGAGCAGAGTTGATCATCGGTTCGAAGATAAGAATGCATGAGATAGTTGGAACACTTTTAACTGGCCACGCTGCCTTAATGCCATTGATAGGTTTTTTTAAAAATTTCTAAGGATAACAACTACAGAGGATTCTAAGATCTTTTGGGGGGAAATTTACGAAGGTAAGGGATTACTAAAATCCTTAAGGATAGGAGAATGAATCTACGAAAAGGAGAGAATGTCAACAAAAAATTGCAATTATCTTTGAATCAATTTTAGGGTAGTTTTCAGTTCTACCCTGCATAGATATCGCTGGCTTGTTCAGGTTGAAACTTGTCTTGAATATACTGGATATAGAGATATTTCACAGTTTTAAGCCTGATAGTTGTCCATTTTGCTCGCGAAATTAATAATCGTAGGTGACGATACTGACTCATTGTAGGAGATTTATCATCCTTTCTCCTTCACCTTAGCTCCACCTATCGTTTTCTAGGTGGTGAAACAAGTCACTGGCAAATGTCATGAGACCATGATTCGAAAGTTCTGGGATGTTGGAGCTTACATTGGCCAAAGTGCGCGCGTCAAACTGGTTGACTTCAGCTCCGGATCATGGGGTCATATTAATTTTGATGATCTCAAGGGCGACATAAGCTGCTAGTAACACTGTTTTCTCGAGCTTAGAGGAGTTCAAATGGAAAAGGGGGAAGTTAAAGGGTAAATTAAGGGTTGTTAAACATCAATGTAGTCCTTTTAAAAATGTGGGAAATAAAGTCATCTAACATGCTAAGTTTTTGTTTGTATTTCATGTTTTTATGATCTTTAAGAAGGAAAAAGCAGCCACAACGCACACGCATTCATTTAAAAATTATTGCAATGACACAGCATGATGTTTGAGGATAGTGTGTGTGTGTGTGTGTGTGTGTGGGGGGGGGGGGGGGGGGGGGGGGGGCAGAGCTCGTGATTCAACTATCAATAGGAATGTGTAAATGGATATAGCAACCATTTGTTCCTGCTCAATTTTCCATAAGAAAACTGATATTCCATCAAAGAAGTGTAGCCTTCTTCCCTTGTCATTTTATGACACGTACATAGGAGCTAAGCTGATCTTTCTTCCCTGTCCTTCCCAGAGCTTTCAAAACTTGTCTAGATAGATGCAATCTGCTGATCCAAATCGAAATCCGAGTGTGAAGGAAAAATTGAAATGAGCTTTAAAATAAAAGAGTTCCACTGATAGCCTCTTCCCTCTTCAGGTATGTTGGCATGCATTAAGTTTTGTCCTCTTCACAGCTTATGTCTCCTCCAAGAATATCAAAGTTGATATGACCCCATCCTTCCGAGCTGTTATCTACCAATCTAACACGGGCTCTTTGACCGATGAAATTCTGAACATCCCAGCTTTTAAGACGCATTGTCTCACTGCAATTTCCGGTCTCATTTCTGACAACCTGCAAAAGAAAAAAGACATTATAGACACTACGTTTACATGTTACTTGTGACTCAGACAATTTCAGATTAGAAGGGAAAGTACATGTATTAAACCACGGGTTGACTACATTTCAAACAAAACAGGTATAAAAATAAACTCAATCACCATCGCGTCACGCATTTTCCAGTATGTTGTTTCACGTATTTTAATTCATTTATTAATATCATTATAATTATTACTATTAATTTCTTTTTTTGTGGGGGCGGGGGGGGGGTGGGGGCTGTAGGGAGGTGGAATGACCTCCGTACCTTAATCGGCCTGTAATTTATGTATTACCAGGATTTAGTGGATATGAGATAAACGAAGTTTATGTTTCCATTCCTTTTAGAAGTATTATAGATATTATGGGGGTTTAGCAACACAAGCCACTACTCCACCTGATCATTAATGACTAATTCTGCTCTTATAAAGTCCATTCTGCAACCCCCACCAATCAGAAAGGTAATGTTGGCGCCAATGATTTTAAAAAACGGAGAAGTAAGGGTGCCACGTGGCCCGTCCCCTTGAATACGCCCAGGGGTTGCAGCTTCAGAAGGTCTGTCCTCGTATCCTCCAATCCACCAATCCCCTTGCTGTTTGGCAGGTTCTCGCTTCCGAGCTGTAGGGTTGTCACCGTAGGTCGGCTGGTTATTGAATGTTGTACCAGTCTTTTCCCAGCCATCTTTTCCATCTTCGAAATCGAACTTACAAGCTTTAAAAAAGAGAGATTGAGAAACGAAAGCAGTTAAAACCGTTTTTTTTTTTTTTTCAAAAAAGAGAAAATGATTGACTGATAAAGCTTAGGTAATGTAAAAATGCTATGACGCAATTCGTTCCGCGCTAATCTTTCGACATGTTTTGAACAAAGGCCATTCCTGAGAGAATAAGATACTGGATATCAATTTAAACCTGATAAAAATTATGCAACAAGACATTTCCTCTATAATTTTCGGCTCGAAATCTTCCGTCTCGCGAGATATAAATGAAGAAATGTAAAATGGTTTCCGTGTTTAAATCAGGCTATGTAAACACGGAAACCATTTTACATTTCTTTTATAAAATAAATAATGAAAGAGGAACGAAAACTGTGTTTACATACGCTCATGTAAAATGGTTTTATGGCCAATCAGAGCGCGCGTACTATTTGAATTATTTTATAATTATACATGTTCCTCGCGAGTTGCTGAAATGTTTTGGTGGAAGCTCATCTTGTGATTTTAATCCCAACGGTAAACGTCCATTACTCCTCGACAAGGTTTCATTGTATAACAGAATGGCAGGGACATGGGAGTTCTCGTTGAAACATTTTTCTGCTGTCGATTATGGTGAATCTGCCAATAACAAATCGTGGTACATCATAATCTGACCATAAGCCTTTACACACCTCATGTTTGTTTCATGGACTTTCCCCTCGTCCACACTTTACGCCACTATTAGAAATGATTTCAAAATGCAGGAAAGCGTGTGATATACAAAGCGTCTGCTTTAACTATAACTAGTCATTACTCTGGAGGTTTTGCAAAGGCATAGCAATAATTCTTCAGACCCTGTTTCTAAAAATAAGATGAAAGGTTTGACCACTAAACTTGAAGGCTTACATCAGAGATGGAGTCACTTGGTAGTGGTTTTTCTCTAAGGAGTGCATATCTAACCATTTAGACTATGAATTAGTATACAGGTGACCTCGGAGTACATGTAGAAGAAGTGTTCGTTGAAAACAATTTTCTTATTTTGTCTAATAAGTCAGCACCTTGGCAGCGTGTTCCAGCAAATCCCGCCTTGCAAACACAATGGAAAGAAAGCCCTGCACCATCTTGAACACAGATCCCATTGTTCAGACATGGCTTGCTATGGCATGGAAACTATAAGTATAAATAACGACAAGGAGAAAGGATTAAAAGGATTACATACACGTGTATTTCTGTAACATAAAAAAGGTTACTATCAGAATTAATTTGGCGAAGTTGCAATTTATAATGAAATAACAAAGACACTGAATAACACCGTCTTTCACTTAAATCAGTTTCAGGCAGTGAACATTTACCATCCTCATTCACATCATCATCGCACAAAAGCATCACACAACGACATTTTTATCTTGGCTGCATGCACGAGGTTTGTCATCATGAATCTAGTTCAACAACTCAGCCTATCACGAATCTCCTACAACTCAGTGGTAGAGGGTTCGAAAACTGTTTGAAAGGTCGTAAGTGCGAGTCCTACAAGAGTTTGTTTCTTTTCCAAGTACGCCTGTGTCATTCACTAAAGAACATCCTATGTTCAATTGATTTCTCTTTTTAAATTTTGTAATCGACTTTAGAGATTTTGGGAGACCATGGTCTCTTCATTTCAAAAGATAGGTCGCTCTGGAAGTTTCACTGAAAAACTGTAAAGAGGTGTCGTTTCCAAAACGACATGATGGTTAGGTGGTGGGTTTACCCAGCAGGGGATTTAGGGTTCTATTGTATGCTCACCTGTCTCAGGGCGAATTTTTTAAATAAAATAAATAAGTAAATAAATAAATTTATCAGGAATATATATCTGTAACTTTATCGATTGATTTAGTTTTATAATATATTATTACTTTACAAGTACTCAATATAAAATCCATGCACTTGTACAAGTCTACGGTTATCAAAATGTCTAAGATTTTTTTTTATCATAACTAAAAAGCTCTTTTAATGCTTTCGCAGTCATGGCAATCAACAACTTTAATAATGCCAAGAGAAATGCAGAACCTACAAGTTGCTTTTTCAAAAAGCGAGATACTTCAACTAAGAAAAAAGCGTATAATGTATCAACACTTGAGAGCAATTTTGAAAGTTCCCTGACACATTGATTAGTTCAGAAATTTAGGCGGAAATCAAACGAATATTTCCTTCAGAACTAATGACAAATTCTTTCGTTTTTCAGCATCAGTTTTCTGTCGAATGTGTTATCCTCTATCCCTAGGATCGATTAAAATTTCAAATCTCCTTAAGGCTCATTATACAGGTCCTATAATATTAGTTCTTGACTCAAACAATATTTCTTAGTTGATGTATGTCTTTATTCTCATTACCCGTTTGCCTGATAGCGTGTTGTTATTGTGATTCGAAATCATATATCGGTTACCCTTAGGAATGGAGCGGACAACTATTCTTTGGGACTCTGAACGCTAAGGCCAGCTGTCAGCCAATAGACTTATAAAAATAGGCTACAAATTAAATTGTTTATCATGCAAATTTCTACTGCTGTCAATATTCCCGCCTTCTTATTGCTAAACACAGGAAATATTATCTTTTAAAGAAAGTAACGTTGGTTATTTTCATCAAAGGAGAAGCCAGAAAAGTAAAAATTTTGCCGAAGATGATTAAAGGGATGATGTGTCTTGCCAATAATTCTATATCTCTATATAATTAACACTTTTGTTGAAACAAGGAATATCAATATTTTATTTCCATGACATATGAATTTTACATAAACCTATGTGGTAAAAAAAATATTTGGTAATGATAGAAGCCAAGGCATATTAATAGAGGGTGGAAGTTTACGGTAATAATTATCAAATCGATTCTGGAAGATGAGGAACAGGAGATAAAGGATTGAATTAGACATTTTTGAATGCAGCAAAGCAGCAAGCCTGGAGCGAAAAGTCAAAAAATAGAAAAAGAAGAAAGTGGTGGCTTGGAATCAAAATAGACGCTTTTCTCCCTTCAATTAAATTCAGTAATTCCCAGAGTGATTTGCACGAGTTAGGTTTGAATGAATTTATCACAATATGCATTTTTTTGGTAAAGAAAGAGCTATTTCCTTAAGCGGACGTTTTGAGCTTCGTTTGAGACGAACCGAAATTAAGCAGTCATGTATAATTAGTTGGCAAAAGCCTACCAGGCCAATTAATAAAAAAAAGTAATTACCCTCTGCGGGTGATTGTCGTTTCTATAGCTCACAGCATCAGCAATTTCAGCTTTGCGTGAACTGCCCTAAATGTTTATGGTTCAGATATAGTTCGCCTTGCCTGTTCTCCCTAAGAATTCTCTTAAAGCAATGAATTAATCATTTTTGCTGCTACATCGTGTCGAACATATCTGTTTTGAAACCCAGCTTGCGAAGTAACTTACTCTTTGCAAAAATCCCTAAACGTTTGTTTGTAATATCTAATTTTTTTCTATCATCGAAAATAGTTTTCTTGAAGACTGTTACCTTTACGAGTAGGGAGAAAGTAACTCCATCCTCTTCGCGTAAACTCGCGCTTTCGAAAACGGAAGAATAACTGTGCTTGTTCAGTCCACAGGTTCCGGTTTTTCCACTTTGTTCAGGCGCTTTGAAATTCGTAGAAGTACACCATTCTCTCCTTAAGCACTTTTGGTTGCATAATAACAAGCTAGCGGACTGAAAACGTTCAACAACGTAGCCATGAAGTCGGTTATTATTCATTGTCATGAAGTAGACTGAACGAGAGAATACGGAAGATTTTTGGTTTGGAGATACTTCGCCACTTGTCTCTCTTTGAAAGGCTATGAGAATTATTGCGTGTAGAGCCTTCCTCAGCATGGTCAATAGTCACCCCAGTTTGAATATGCCTTTAAGAAACCTGTTACACCTTGAGATGGTTTTGTTTTCACTTTCTATTTGCGGAAATAGAAAAAAAATTGCATGGTCTTTGCAAATGCTAAATTGAAATCGAGAGGCACTCGGCTGAATAACGCTCCTACACTTCCCCGCCGTCAAACTCAACAACTACGCATGTCTAGTTTGGTTATATTCGATTTTTTTACTTGCGAGACAAAAGCTAATTGACGAAAAAAAAATTATAGTATCAATAGGACAGAATGGCTGATTATCCCTCAGGCTTGCTGAGAAATCGCAATCGGCCATGGTTCCCGCGTGAGTCAGCCAAGGACACCACCTGCCAACCCGTTTGAGTTGTGATTTTCATTAGCAAGCCCTATCTGAATTTTGATTTTAACAAGCAATTCAGCAATGGAGATCATCTCAAGACTTGGCTGAACTCGCCTAATTGCGGACTAAAGCTTAATATCAAGTGCATCCTACGCGAAACCAAATTCAAGAGGCATTCTAAGGAATGAACAAAATGTTAACTACAGCCGAGCCAAATGGATCAGAGGGCGCCGGAGCTTATATGCCAAGAGGCAGTGTGAAAATAAAGTGACTTGTAAAAGATACCCGGCCATTGCTCGTACCGGGACCTCTGAATCCGAAGTCCAGCGCATCAACTGGACGTCTATCGTTTTTGGGGGGAGGGGAGGTGAGATAAATTTTTTTTCTCGTAAATTATCAGCATTTATTAAGTCCTAATTAGTTGATTAAACATTATCATTGGATGCTATTTTTTGGGCAGCTGTTACCGTCAAAAATACATTCATTGTAAATGGTTTAGAATAAACAGAATTGGTGTCATCATCATTTGTAGAACGAAATATACAATATGAAAAGGTGTAGTTAAAACACAAATGGACAACTCCTCTGAAATCGAATGAAATATTGAAAAAAAAACCTAATAGTTGAGTCAGTTCAGAAACTGGTACACTTTCCTTGGTCGAACTGGTTTGATAAAATCACGAATAGTCAAACAACAAAAACAACAACAGACAAACAAACAAACAAAACAGAAACAAACAAACAAACAAACAAAAGAAAACCAGCTGCGTGTTTGATCTTATTTACCAAAGCAGCTGAATTATGTTCTTTCAGTTTGCTTATTTTTCTGTTGTTTTGTTTGTGTTTGTTTGTTTGTTTGTTTTTTTTATTTTTTGAAGGTAAGCGAATGTTTCTACGAAACTAATTATAGAGAAATTATGATGAACAAAAACCAAAAGACCTATCGGCCGCTGAGAATTCATCGATCGCTCCCATATTTTTTGTTTCAATACACCAAAACGTTTGCAAATCTCCACAACACCTCTAGATGTGCTTAAAATCTAAAAATTGCATGAAATATCTGCTTCACTAATTGCAAACCTTTGATTTGACACGTCTCTACCCATATTAATGCCAAGTAAGGCTAATTTAATCGATTACATGAACAAAATCAGACATAAAATCAGAAAAAAAAATGCCTGTAACAGCTACGGTTGTACGTATATTGGAAGGCATGATTGAGGTTATCCGATAGCGGAAAACTACTCTTAACTTGCATCAAAACTGAAATGAAAACAGAGCTAAAAAAATCGAACAAACCTAAAACCGCACTACTGAAACCGAAAGACCGACAATTTTGAGTGCTACAACCAGAAAACCGAAAAGCACAATGTTCCAATCGTATGAGCTAGGGGGAACGAAAAGGTTACTCTTAAATCCATTTTGTAGATGAAATTTGAAATAAGGATTAGTCTTTCTTCACAGCCTTTATGTATAGTCCGTACCTCTTCAGAGTTCCTCTCTAATCATCATCACGTTTGGCGTCGATCCAACCGTCCAACAACATATTTGGTGTCGTGACATCTATGAAACTGAGGGAGAGGGAATGCATTTCAACTGCAGTGATATTCGACAGCATAGCGCCGGTTTTTGACAAAACGCCATATTAAATGGCAAAGTTCAAATTTGCTATTTGGCATTTAATTACATACCTGTTTTGCTACAACGCATTATTTATCACTTCAACCATTTTCGCTCGCTATGCACCCTAATTTCATCTCATTTACGTTGCGCAAATTACTGTCTGGGTACCCCGGTAGGGAGAGTGATGTAATTTTATTGGTCACGACATGTGCAGATAAAAACAAAGTGGGTCCCTCTAGTTTATCGAGGAGGCACTATTGTTTATCTCGCCTTCCATCAGACGTGTAACATCATCACAAGATGAGGTCTCATATTACTTGCACGCCAACATAACCTAGGGGCATTAAATTTATATTATACCGATAATGGCTGGGCTTTCGGTTTCCACTGCCAAACGAAGCGGTAAAGATTTTCCTGATCAAGTTCTCAGCTCGGACGATTTGGAAGAAATCCGTCGAAATTGGGACGAGGAAGAGAGCGAGGTGGAAGAATTTGTAAACGATTCCAAAGGTCGTCGTCAAAATCTCTCCTCGTTGATTTCGGGAAACGCGAGTGCTTCCTCAAGCCATGGAGTGCCAACGTACTCTTTGCACTCAGTGCAAGTGGCAAAGAGTCTCTGTCTGTTTGTTTGCTTTTTCGGATTGGTGAGCTTGTAGTTATGAATATAGTTAGTGATACTGTATAAAATAGTTTAACCGAAGACTGCTGACGTGTGATCCCTTTCGAGTCCACAGAATTTACTCGTAGGAGAGCGCTTTGTGCACAGGCAACCTAATTGACATTAGCTACTGATCTAGACAAACAGATCCTTGGGCTTATCTGATTCCTCCCAAAGAAATTTTGTCTACTCAGCAAAGTTGATTATAAAAGATTGAAACAAAAAGCAAAAAGATTAAATATACAGATAAATCAATGAATGAATTTTACCATGGTTTGGTACATGCAAATGCTGCACTCTCTATTCTAGTCATGGTAGTTTGCCTCAGTAAGAGATACTGTGATCCACAAGTTAGATGGCTGGACTGCTACTGATTTGCTTGAATTTGAGGTCCAGACTGGGTCAATTGAGACATGCATTCTACTGTCACTATGCCTGTCTGTACCCCAAGGGAGGAAAAAGGGCTAATGCTTCTCTTCACACAGTGGGAGAAGTAACTGGATGAGCATAACAGTTCTGTTTTTTTCTCAACAGGGAATATCTGTGGCCATTTTGGGACCCACTTTGATAGAACTAGCATGTCAAGCTCAAACAGAGTTGGAAAAAATGTCATTTGTGTTCACTGCTCGGGCCATTGGCTATCTGATAGGAAGCATTGTGGGTGGTTGGTTATTTGACAGGTATAATGGGCATTTGGTTTTGTCCTTATCATGTGTTTGGGCAGCAGTGATGATGTGGGCTCTGCCTTACGTTACCAGCCTTACTGGTCTTCTTCTTGTCGTGGTACTTATGGGCTTAGCCCTTGGATCAGTGGACACTGGTATGTAAACATTTTTATGATTCATAATACTGTAATGATTTGATGTAGTGCCTTAGTTCCAATGAGTGTCCCCTCCCTAATAAGGGCGCCTATTTTAATAAGTACCCCTACTGAGTATTAAGTACCCTCATTCCATTAAATGCCTCCAATCTGTTTCAGTGATAGCACCACTAGAAACCTGCACATTTTGAGTTCAAACATGGTTTATCTTCCTTTAATTGCTTACAAAAGCCACTGACCATAAATATTGAGAATCTGCCCTTAGTTGCATGAACCTTTTTCAAAAAGTATTCCAAAAAGTCCTAATTTGCTTTGCTTACTGCAAAAAATTGAGGAGTTCAAAATATGCCAATTGACGGCCATTGTCCCCTCTGTAAAACAGAGAAAAATCATGCAACTTTGGTAACTTTGTATGACACAATGCAAGGCATTGCTGCTTTCAAATGGTTATTATTTTCTTTGTAAAAATATAAATCTATTGTCATGTTCTTACCTTTTAAGTCTTCATATTGACCTCTTGAAATAATGGACTTGGTTTCATTTTTGTAAAGGTAAAATGAAGGTCAAGTTTGTAGGCCTATGGTAAGGTCTGCCATATGTATTTACAAATCATAATATATATTATCCTAAAGCTTTATCCTTGTGGTTTAATTCCTCAAATTCCCTTTCTTGACCTGCCATAAACAACATGTTCACTGGTTGAAAAGAGTTTGGGCTATAATAACAAAAATGCAATGCGAAAGGCACTGAACAGCTGTCACAGCCTATTTAAAGGCCATTCCTAAAACCTTATTACCAAAACAGTGGCCTTTATCTCAGTCTTAACTATTATGTCTGTGTGAGTGCACAGTTTCTTCATTGGAATGATCTAATCTTAATATCTTGCAACAATTGCATGGCTGGTTGTTATTAAGCAAGGAAGGATCCAGGGACAAAAGATCCTTTTGAAACAAACATAAACTAGCTTTGTTGTACACATTGTGTCATTTCTCAAAAAAGAAATTGGTGCCCTGTCCATAATGAGCACTGTGTTGCAAACAAGCACCCAACCCTTTAGGTACCAAAAACAAATAAGTGCTCTGGGTGCTAAATCAAATCATTATGGTATTCATTTATTTTTAAACTATTTTTGAATGGTGCGCAAGTCATTGAGACCAGCATGCATGAGGGAGAAGTGAGTTTTTTTTAACTCATGCTATTTTGTGCTCCAATGGAGTCCTGAAACTCTCAAATTGAGTAGAAATAATGCATTTTTTGCCCTTTTTGGGCCAAATGGGAATAAAATGTATCCTGCTCTTACTCTTGTTACCCTTGAAAATTCTGTTTAATCCAGCCATCATGAGTTATTTATTCTTGACTTAACACTTTGAGCCCTAAGGGTGACTAGCATCTAATTTGTCCTTATAATATCACCATTAATTCATACATTAAGGTCATGATAAGAAAGGAAATAATCACCAAATAACAAAACTCTTGATTGGTACACAAATTCTCCTTATCAGCTCCTTAGGAAATGTATAGAAAACAGTTTGGAGAATATGCATACTGATGTTAGGGTGTAAAGGGTTAACTATTTGAATTTTACTGTGTCCCACAGTGGCCCTACCTTTTTAAGTTTCAGATTTTAATATAAAGGTCTTGTTGAAAATATTCAAGGAAATGAAATAATTTTTGGTTACATTGTATTTTTTAAGCATTTTGTTTTCTATTCTGCTTGTTACCTGATGGTGAAGAAGAAATTGAAATGACTTAATTTGACCTAAAATTTACTAGTGGTAAATATGCTACAGACTATATGAGTGAACATTCAACAATTATTCCACAAGTTTGCATTGGATATGAGATGATTAACAACCAAGGAGGCTCATAGGGCCAAGTTGGTGGTAATCATCTTATATCCAACAATTTTGAGTGGAATAATTGTTTTATTAAAAACACCCCAAAATAGAATTAAATCTTCCTAATTTAATTTAATGGAATGTTAACAATATACAAACACACTTTTGGCTTAGCTTGTCTCCATGCACAAAAATTGTCTAATGGCTCATAATCCATGATGGCTAGGCCAATCAAAACTCTTGAATTACATTATCTAATGATCCAGTATTTGATAAAGAGTGATAGACCATCAGCTCAGAGCTAACATTGCCTTGGCTTAATTTAGCCCTTTTGTGATAAGTGAACCACACTTTATGCATTTCCTTTTACAAGGAAATTTGAAAGAGTTGTGGGTAGCTATTGTACTAGTACAAAGAAAAACACACCAAAAATAAATAAATAGATAAATAAATAAACAATAAGCAAAAATAAACTAACAAAGAGACAGACAAATCTGTCAGTGATCTTCCATACACAGGCTTTTATGATGTAAAAACATCCATAAATTATCTCAACTTTTACCCCCCTGAGAGTGACTAGCATCTAATTTCATCTTACAATATCACTGGTGAATCAAACATAAAGGTTATGGGAATAAAGGAAATGATCAATGTGTGAAGGAGCTTTTGACTGATTAATAAATTCCTCTCGACAATACAATAGGATATGTACAGAGAGGATATATACAGAGACCAGTGACTTACATCTAATTTCATCTTACAATATCACTGGTGAATCAAACATAAAGGTTATGAGAATAAAGAAAATGATCAATACGTGAAGGAGCCCTTGATTGATAAATCAATTCCTCTTGACAATACAATAGGATATGTACATAGAACGGTGAGGAGAATCTGCATGCTGATATTAGGGTGTAGAGGGTTAATCAAAAGGGCTCTTCTCCAACCGCTTAAAATAACTCTTTTTTATTATATCACTGACAGTACCCTTTGTCAATATGAAGCGAATCCAATGTTCTGATTGGCTAACCGAGCGAGCAAGATGAGCCCATCGTGCCCACTCGAGATATACCGCTGAGATCCCATGCGCGACAGAAAATTCCTTGGAGCGAACTTAAAAAAAAGTTCGTAGTTTTTGGACAGTATCGGTGGTAGAGTAAAGCGGTAGAAGACAATCAAAGTAGAGAAACATGCGAGACTCTCCAGATGGCTTTCTTTTCCGTCTCTCGAAATAAACATGTCACTCTTTATTCTTAATGAATCGAAGCTTTTTTCTAAATGATAAATCCTTTGTTCTGTCAAGATAGCTGGATAATAGCCTCTTTTTTGGAGGGCGTTTTATGGACCTCGACTTCGTGTCGGTCCGTAAAAACGCGAAAAACGCTCTCGGTCAGTATCCAGCCATATTGACCTCACACTTGGTCAATAACGTTTATAACTAATGGTACCTCCCTCTAGGACATCATGTGAGTCCAAGTGCCAATGCAATGCTCTCTTGGTTATGTTTTAATGTTTTTCCATTGCATTTCAGGTGGCAATGTTCTCTTACTGAACACGTGGGGTAAAAAATCAAGGCCTTACATGCAAGCTTTACATTTTGTATTTGCGTTCGGGGCATTTGTAGCCCCTCTTATAGTGCAGCCCTTTCTTGAAGATAGAACAACGAGCTTAAACAATACCGCTAGCAGCACTAATGGCACAAACAGCACAAACAGCACCAAAACTGACAACCTGGTCTGCAGCAATCAAACTGGCGAAAGCACAATGCCTGTCACGTGGGCCTTTTGGCTCGGATCTATTCCACTCGCTGCAACTAGTGTTGGATTCATGGCTTTTGTTGTGGTTAAAGCCTGTCATGTACAAAATATACAGACTCAGAATGAAGATACTTCTAAAACCAACCAGGGCAGTGTGATGTACAAAGTGGTAATTCTGTCCCTATTTTCAGCTTTCCTCTTGCTCTACGTGGGCATGGAAGACGCCTACGGAGGCTACATTTTTACGTTTGGCGTCACAAGCGAGCCGAGATTGTCCGACGACAAAGCCGCGTTCCTTACGTCCGCGTTCTGGGGAAGCTTTGCCCTGGCCCGGCTGGCATCTGTACCCTTGGCAAGATACTTGAGACCCTCGAAGATGATATGTGTTGACATGATTGGCTGCTTCATTGGATCAGCAGTGCTGGTCTCGCAGTTCACCCATGGCCAGTGTGATAGATCCCAATCCACAAAGCTATGGACAGGAACAATTATTTTAGGCGTTTCTATGGCGTCGATTTTCCCTTCGGCTATAAACTTTGTAGAGTATTTTGTAACAGTTTCGGGTAAAACGGCTTCTGTTCTTTTAGTTGCGTCAAGTTTTGGAGGTATGCTCGTTCCTTTAGCAGTAGGGCACACAATTGTTGAATCGTCTGTAGGACCGTGTTCTCTGATGGCCTGCTCTCTCGTAATCAGCGTGTTGTCATTTGTAATATTTTGGTTGATTAAGGGGGCCGGTCGTTATTTTAAGCGTCATGGGGACGGATTTGTGGGGATGCGTTTTCAAGCAAAGCAGAAAAATGATGAGGAGGTAAGAAAACGCCAACCCGACGAAGTTTTGCAACTTCTGGAAGAGAACAATGAGAGATTCAATGGCAGTCAGGATAGAGAAACTTGAGGCTTCTTCTTTACAATGTGTAGTTTTTTTTTAAAGTAATATTTTAAACCACCTTTAGATTGTGTCAAAAAAAGCGACGAAACCAAAGGAATCAGAAATAAATGACAAACAACATTAACATCGCCATAGGCCGACGAGAACTCATAATAGCTCTATGTGAATCGCCTCAACAGGGAGAAATTGTTCTTCGCAGTTGTTTCAGTATTGTCTCCGATTGGTTAAGATGGTTTTAGTGAGTATCCTAGATGAATCAGAGCGCGCAGCGGAGGAAATGCAGTGCAATCTGGAAAAAATTGTCATTAGGTATACGAGACATTGTGCGATAAAAATTTGTCACGAGTTTAAAATAAGTTGTTTCAAGTTTCTAGGTTTTTGGACATGCGATTTAACAGAATACACTATAAAGCGTGTAATAGACTGGTAAATCCATCCAAATTGACTTAAATGAGTAACACCAAAATACATGTACCTAAGTCACCTTTTTGACGTTCTTTGTTGTAACTCAGCGTATTCTAACAAGAAGACAACGAAATTACAACTCCGTCATTCCCGAATCGGAAGAGAATATTGGTTTATTAGGCACTAAGTCTTGCGAAATAAATAATTCAAAACGTAAACTACTGATATCTCGTCTAAGTTATTTACAATAATATCGCAGATGAAACAGCTTCAAAACGATCCAATTACCCTCACCAGCCCGTGTTAAGGACTGGATTCTATTTAAAAAGAATACCAGGGATGATTTAACACTTTCAGCGACCTGAAGATCGCTGATAATAAGCACTCTGAGACAAAATTTCATGTCATTAAAAGAAGGCAGTCATTTTCTTTCAAAGAATTGAAATGATCCTAATCTAAAGTGGTGTTTACGCGTTTGCGAAAAAATACTGGGGTTGCGAACAAACTAACAGCAAGGTTTACAGTAGCGTGCAACCAGGCCCTTGTTGTCAGTGCTTAGGCACGAGCGTTTCTCTGCCCGCGGGAAAGTATGATGCTCATATGTTACTTTGAGCAACCGGAGTCGGTGACTGGTTTAGAAGGGGTCTAGCACTAAAATTAGTGTCAGACTCCCCACAAACCTCTCCCTGACTCGTTTCGTATCTTCCCGAGGTGAAGGAACGCGCGTCTTACAACACTTATGATAAAGGCCTACTCGAGAGCTGGGTTCGCAGATAATTTTAAACCATTGGTACAGACATCGTTTGAGATATAGCCTGAAGAAATTTAGAACTAGTCTGAACAGCTAGATCAGTGACAGAGATGGGGAAGGGATCTCCTACAGAAGAAGGGTGGGCACCCCTCGGATACCCGCATCAGATGCCCGCCGTCGTCAGATAACTCGTCGAGGACAAAAACAACAGCGCTAGAAAAATATGGCATAAATTCCTTGAAACTTAATTCCATTTAGAAATAAAAACAGTGGGAAATGAGTTGATGATAAAGATATGATTGATAAGGTTGGGCCACCACGACAACAATTTTTAATATCCACTCCTGTTATTGTGGTAACACTCTCTTCTGTTGAGTTACCAAGCCTCTAGCAGTTGGGTATTCCGCAGAGTCCGATGAACCCAGCTGCTGACTGGTAGATGGCGGGCCTCTACTTTTACGCCTGAGAGAAATGAAAAGGAGATCATTTACGACACATTTTTGAAGGGGAGAGGGCAAGATACTGTCGAGGATTAGAGAAGGAAAGGGGAACTGTGAGTGCAACATGCCGTACAGTCTGCATCGGGTAGTTTTACAAACAATGTCATATATTCCACTGAAAAGAAAAGAATGATTGGAAAAACGAGTATTTGACAAAAAATGTTTAAAATAACGCTCTCTAAGTTAGTGGTACTCTCGAAACCCACTGCTGGAATTAAATTAGGGCATCTTACCCAGTTTTAGGTCGCTCGCTATGATCGGGTTTGTCTCTTCTCTTTGACTTCACCTTAGTTTTACTGAGAAGAACACTAGAATAAGAATGAATGAACATGGAAATTAACGGCGTGTATCTCTGGAAAAGTTCAGGCTATCACAAAGATAACCTTCTAAGCTTTATTGTCAGTAGTAGGTTTTGTGTTTTCGTACAACAACATGGCCATCAGTTTCATTTCGGTACACCAGTGTACAGTTGTAAGTCTCCTGACAACTCAGTGGTTCTTTGATATGTTACGCAACGCTCACCGTAAGGACTCTCTAGGGTGGTTGCTGTGTTGCAACCCAAAAAACAGTTGCGAAGAAAACTACCAATATGGCCGCTATTTCACTACTTTGGAGCTTCAACATGGCCACCGTCTCACTGTTATGGTATATCATCAGGACCGCCATTATAATTGTTTTAGTAAATGAACAAGACCGCTGTGAGGTCATGTGAAAGAGCTCTCTGCTTTTCTCTAGCAGCGCGCGAACACCGATTTAACTTTAGGATTTATCGACAGGATTTAACTACAGTGCAAGGTGTTGCAGCTTACTCAGCATCGAGTGTGAGATCTTCCTCATCCTGTAGAGCCGCATCCAGAGCAGCTTGAACCTTAGGTGCCACAGCAGGCCCCTCATAATCCCTGGTTGTCCTGTTGGGCATGTCCAGCTCGATCATGATAATGTTCTCGGCCTTGAAAGAGAGAGACAGAAGATGAATGTAATCTCAAGAATTACCACAAGATGACAATAGCAGTCATCAGTTAACATTACTTCAGTCAATACATTGAGCTGACATTTACCTGTCGCCTTTTATTCATACGTTATTTGGATTTTCCAATATTTGTGAAAATTTGATTTTCCCGTTTAGTTGCGTCACGGATTCAAGGATAATTTTCAAAGGGGAAACAATCAGGATAGCAAAGAAATATACCAGTTGTGGATCCAGCTCTAAAGGCTAGTTGGGAACTAAAACATTGAGGGGGGGGGGGAAGAGGTTGAGGAAGCGGCCCTAACCCCCCTGATCACCATCATGAAGTTGTACCTTGTATCGCATGTGACCACCCATGGCCGCCGCCATTTTGGCATATTCAGTAATAGGTCGTCTGTTGCCCACGGCTGAAACCGGTCGTTTAGCCATGGCTTGCTGGCTGCAAAGTGGAAAATAAAAGCAACTATAAAAAAAAAGAACATGAGCTTGGAGAAGCCATCCTCCAGACATGCGCCATTATGCGAGGTCATACACCACGAAGATTTTGAAGACGACACCTCATCGATCTTTCTTAATTTATTTTGGGAGTATGGGTATGACAGAGTTCGATATGAGCCGCGAAAGATAAATGAATAAATAATAGTAAGTAAATAAATAAATAAATAAATAAATAAAATGATATACGCTTATGCAAACGTCACGACGCCAACAAGATGGAATTTGTTTCCTCGTCAAGCTGGAGGAATACGTTAACCAACTGAGATATGGAGCCACTGACAGTTTGGAGCAGGTCAGTTGAGACAGGGACAAATGGATTTGGGACAACTGAGCCGGAAACATGAGCCTTTATACAGCTCCGATTTCTTCGCTCAAGAATCGAACCCAAAAGCGGGAGTCAATTTTTCGTACGTGACTTAATCAAATTACTTCTGAAAACTATCTCTGGCGGCACCTAGAGTTTCAACGAAAGTTTCGTTGATAAAGAACATTGTGCAATAATCACCCAAAAGTTATTCACCTGCCGTTCTGAGAAGAAGGTTTCAACGTCCACTCCTCCTTTTCATCGTCATAAACCGCTCTATTAGTAAGTTTGACTCGCTCGTCAGGGGGAATGAAGTTCTCTATTATCAAGGACCTTTAGAGAAGGAAGGCCAACAATTAGAGAATGGTTCAAACATCTACCAAATATGATTCAATTTCCCAATTATTGGTGCTGATGAAAAGTGCCTACAAATCTTTTTGTCCTCCACAAGGACTGTGCATTAAGTTTCCCTTTATCCAGAAAAACTCGTTCTCTGAATGCATCCGCAAATATTACCTGCGTCTCATTTTCATTTGGACCCTCTTTCCGTGACAAGCGTCCTCACAAATATCTTCACAAGAAACTGTCGAATCATCCAATATTTCTTCAATCTTTTCCCTACTCGAAAAACTTCGCAATGCTTTCTTCTAGATGTCACGCAATGCAAATCACGCGTGACATTTCAAATAAAGGTTTCGTAGGGGAGCTATAGGATAGGATGCTTTTCCATAAAAAAAATATAATAAATTGTTGTGAAAAACTCGCTGCTGTGTAAATGTTGCTTACATTGAAATTGCCCCCGAAACGATGATTTGTGTCTAGATTCTGGTACATTTGCTGTTTCACATGAGACAATCACAGCAAAAAGGGGATTTCATGGTCCAGCTTGAAAATAGTCTTCGAAAACTAGCACTTTAGTTGTGGTGTATGTACACACAGAGTAACTCACTTCAGCTTCAGTTCCCTAGTAAGATCCTCCTGAGCCTGCTCCAGTTCCTGTCGTTCCCGAATATGCGCTTCTTGCTGGTCAGCGATTTCAGAGCGGATGGTCTGTAACTTGCCAAACAGCTATCGGAAAGATTTTCAACATTCAAATAGGAAATTAAGATAAGAGCTAAATTCATCCTCTTCAGTGTTTTTAATCCATTTATTTAACAACAATGGTTTATTTCGTTTTCAATTTCCCTCCAGACTCTCCGTTAAACGTCTGTGACCCTCATTTTCAGAGTGACTTTATTAACACTATTGCGCTGGTTGGGATACAAAACTGATGAATGCACTATGCAGTCGAAACGACGCCAGAATAGCGCATTTATTATCATTACTTTTCTCCTCCTCTAAGTTCATTCTTTAATCTTAATGTACTCAGTAAAAATTCCTCTCTAAAGAAAGAATCCTATAGAAAAACTGAGGCGCCGTAATCTTCTGTTTTACGAGTACTTTTATAATCAGCACTCAGAAAAAGCCAAATGAATAAAGGGGGTAACTGTGATGCTGTGTCGAGGGGTGTTACAATATACTTTGCTTTTATTAGCTGAGTTGATAATGTAAATTAGCCACCGTAAAGAGTTCCTGACATTTCGAGGGTTACCCTTTCCTTTGGGTCAATGACGAAGGGCGAACGCTCGAAACTTCAGCTTTAGAAACTCTTTGCAATGGCCAATTTACTTCATCAACCGCTCAGTTCATAAAACCAAATTATCATTTCAAATCAGACCTGTCTGACCAGATTCTGTTGTGAAAACTGGTGCGTGACTTTAATACCTACCCCTGTTTGTGTTATTAAAACAGATTTACCTTTTTCAGTTTCTTTGTTTTGCTGTCCACTTCCTGTTGAAGAGATGTGTAATTTCCCTTTATTTCTACTGCATTTTCTTCCTTTTCATCTAGCTTTTGCTGTATTTCTCTTTCGCGGCGCTGAAAATAGACACGCCAGAAAGCAAATGTCAGAAAAAGAAGAAAAACAGAACACCTCGGAAAGTCTTGAACTAAAAACAATAATATGCGAAATTGGGTTTGACTGAGAAAATTGTCTACCCTAATCATTATTAGCGCTTCAACACGATTGTTTCCTTGCCCGCCGGATAAAAACGCAAACCGGCGAGAGGTCATTAGTGCCAGATCCCCGTCAAATTTTTACTGGAAAGGAAGGGAATTATGACATAATTACAAACGCTCTTAGTACCATTTTTCTCTGGACACTCCATTCGTTTTCCTGCTGAATATAAAACCTACCTGTTGTTCAGCGATCTGTATCCTTTGTTCCTCCAGAGCTCGCTCTTGTTCCGTGGTTTTATCGACAATGCTCTTACCCCCGACCAGTAATTTACTCTCCATCATCTACGGAGAGAGGGGGTCATCAGTAAGATGTTCTTAATGCAACATTACCATAATCTTAGCTGAGCGATATTAAACAGGTTGTTTACTGGGCCTCCTATTCTCTGAGCAACTTTAACTCACTTTTAGCCTAATGACATTTAACAGTCGGCTTACCTTTATTTTTGATTTCAGACCTGCTTGGGCCTCCTGTTGTTTTTTTAACTGCTGTGCTTTCTTCTGGATTTCACCCATAAGCTTCTCCTTTTCCTACAGGAAAGCGAGCGTTGTTTCGTCATATTATTTAACTTATCTGTTTTTAATGTATCATTGAGGCATCACAGTCTTTCTAGTGTATCAAATATGTGGGAGAGAGGTAGACAAGATGGATCAATATCAGTATCTGGGCTACTGCCCACCCACCCCTCCCCTAACTCAACAACAGTCAATTGACAACAACTTAAGGTTAATGTTGGGTTGGGGGAGGGGTGGGTGGGCAGTTGCCCAGATACTGATATTGATCCGACAAGACAATAAAAACAAACCCACACGACTCACTAAAAAGACTCGTAGAAGCACATACCTCTGCCATCATGCTGTGATTTTCTTGGAGAGCTTTCTTATCCTCTTCAAGCCTAGCCTGCTCCAACTTGATTTTATCTTCCGCACTCTGCTCGCTTCCTTCCTCGCCTTCTTCCTCTATTTCTTCAGTTTCACCATTTTCTTTTTGTCTCCTTCTCTTGACTTTCTTAGATCCCGCTCCACTGCCACCTCGTTTTTCCAGTTCCCTCTTTAATCTACAAACAAACCAGACAACTTGAATTGAACAGTGCTATCTGCAGAAAGAGACCGCGTGAATTTTTATATCATTACAAATGCGCTATTGACCATGCGCGAGGTTGAAGTGACTGGATATATATGTATGAATTCATTGGCCGAGCGCAAAATAAACGAGGCTAACATTCTCCTATCTTGACCAAACAAGCTTGGCTAATAAATGATTTATAATATTGCAAAAAATACTTTGTTTTAATAAGAATCAAGAATAACTTTATTATTTTCGAGCGCTAGGAGAGATAGCTAACTGTGATGGCGCGTGCTCAATTTTAGTCGTTTTTCTTTGTTTAGACTGTTTTCTGCCGCTTTTTGCGACTCCATTGCCCAAACTATCCAAAAATGACGAACTTTTTTTGTTTGTTTGTTGATTTGTAGATGTTTTAGCGAGCTGGCAAGATAGCCTCATCTTCCGTCCTCGGATAGCCAATCAGGATACAGGGTTCGCCTCATCATGCCCGCGGGCGCTCTCAGCTATATAAGACATTGAGATGATGTGCCAAACTGCGCTCAATAATTTTACATGGTTTGTATTATATCACCTTCCGATCTCCTCTTGAAATTCTCTCAACAGAGCATCCTTGGGATCTTCATTAATCTTCGGTTTGTTTTTAATGTTCTTGGCCCTGTTTGCATATCTGTGACCAATAAAAAAGTCATCAATATTTTCAAAAAATGAAAATGAATTGAAACGGCCAAGCGATTCTTGAATTCACAGAGTTAAAAAATAGTTGTTCTTTCAAACAAACGAGACTCTGTTAAAAAGACCGAGAAAAGACATCATTTTTATCATTACTATTAAAACAACATACCTAAGTGTTGTGATCGTTTCCTCAAAATTATAACTTGCTGGACCCTAAATGACGTAACAAAATTATCCGGTGACCGCTGAGAATGGTTACTCTAAATTAGTGAACTTAGAGAGCAAGATTACTCTGCGCAAATAGACACGGCACATTTTCGCATGCGCCGTTCGAAAGTATGAAAACACATCCAGCTTTCTCGGTTTAGTTCTGAAAAAAATGCAACTTAATATGCAGTTACCATTCAAAAAGTAACCTAAAACAAAAAAAAAAAAAAAAAAAAACAAAAAAACTTACAATGTTGGCAACCATTACCGTACGTGCGTTTCCTCCAAGCGAATCTGTTCGCATCAGAGAAATAAGAGGAATTTAGTGACTGAGAAAAAAGCTTTGACCAACGAGGAATCTTTCGCAACTTAGTAACTCTTTGTACATATATTTACCTTGCAGCAATCTTGTTAACTTGGAATCTCTGTAAGGCACATGAGTACTTTTTCCATCCACCTACAAAAAAAGTCGTTAATCTGCTAAATGTTCCGGCATGTCATTTTGCTGCACTATTCCCTTCAGCGTGCACAATAAAATACTGTAAACAACCGAACAAGGCAAACTTCTTCATTTTTAATCTCTTTCTACCAAAAAGCAAAATATTAAACAGATGTTTACTTACTAATGCAGATATCACATTGCCAAGAGCCGAGAGAGACAGGTTGATTTTAGTAGCTTCTTTGAGTCTTTCACCCTACAAACACAAAAAAAACCACAACAAAACAAAACAAAAATAAATAAAACTACATTTCGCTCCCGACGTGCAAAACCTTCTCAGGATTCAAGAGCTTCAGAATGCGCCATACATTCACAAGCTCAACACACTCTATTAAGAAAAGCAGGTTAGGAAAGAAAAACCACATTTCGCTCACGACGTGCAAAACTTTCTCAGGATTCAAGAGCTTCAGAACAAGGCATACATTCACAAACTTCACATACCTTATTTAGAAAAGCACATTAGGAAAGAAAAACCACATTTCACTCACGACGTGCAAAACTTTCTCAGGATTCAAGAGCTTTTGAACGTATCATACATACACAAACTTCCCAAAATTTGGTAAAGCAGGTTAGGAAAGAAAAGGAGTGGACCTGGGTCGAATCAATTTTTTTCTAGCGCATTGTGAACTGGGCCGGGTTGTTCGAAAGGGGGTTCACATTAATCTAGGATTAAAAGTTAACCTGGGCTTTTATTTCTCATGTAGAAGAGCGCATATAAGAGCTAAGATTTTGTTGGAGTATATCTCTTTATATCACTCGCAACTAACTGGAAAAAATCCCTTTGCAAGGCTATTAAACTAAAAATAAAATTTACGCTAATCCCAAGTTAGGTTAATCGTGTTTTGAATAACCCGGCCCAACTGGGTGTTAGCTTTTAGTTCTTACCGTAGCTCCAGTCTTCGTCTGCCTCTCACTGCCAGCCAGATCCACCATATTCAGTTTACCAACACGGATGTGGTTTTCACCATCTGCACCGGGCTGAAAGGAAATTTAAATCCGTTTAAAGTTAAATTCAGTTATAACAAGAAAGTAGTCTTTATGAAGATCAGGATGAATTCTAGCATTTCTCAATTTTCAAACAAGGAAATGCACTCTCTTTGTTTACAACACAGTTATGAAATAGAGCGCTTTACCAATGAGTTTCGTAAGACCAAACCCAAAGTAATCAGAACAGCTGATCAGAAGAAAATGATATATCTTTAAGAGCCGATGAAATCTCAAAGTGAAAAACAACCAAGCTGCCTAAAGCGCGGGAAAACGCGGGCGACTAAGTCGTAATTGGTTTTAGGTTTGCATTTGATTGGTCGAGAGAGTGGTGTGACTTTCTAGACCAATCACAGTGCGAAGTAAAGCAAACCAGTGCAATCACCCTCAACAGTCTATTGAAAATGACTCTATTAGGGATTTCAACTTTTTGGAGTATGGAGTATCGACTTGATGAAGGTTCGATAAATACTAGAGACGAATATCTAGTAGACAAAGAACTGTTCCTTTTCGAAATGTGTTATGGAGATTTATGTCCTATTTGATGATCAACAAACAGTTTTTTTTTTAAGAAATAAATAAATTTTTCCCGTGTTATAATAGACATAATTACCTCACTGCACTCAATTGTAATGATGAAGATAGCGTGGGACCTGGATGAATGTTCGTTCATGTTGGTTGCCCTTTAATTTTGAAAGGAAAAAAATTAAAATAGAGAATTATAAGCCAAGAAGGAAAAATGACAACTGAGGATGGAAGAGATTAGAAAGGATTAGAAAACCCGCGAGCAAGGTCTCGTGTTTAGGTTCGACCTTCCGGCCTCTTCAACGGGCACAGCCGCCTAAATTATATCATCGACAGCCACTTATAGAAAAAGTCATTGACACCAATTGCTTTATTCTGTCAACTTAACAAATTCACACTAAATTTTTCGAGAAGCTTACACTGTAAGATACAGTAGCTCTTTAAGGTAACTTTTCTCTATGAACAAAGCAACTTTCCTCGTCTGAATGATAACTACATGTAGCTGGGGCCATGATGCCATAACATGTATTAATGAAATAAAACTCCCAGCTGTCTTTCTTCTCTTCTTCTAGTGTGCACAAAATTATACCACATTAACAACACTAACCCCACAGCTCTATTTTGGTTGCCCACGTTCATCACATGTTCAATCTCTTTTACACTTTTACATACAAACGACTGAAGATCCTATAACAAACAAATCAACACACAAAAAAGCATATTCATAGAGTATCACTAGGAAATTAGTCCATTAAGGCAATTAATTAATTGTTCTAATCAAACAGGGCTTTGAGTTTTCTAGATGTGAAATTGGTTTTAATGAGGTTTCTTGTTACTAAATTTAAGCCAATGGCAAATGGTGTACTGGACCCAAGTGGTCCATCCAGCCAGAGCTAGTCTCAGTTTCTGTAGCATGGAGTGACTAGGAGTATTGCTTCTCCCCCCTGAACAGAATGCCAGTCTATTACAAAGTAACCACCCGTGTATTTCATCAGGCTTTGCTGACAATTTGCTAGGACCCATTTATACTTCTTGGTGGAGAGAGGCATTTAAAAGAAAAGTTTCTTGCCAAACAACACAAGAAAATGACCAGGCCAAGTCTTGAAACCAGAACTCTAGATGCAGAGTCCAGCACATTAACCACTGAGTGATTAGTCCTTTCCAACCAATCTTAGTAGTAACAATAAGATATTGTAAGAGCACAAGAATAACCCCTATCTAGCCACAATAGCAGGCAGAGGCTGATTGGCCATTTTGCAGTTGTGTACCTAGTTGCCAAGCCTTTGATTTGGATTGAGGCTGAAGTTGAACTTGTTGTGATACAGACCAATATCTAGTTAGCATGATAACAAAGTAATTTACATTTGAAAAGCAACAAATTTTGTATCATACCAAGGTCACCCTTAGCCTCATTTGTTCAAAGGCTTGGCAACCAAGCACACAACTGTTAAATAGACTATTGTATGCTGTCTGCTAGATGTATGCTAACCTTGACATACACCCCAGTATCTGGTCTCTCCTTAAGCTCCAGTCTCCTTGATTGATCTTTTGATAATAAATCTCTGATATCTTCCTGAAGAAGTTGTTGAACATTTAGCAACATTAATTCATTTGCAAAGCCATGCACATGCACTGGTAATTACTTAGATCAATGATAAATCAAATAAGTGACTACCATATTCCTTTCACATCCCTAAATTTCCCAAAACTATGTGATAGCTATTTAAAGCAGTACAGTAACAATCATGTATATATCAAATCGTTTTACACTTACATACTTAAAACTACAATCCCCAACACATCCCCCCCCCTTTTCCATCAAGCCAGATCATCCCATTGTGGCACAGGTAAAGCAAACCTGTTTCATTCTTGTTTCTCTTACTTTGAACCATGATATACCCCCATCTGAAAGTTATACAATTGCAAAGAAAATGTGGAATTTGTATTTGCAGTGTAAGTTGAATAAAGCCTGAAAATAGGCCACATGAAAGCTACATTTTACTGACACTCTGTTGGAAATTGTTTGGAAAACTATAGCTGGCCTGTGAAGACCCCATGGTTACAGCTGATTAGTGTCAGGGGTACCTGGTAAATTTCAAGATATGATGCCCTGACCAAGTATTGTTGATTCTGTGTTCTAGCTATGTGAGTAAAGATGTGCTCGAAGGAATTTGGAATCACTCCTCGCAAGATTGGGTCTGATCGTACACCTAAAGACCAAAGAAAATGAACTGCAATTATAGTTATTTGAATCTTTAAACTTGCAAACCAACTTACAGCATTCTGAAATAATTTGTTGGCATCATGTACAAGTAGAGCACTATTCAAAGACATTCAAAGTAGGAATGGTTCAAATATAACTTGCAACATTACCTTCCATGGTGAATGTTTTTCCTGTCCCAGTCTGTCCATAAGCAAATATTGTGCCTGACAAGGGAAATCAGCGAGTTACATAATTAATCCCCCAACAAAGTCCAGTTCAACCTGTGATCAGGGTCACCATGTTGTGGTCCTATCTTCTCCCTTTATCTCTTTCTACCCAAGAGTTAATCCCACAATTAGGTTCTCACATGTGCTGTTGCAGGAACACCTCCCCATGCTCAAGTATGCAAGCAAAGCTACCTAAAGAGAGGTCTGCGAGGGGTCTGGCACAAGGAATGAGAAACTACAAGGAATACAGTGCTTTTGTCTAGGAATGCATCTGATTTCATTTCTCATACTAGTCTAGCTCTCACAAGCTGGCTTCATTTGCCAACTTGAATTGTCTTGTGAGCAATAAGCCGCTCCTGTCAGAGCTCCAATTAGAACCCACTCACAGCCTATTCAGAAGCACAACAGAGTACTTGCCAATAGTCAGGGAAAACAGATGAAATAGACGGTGTGGGGTAATATGCGAGGGGATTGCATGTGACACAGGAATGAGCCTTTGCTCAGTAACCTGGTCATTTCATGCCACAAACTTCATCTTTAACTTTAACTTCAGGTAACTACTAAAACTAAAATATACCCTGCCAGCTTGGACAGATGGTCTATTTATTATAAAATGTACTTTTAGTCTGTCACAGAAACCTGAGAAAAATACTTTAGGGTGGTCTATTATCAACAAACATCCATTAAAAAAGAATACTAGGACACTAATTCACCAACAACACTCCATTACCACAATTTGCATATAAGAACAATCCTATCATATGAATATCATAGACAATAACTGAAATTAAAGACTAACCATTATATCCTTCCAGTACAGAATCCACTAACTGTCTGAAGGTTTCATCATAGAGATCAATCTGTTTTGAACTACATGAAGAGGAAAAGGGGAAGTTACAGCTAGAAATCACTGTGTTTTTCTTCTTTTTTTTTTTAACTCTTCTTAATATCTAGTTTGCCAATCACACTCTCCATGGCCATATGAGTCATGGGCTCACAAGCTCACAAATTTGAAAATCACCCCCCATTTGACCTTCTATTCAACATTGACACTATTTAGGACAGTACTGTGCAAAAGTAATGCAAACACATTTTGACAAAATTAGACTAAATTCCTAGCTTTTCAACAAATTCTTGACCAAAATGGAACTTCAACAACATTTCTGCAAATTTGCCAACCACCTATTGTTTTGAACAGCTTCAACTTTCCATAAGATATTCCTTGAGGGCGTTTATGCGACTGAAACTGTAGAGCAGAAATTCGTTCCTCAAACAAAATGTCACTTAAAAAACCTGATTAAACTTTCAATCAAATTTTCACTTGAACTTTAGACAAAAGATCCTTAGAACAAAAAATGAAATTGGCTGTTTTTATTTCCATTACTTTTGCACATTACTGTAAATAAACCCCTTGTGGCAGGTGGTTTGTCAGCTGTCAATGTTTGCAGCTGAAAGATTGTCCGAATGTGAAATTTTGAGGACAATATCTCAACCAGGGATATTATCAGAGAAAATCAATCAGTGAGCACAAAAAAGTACTTTGTACCTTTCCATGAGGTATACTAATAATTATCAATTAGGAATCAACAATACAAATGATAATTATTTTGTTTTTAAGCATCATTTCTCCCACATTACTTCCTTATCTTTACAAATACTCTAAGTGCACTATTTCTGATGTTAATCTCAATTCTATTCAGATTAGGTAATCAAATGAAAAACAAGATATTAGTTCTAGGAGATAATGGATGGCATGAGCCTTAAATAAGCTAATGCCAAAATAAAAATGGTTTAAACTTACTTCCAGTCATAAACTGAATCATAGGTGAACATTCTTGGCACTTCCTCTTTTTTAGCTGGATTGTTGATCTCAATAGTTCCTTTCTTCACATTCATCTCAATTATCCTTAAAAATATAAAATCGAGAAAGTGGTTGAAATATAATTAGGTATCAATATTACCATCTAAATGATTCTTTCACAACTTTGACAGGTTAATTTATTTTTGCAATAAATCTCATTGAAGTCTGTCATTTAAACAACTAGCAATATCAAAATAAAAATAAAATAAAATAAAAATGACAATTAGCCTTTAGCTAGGGTAAACTGATTTTTCACTTATTCTTTTGAAGGTTTATCAAATAGTGGAATGCCCTTCCTAAGGAGATTCATGGGCATGCAGGAAGTTTTGTAAAGTAAGCTAGACTATCCTTAGTTTATAAAATTCTATTTCTAAAGCTAATTTCTTATTTTATTCCAGGAGCATCTGTAGTAGAGGTAACTTCCTAGATTTCCTTTAATGTATTTTTGTTTATAATAATCACCATGATTTGAACTTGAGTTATTGATAATAAAACCCTTTTATTGCTGTTTGATTTTGAATAATGTGTATTATACTTATCACACATGTTCTTATCATCAAATAACTTTTTCCCACCTTTGATGTCCTTGAGCTATTTCCTTCTGGTTCATTGGACGACATCTCACCACCACCTTCACTGACTCACCCCCTTTTTTGTTAGACTACGCAAATCAACACAACAATCAACAATGACTCACTCCCTTTTTTGTTAGACTATGCAAATAAACAAGTTAAAAAAGATTTCCCATTTACTATTTTTCGCTCTGAACATGGTAGATATTCTACTTTCCGCCAAAAAATGCTCAAAGAAGGTTCCGATTTATTTATTACTGGTTCAGAGTCAATTGATGTGCAAACTAAACTCACTTACATTCAAAAAGTGTTGATTGTGAACTACGATTCATGCACATAACATGTCGGGTATTAATTCAAACAATCAACGATGAAAGAATTTTATTTTGAGAAGGCAAACTAAGGAGGTAATAGAGACCCCGGGTTTTAGCGTAAAATGTCGTAACTTTGGCTTCTAAGCTTAACAACACCTGCACATAGTAAAATTTAAAAAATACCGAATAAGAAAATAGAGACAACTTCGCATTATATTGGTATCGTTAATGTGTAATTAACCCAATAGTGAAACCACTAGTGAGAATCAGACTGAAATCCTCGGACATCCCTGACTTAACGGATAAAAATAACAAAATCACAAATTGTAAATCAGATCAAAACCGGTGATACATTTCAAAAACAGTTTACATTTCATAACTCACCATGGCGACTGTGAGTAAGCTGGATTTCGGCTTGTTTCCTGAATAAAGCGTCTACAGGTCAACCTTATCGCAAAGTCAGTTAATTTTTCATATTTTTTCCACATCAACAAATGCTATGAAAAGAAGCGGATCCCGGTATTTCTCGGATATTTTCCAGAGAGGAAGCAAGCAAGCCGCCATCTTCTCTGTTTTAGTATCAAGTCCCTCTCGGTCTATATCAGAGCCGTACCCACTCTACCCAGTCCTTTTCGGAAATATTTCTCGCCTCGGTCAGACGAAAAGGCGCGCAAGTGTAAGTTACCTGACCAGAGGCAGGTTATCATGCCTACTGTTGAAGAAGAGTGAAGTTACATGGTTTCCAAAGGTTAAAGTCTCGTTTCTCATACGAGCCGTTTCGCTTAACACTGGTATTTTTAGCGTTTTTAGGAGAGCGCCTTTTCTGTTGGCATTATTTTCTCACATTCCCCCTGCAGGGACGTCAAATAAAATGGACGTCAAATAAAATGCGCTGATATTTCAGAAACAGAAAAAGACAGCTAAAAATGAAAATTTATTTAAACAGAAAAAAAATTCACCATGAATAACGGTCTTGAGACTTCCCAAAGAGACTTTCTTTGATTTTGAAGTGAAAATGGCCTCCTTCCATTCATCAATAACGATGGTTCATCAGCTAAATCTCAGCAAAACCTGAGGGAAACCAATAGTAGATCGCGATAGGCTAGGATCCTATCGAGGGGGAAAAAAATTTACTCGTAGATGCAACATGCCAAGCAAACGGATGTCGCTTCTGATCCTGCAGCAGAACAAGGTAGTCTTGTATGCAGATATTATCTTAAGCAATTTAGCTCGTAAGGGTTTGTGGGGCGGAGGACAATGATAAGCTGATAGAAAAAGCTGCGGTGAAGCCTGTTTCCTTTCACAAAACTGTAACTAAGTCATCTACTGAGGTACATACAGCTAAAAGTCTCTGATCTCTCACATCTGTCAGGTTAAAACTTATACTTTAATGATACATGTCTTAACATGATTAGAATACTTTTTATGCTTCCACTGAGCTAGGCGACGTTAGGTCATTAGTCAACATAAAAACAAATATCCCTTCATTTATATGTATGTTCATTTTTCATCTATTTATTCGCCTATATTTTTTTCATTTGCTCTTTTATTTATCCATTAAATTATCTATGTAACCATTCAACCGTCCGTCTGTTCGTCCACATGTCCGTCCATTTGTCTGCCTGTATATCTGTACGTCTGCCTGTCTGTCTCTTTAATTGGATTGTTACATGTATTAGTATCTCCTGCACCTATAGGATTCTTTCATTGGATCGTTACGCTAATGCGTAGCTTGCATTTAGGATTCTTTTTTATTAGATTGTTTCATTAATATATCTCGCGCATTTTTTTATTGATTCCCCGTTTTCGCGCATTAGTCTGTTAAGTTGGTATCTCGCGCATTTTTTGGATTCCCCTTTTTATTAGTCTGTTACGTTAGTATCTCGTGCACCTTTAGGATTCCCTTTCACCCGATTGTTATGTTAGTATCTCATGCACTTTTAGATTCTCTTCCATCTGATTGTTAGATGAGTATTTCGTGCACTATTAGGATGCTCTTTCATTGCATTGTTACGTAAGTATCTTGCACACTTTTAGGATACTCCTTCATTCAAAAGTTACGTTAGCATCTCGTGCATTTCAGGATTGACTTACAATCGATTGTTTCGTCAGTATACCTGCACCAATAGGATTCTCCCTTACTGGATTGCTTTGATAACATCACGTGCACTTGATGGATTCTATTTCATTTATATCTTGCACACATTTCTTTCATTTGAAAGTTATTTTAGTAACGTTTTTTAATCTATCCTAATGTTTGTGTCTCACTTTTAGGATTCTTTTTCAAAGGAATATACCTGCACCAATAGGATTCTCCCTTATAATACTTTTAATTCTCAGATTGCTTTGATAACATTACGTGCATATGATTGTTACGTTAGTATCTTGATGGATTCTATTTCATTTATATCTTGCACACATTTCTTTCATTTGAAAGTTATTTTAGTAACGTTTTTTAATCTATCCTAATGTTTGTGTCTCACTTTTAGGATTCTTTTTCATATGAATGTTACGTTAGAATCTCCTGCACCTTTATGATTCTCCAGTGTTTCATATGATTGTTACGTTGGTATCTCGTGCACTTTCAGTATTCTTTTTCATTGGATTGTTACGTAAGTATCTCGTGCACCTCTAGGATTTTCTTTCAACCGTTGTTACGTTATTATCTCGCTTACTTTTAAGACTGCCATACATTCGAGTAATAGTTAGAGGGCTTTTCGATTGAGTGTCGCACAACCAAAACCAACGTTATCCCAACGGCAAAGCAGAGGAAAGGAAATTGCTTCTTATAGCCAATGAGAAGCCGAAGTAAAAACAAACAATCCGACCAAGACGCGGGAAAACGGGGGTCATCAAGTCGTGATTGGTTTTAGTCTTGCATCTGATTGGTTGAGTGGTGGCGTGAGTTTTCTGGACCAATTAAAGAGCAAAGTAAAAGAAAACTAATGCAATCTCAGATTAATTTCGACACTCAATTGAAATTTTCTCTCTAGCGTGAAAATGAATAGAATTCAGACGTCAGGGTTATGTGGCAGCGATGTGGCCGCTTGCGACGGATCGACATCTTTCTCAGAATTCTTCTCAGATCTTTCCACGGTCTCCAATGTGGGCTTGTAACGAGTCTCGTCCAGATACATGCTGAGTAATGCTGCCACAAGAGCGTTCAATCCCATGATCCCGTACGGAAAGATTGGATGGATACGTTGCTGAAAAGAGAAAAAACAAACTTGATCTTCATAATTTGTTTTCTAGGGTGCCACTCTCACCGCAGGGAGTCAAAAACAGTCGATAAAGTGCTCCAATTTGAAAACGCGTAGAAGGTTTTAAGCTTGGAATCAAATCGATTTGCCCTCTGGGGATGCTGCTATTTTAGTGGCACCATGTTACCATCGTGTTGTCGCTAACATAGTTACCCTTTCACCCCTGAGAGCGACTAGCATCTCACTTCTCCTTACAATATCACACTTGAGTCAAACATTAAGGTCATGAGAATAAAGGAAATGATCACCAACTTAAAAAGCTCTTGATTGCTTAACAAATTCTCCTTGTCAGCAACTTAGGAAAGGTAAGAAAACAGTATGGAGAATATGCATACTGGTGCTAGGGTTTAAAGGGATGATCCTTTCATTATAGTACTCAGTAGGTTACTGAGCGTTGCTTCGTCTATCAAAGCGTCAGCTCTTCAAAACTTGCTGGCGCAGCTCATGCGGCTTTAATGACTTGTATGTGATAATTCGATTTTTATTTTTCTAAGGTTTTTCAGCAAAAAAAGAAAAAGAAAACGGCCCACGTATGCTTTCTGTGGCTTACCGTGTATATAACGTATGAAGAACTGAATGATCCAATACCAGCTGCAGCTTCTGATGTTCCCAATGCAATGTTTCTTAGGTGAGGAATCAATATTAGAAGGGTCGATTAAATATAACTAACCATAGAAATCCCTTTAGATTCGAACAAATTCTAAAAATTCGATAACCTAGCCAGATAAGGCTATCGCCCCGACAAGCTTTGTTTGGTTTGGCAAAGATGGTTGAAATATTCTAATGTAGACCTGCAGATGTAAGAGCAAGGAATTTTTAAAACGCTTTGATATTTAGAAGTCGTTGTAGCATCGATCGAGCTTGAAACAAAATCTACAAGTTTCCTTGGGGATTAGACCGGTACAAACTCTTACCTAATAGCTGTTGGAAAAAGCTCCGTTGTATACACATAAAGACCATCGAAAGATATCATTATCCAAAACTTGGCCCAGACCAGCGACATGATGATTTTACCGACAAAGAAACCTGTTGAAATGACAATAAAAATTGTTGAATATGTATCAAAATTAAATACAAAGCTGACATTTATAAATCACCAACATACTTTACATATTAATGTATATTAACATCATTTTAATTAGATTTAACTCTCTGGATGGAGCACATGATTTATTCTGTAAGTGGGCATGTAGATGCTCACTCTCATTCTTGAACACCATCAACAAAAGTCAAAACTTACCCTTGTTGGATTCGTCATCTGTTGTCAAGAGAACGGAGACGGCAGCACCGATAGCGGTAAGGATCATGGGAATTATAACACCCTTTTTGCGTCCAAATCTAGAAGAGGTTAGCCATGTTTCAGCACTGGTACGTTTTACACGGGCTGAAAACTAAAACCAGATTATATTGCTCAACCCCCACCCCCACAGTATCTTTAGAACCTTACCCCCTTATTTATCGAATGGTTATGAAAAACAACTCCTAGAATTGGAAGCCTGATTGAAGCTTTAAGCGTCTTCCTGTTCATGCCTCTGACATACAGATCAATAGCATTGCCGGAATTTTTTTCTAACCTGTTGTAAATCCAAATGCCCACCGTAATAGCTGGAAGCTCTGTGACACTGGCTAAGAAGAAGTTAAAGTGCATGCTGCCGCCAATGTAGGGTGCGCTCATGAATACACCATAATACACCATGGCATTAGCAAACCTAGAAAAAAAAACAAAAACAAAAAATACAGAGTACTCGCTCTGAGTTCAAGGCCGGGACGTTCAGTATTTCCCTCTCTCCACTCAGAGCTTATCTGGGTAAAATAAAATTGAGACAAAAAAATCCATGGAGAAGTATGCACTTGCCATGGAGTAGCATCTAGTTCAGAAGGAAGAAAAGCCCTGCTTTCCTGGTTGTAAAAGACCATTAGGTTGGCATAACTCTTTGACCAAATGAAACTCGTTTTTCAGAGGTAAACATATCTCTGAAAGTTCCCACGATTCCTTGCGTAAAACGAGGCGAATGGCTTCTCCACAAATTTTACACTAACATCAGTATACATGTTCTTCATGCTATTTCCCATACATTTCGTATAATCCTTACAAGGAGAATTCGTCATAAAATCAAGAGCTTCTTGAGTTCGTGATCATTTCTTTTATTCACTGATGACCTTAATGTTTGACGTGATCCTTAATTCAGGGTGACACTGTTAGGAGAAATTACATGCTTATCACTGCTAGGAGTTAAAGGGTTCATGGCTGAACTGTATTTCCAGACGGAATCTTGACTTCTGTCGATGCAAGTTCCTCTGAAGTGAGGGTTCGGTAAGGAGGAGACAGTAATTTGTCTGAAAACCAAATCACATTTAACAGTAGTGGCATATTTTCAATAGCTGAAATTCATTAATCTATTGTTTGAAGGGATACATGATTTCTCCTTGATTTAGCTTAGTGCGCAAAAGGGAAATGATAATTATTTGTGATTTAAATATTTCTTCCTCTCACCAACAATACCACGTGATCACGGTCTTAATAGCCATCTTGCGTGAAACAAACAAATCTCGGATGTCTCCCATTCTCTCTTCGCGTATTTCTTCAAGTTTGATTTCCTCCATTGAAATGTTCTTGCCATTGACGCGGGCAATTCTTGAGCAGAGATTCGTAGCCTCCTTTGTCTTACCTTTTACAATCAGCCAGCGAAGAGATTCTGGCGTAATCCTGTCACAAAGAAAATTGCAAGTAGTAGTATTAGAAGAAACACCATTTTGAGGTAACTTATAAGATATTATCGAGCTAAAACTAAGAGTGAAATTTACATACCGATTGTGAGCAGTGAATATCACGGTGGAAATACTTGAACATGTAATTATTTAATGAGGAACAACTCATAACAGTTATTTATCAGATACTTACCAATAACAAACGCTCATGGCCTCGAATAAGTTAACCTTTTAATCGTGGAGTGACAAGCATTTAACTTCTTCACACAAAGGGCATTATAATTAGCTCATGATCACCTCAAGCTCTTTGAGGGATCTGGAACTCGACACTTACAAGAAGCCAAGTGCAAGAGGGATTGCTGGTGCCCCTGTGACAATGCACAGTGATCTCCAATCTGGTATGAGGTAGGCAATTCCCGCCAAGGACATCAACGAAATGGTCCAAGAGTACCAAAGAGAGGTTCCCATCATAGCTCTGTGGCGAACGCCCACAAATTCAGAGATAAGTATATAGATAGCAACTATGCCACCTGATGAAGAAAATACACAAGCCCGTTCAGATTAGTGGGGGAGGGGAGGGGATGAAGAATGACGCCAACCAGTTTATCAGCCTAACTGTCAACCCTAGTTTTGAAGAAAGAAATTCTAACTGGCTTACGATGTTGTACACTGGAATCCCTTTGGTTTGGTTTTTCTACGTTCGATGGAAAACTGCTCTAGGAGTGAATAAACGGATCGGAGGTTACCTTTAATATTTTTTACAGTGCATTTACCTAAATTAAATCCAATAATGAAGCGAAAAAGAGTGAATAGCCAATAGGAGTTTGAGAAAGCTGACAGCAAACTGAATAGTGAAATAAGAAATCCAGTTGTAAACGTGATGATTCTACGGCCGAATTTGTCTGATAAAGTACTGACTGTGGCAGCGCCCGTCAGAGACCCAAGGAAGAGCAAAGATGAAGACACAGTTCCATAGATCGCTTTGTCACACACCAGATCAAACTGTGACGAAAGAAAGAAAACAGAAACTTGACTGAATGACTTTGTTTCCACTTGGCTAGAGGTAACAACTCATAAGAATAACTTCTATTTCCTGTCGAATTCAGGCTGTTCAGCATATTTAAACTAAGTTTTCTAAAACCAAAGCTAAATGAATGAAGAAGCAACTAGAGTGCTTTTCTGATGGTGTCGTAAAGCCATGACCAACGTAATCAGTAGAGCACATTAAAAGAAAGGAAAATACTTAAAGAGCAAATGAGAGCTCATAGTAAAAACAACCAAACTGCCTAAAGCGCGGGTAAACAAAGACGATCATGCCGTGATTGGTCGGTTTTAGATCTGATTGGTTAAGGGAATGGCGAGTTTTCTGGATCAAAGAAAGTGCCAAGTAAAACAAATCAATGCAATCCCTGATTACTTTCGAGCCCCTATTGAAAATATCTCCGAGATTTAAGGAAGATGCTTTTTAATCAAAAAAAGCCTCTGCTGGCTCACTACTGTCTGTACCTGTGTGACAACTGATGTATATTCGCCAACAAATTCCCAGGCTGCTCTCGACATGTTACACCTCAGATTGTAGTTGTCGTCCTCAGTATAAACAATTCCATCCATCTGACACTCGGTGCTATTTGCAACGCAACGCCAGCCGGGCTCAGCGGTTATGAACGTGTTGATAAGCATCGGCCATGCAAGCCAAAAAAACCCGAGCACGTTGGCGAAGATCAGCAGACGAAATTGATAACGGCCGAAGCTGCCGATTTTTATGAGCACTTCGTCAGCAGTTAATGCCATTGCCTGAATAGGTACAAAAGAAAGTGCTAGAAATTGCATCGTTGATTTTTTTTAGCAAATCATGTCGTTTTCTTTATTAGCATTTTAACCTGGACAAAAACTTAATTCAATTTTTAGTCAAAATAGATCCTGGAAATAAGTAGAAAAACACGAAGGAAACCGAAAGGTATGTTGTCGATCATTAACGACTGCATGACATTTTAACACTTCGGCCACAAAGAGAAATCGAAATATGTAGGACCTGGTATATAGTTCAACCTCAAGTGTTTCACAGTATCACTCCAGAATCCGAAATAAAATCCGTTTCCGGTTGGCTGTTAAAAATGACCTATCACTAAGGTTAAAAATACAAAAGCAGGTCTGAATGTTTCTGTCACGTTACCGTTGCATTACTTGCTATATGATTACATCACGTATTCTGAAGTTTCCGGATGAACTCGTGCTCGGTGCTGTTCTAGGGAATAAATAGTCAATATGGCCCCTAGCATGTCTTCCTTCTTCATTGACTCGCCTTAGCATAACATTTCCATTATGGTACCTTAGCATATCATTTATCCTGGTGGCCACCAGATGACTAAAATAAACGCATCATTAACTTATTTCTCCCCATCTAATTATACCAAAAGTGTCCTTCCTTCCCTCCTTCAACAAGCCCCAATCCGATATGTCGCGTGTAAATACTGAGAATCATCCCGTAGAATCTCTCTTTACATCACATCATCAAAAGTGAATAAATAAGTAAATAAATGAAATCATTATTTCTATTATCACTGCGCACATTCGCCTAGGATTTACTTACAATGATTGGGAGTCAAATATAAATCGCTGCCAACACTAATCAAGTACCACCTCCCCTCCGCGGTAAGCTGACAAGGATGAATGCTTTGAAAGTCAACACGTTATTTTAACGTTTCCATTCTGATCTCAAATGTCTTTTTTTTTTCAGCCTGCAGCTTCGTGATTGGTCTAGTTGAAGCGAGGATATCTCAAGATCCTACTTACATTGGGATGGACTTTCAGCTCTCTTAAAAAGATTCTAAAAGTAAAGATATGCTATAACTAATGCCTTTAAGGTATCTATTTATTCAAAGTAAAAGTATTATCAGATTCAAGGAAGCGTTTTAAGTGGCGATATCTGTAAGAGTGGTCCAGGGTATTTCGCTCAAAAGCACTCTTAGGAGATATCATTTATTTAGATACACAATTGGATTACTTCCTTTTGTTCGTCGCGCGAGTCAAAACAAGAAAGTCAGAGCTGAAAAAAGAAAAAAAAAGATGTTAGCGCGCCTCCGGGAGCTTCTAGAATGAGGCACGAACATTAGTTTTTTCTTCACTGATTTTTTTTTATTCGCGGGACGGACTTCGCCGAAAAGGAGGGCCTGCTTGTAGCCTCGAGATGTTATCGCCAGCTACGCTAAATGAAATCCTGTAGTTTTGTTCTGAAATGTTCATACAGGTTTAAATAGCTTAAGCTCTCTAAACTCAAATATAATAGAACAGAAACCAATTCTTGAAAAAGAGTTTCTCATTAAGACGTCAACGAATCGCCAGTTTTTAGCCGTTTAAAATATTGAGATTAGTAATCAGTGTGTTCCAAAAGTCCAAATCCAAGATTTATGAAGCCACTAATACCGAAAGAACGGTCGGAGTTTGCTCAACATTCTAATTTTCATAATTCTGCCGTCACCAAAAGTTTGAAAGCAATTCAACCGGAGTTTTTTTTAATGGTCTGTTCTGGACTTGCGAAATATCTCCCACGAAAGAGAGAGTACTTTTGAGAAACTTCAGGCAGCTGTCTAACGGGTGTTTTTCAACAAATTATGGCGAATCTCTTAAAAAACACATATCAAAATTGAAATGCTTTCCAAACTCCTTAGATATTACACAATTTGGGAATACAAACGATTTGCGTGTGTTACGAAGAGCGAGCTTACTAACTTTTGAAATTTTCGATGTCGCAAGAGGTCAAAAACTGGGTCTTTTGCAGCTTTGATTATTGAGAGCTCTCGAAAACAATTATTTTAATATATTTCCAGAAACCAATGTGGTGATTTACTTACTACCATAGATAGTTTAATGGGCAAAGTTTGGGGCAAAACTTCTTTCCGTTGCGAAATACCTTAGGCAACTCTTACTCAGATCGCCACTTAATAAGTGTGTTGGTTAAGGCCCACGTTTCAATATTTTACAATAGATTAAAAAATGGCCCTTGGGGATCTACCACATTCTTGATTAAGCTAGTTTTCAAATCTTAATTTAATATTGACATTAGTATAAAAGGTTTTTTTAAACTTTATCATAAAACTGAATCTGATGTTTTGGAGCTGTGATTAAAAACTCCTAAACAAGCTGTAACTTGCTTCAAAAGAACACGATTTCCACTAATAGTGGGTGTAATCTAAAATGATTGAGAGAAAACGTTTCTTAGAATATGTCAATTTAGAATAGTCTATTTCTTTAAAATTGATTTTAAAAAATAAACCTTGAGGGTCTATCACATCCTTCATTATACTAGTTTTCAAATCTTAATTTAATATTTACATTAGCATAGAAGGTTTTTTTCAAACGTTATCACAAAACTGAAACTACTTTGGAGCTGTGATTAAAAACTCCATAACGAACTGTAACTTCCTTCAAGAGAACACGATTTCCACCAATAGTTAGCATAGTCTAAAATAATTGAGGGAAAACGTTTCTTGAAATGGGCCATAAAACATTCTTTTTTGTATCTGAAATATTTAAACACTCGCTATAAACCAAAAATTTAACAAACTGGTCCTATTTTAGGCCAAAACCATGTTCAATCCTTTTTCATGAAAAAGTATCGAATTGATATACAAAATTGCATTTATAAAAAGTTACAGCTCGTCCAGAATGCCGCTACTCTCTTCATTATCCTTTCGAGAAAGCACGATGATGTTATTCGCATTCCCTTCAATTTTCATTTGCTTCCAATAAAGAATCGTATTATCTGTTCAATACGCACAAACTCAGCTGGGATTAACAGGGTCTTTATTACCTAAGAATGTGCGCGATATCGATGCTTCCCCAAAGGGGTTGTAGATAGAAGAAAGAGTTTTTTTTACAGATTTTCACTAATACCAAGTTGATTATTCGCTGATCTTAAAGGGAATTCTTACTTCATATGGGAACTGTTCGCTCATACTGGTCTGGCGTGGCGTGAGAGGTCCTATCACTAACCAAGTGTTCACGTAATCTTCGCTGTCTTACACGAAGGTGGCAAAAAGGTTTTAAACGTGACGTGATTTAGCCCAAGCTTATTCGTGATGCGTTAATTTTACAGAAAGGCGAGGTGAGGTGAGATCTGAAGCTTTTTCTTTTTAACTCGTGACTCGTGAATACACAAATATATATAAAGTGAATTTTTCAAAATTTCGCCCGTGAAACAGGCCCAGTACCCACTGATCCGAGCCCTCTTCTTTGCTAACCTCTTACACCTTCTCGACATCTTGCTCTTCGGCTGAGCATTTTAAACACAATTTTACTAAATTCTCAAAATTTAAAACCGAGAACACGATTTAGAGAGCAACGTGAGAAAAATCTTCACCACTTCCTGACGGGAGATTTGCATTCTTATTCCGTCCTTAACCGATATAGTGGCGGCAAGGCCCATCCTTAACAATTATTCATTCCTCGCTTAAATTACAGAAAGCTTCCACAATGAGTCAAAAGACCTATGTAACATCCGTCACTGTGCTCACATCTCCATTCATATACAAAATAACTGAATTGCAGCGTCCTCGCGTGGCAGAAGTGTTATGCTTTTCACCTGGGGTGTAATAATCTAAAACTTTAACAAAGGAAACTGTTATCGTGATGGTTACTAGGAACGTAGGCCTGTGTAGAGTTATGTTAAGTGGCGTGAATTTGATACATGAATTTAAAATGTGATAAAACATCCCTCTGGTGACATTTTAAGTGAGCTGAGTGGAGGAAGATAGCAGGTTTTAAAGCACTTTTATCATTCATCGTATTTTCTCGATCAATCGAGAAAATACTACAGGCTGAGGCAAAACAGATAATTCTTTCTCATGAATATCACCGATGCGACATGTCTCTGCTTGGATTTGTTAGTAGTTTTAAACTTGAAAATGTTCAAAGAGAAATAAATAATCCTTAGAGAAGACCCAGGTCGTATCGTCTCGAACATCTGACCAATAGTGTCACTTCCGAAAAAAGAAAACCCCGCGTGACAACACCGGGCCCCAATTAAACAGCGCCCGTATGTTCAAGGTTGGTTTACTGGGCCAAGTTTCATATAAACGCAATGAGCGCTTCATCGCGAAAAAACGGGTTTCCCTTCAAATTTAACTTTTATCCTGGTACTACGTAACAATACAAAGCTTGGCACAATACCGATAACTAACACTTCTGGCCTCTTGTGAGTTTGCCCTTTATCATTTTAAGCCATTCTGAAGTTTTACATGAACCGTTTTGACCTTCCATGTTCAAAAATATGATCTAATGTAACAATTTTCTCAGTTAGTTTATATCGTTTCCTGTAAATTAATGAGAATTAGGCGATACATTAGGATTACATCTTCCTTTACTGAGGAAAATTTGCGATGTACATAATCAAAACTATTGCCTTGTCGTCTCGTAGGCACTAGTTCCAAGACACACTTAAAAATCATTAAAACACGTTAAGGGCTTTGATGCCCATATTAAACTTATAGAAACTTCTATCTACCCAAAAAGAAGTAGATGCATTTTAAAAAATTTTTTCCAAGTAATATGAAGTAATAAAATACACGCTAAAGAAACTCATTTGGTTGGAGTTTTGGCAAAGATGTGCGATAATTCCGATAAAAAGTTCTAATTTAGGTATACATCTACCTTTGCATGAATTTACTTCTTCATTTTTCATTTAAACTATAAATTGTCATTTGCATACTATTGCATCATTTCTAAAATAAATCTCTCCCGAATAACCTGTTGCATATATATATATATGAAAGTGTCGGTATGAAAGTGTAGTCTCTTTGTTTTTTTTTCTCTCTCACTACTCACTACATACATATACACATACACACACATATATATATGTATGTATGTATTGAGAGAGAAAAAAACAAAGAGACTACACTTTCATCCCAACAAGCCTGTTTCGTGATTAATTCACTTTTAAGGGGATTTTAAAGACAAGAATATTCGTGAAAATCGTTAATATACAATAAACTTTGCATGATTGTGTGGCGGTTAATTTAGCTGTTTTGTTCAGCGGTTACGCAGTGACGCTTTATTTCTGTGACGGCATGAAGACACAAGTTAATAACGTTTGTTAAGTGAAGACAATTCAGGTCGGCAGATGAGTAAAAACTTTTCTTTAATAAGGAGGAGGTTGCATCTTTTACTTGTGCTATTGTAAGGTGAGCTTAATGAAAGGATACAGATATTAAAGAGTGCAATGCTGAGTGCATTGTTGAATTACATATGCACGGGGTATTTTTAAGAACACGAGAGAAGTGCGGAGAAGCACGAGCCGTAGACGAGTGCCTCTCGCACTTCTCGAGTATTCTTAAAAATCTAGAACTTTCAAATGCACTTGCTCAAGATGCAAAACTTATGCTTTCATTCATAATGTAGAGACCCAAGAGATCAATTAAGATCACTGACCACTTCGCTTGCACCTCTGCCAATATCATCTATTGCATAACTTGCTCTAATTGAAAAAAGTGCGTCAACGAAAATCCGAAGATAACTTCATTTTTTTGTTTATTCGTTCATCTATTTATTTATTTAATTCTTTACTTATTTATTCACATTTTAATTTTTTTTTAATTTATCTGTCTGTCTGTCTGTCTGCCCGAAAGTCTATCTGTCTACCTGCCTGTAAATCTTTGTAT